GGGAGCCAGCGGGTCAGAGCGGTAGGAGGGGGCGAGGCCATGGATGGCCTTGAAAGTGAGGACGAGGATCTTGAATTTGATCCTCTGGGGGATGGGGAGCCAGTGGAGCCGGGCGAGGGTGGGAGTGATGGGGTCACGGAGCCTGGTGCGCGAGAGTGCAGAGTTTTGGATGATCTGCAGCTTGTGAAGGGAAGAGTTCGGAAGAGGGAGTTTCCATATCGAGCCTTGAGGTGACGAATGCGTGGGTGAGAGTTTTGGCAGCCTGAGGTAGTGGCGGAGTCTGGCAATGTTGCTGAGGTGATGGCACGGATGTGGGAGAGAAAGGACAGTTCAGGGTCAAACAAGACTCCTAGGTTCCTGACTGGCTTAGTGAGGTTGAGTGTGCATCCATGGGGGCTGATGCTGCCAGTGTCCGAGGTGCAGAGGCGCTGGCGCGAGCTAATCAGGAAGGCCTCGGTCTTGCTGACGTTCATTTGGAAAGTTGTCCCTCGTCCAGGATTTGATGTCCGTCAGGATGCCAGTCGTCCTGGAGTTGAGGGTGGAGACAATGAGATAGAGCTGGGTGTCATCCGCATGCATGTGGAAATTTACCCCATGTCTGCGGATTATATCATCAAGGGGGAGCATGTAGAGGAGGGGACCGAGGACAGAGCACTGAGGAATGCCGCACGAGACGGTGTGGGGGCTGGAGAAGCCGTTTGAGAGACGAAGTGGAGGCAGTGCGAAAGGTAGGACCTGAACCAGTCAAGGACAGAACCTTGAAGGTTGAGATGGGAGGAGAGGCGGTGGAGGAGACTTGAGTGGTCCACAGTATCAAAGGCGGCGGAGAGGTCGAGGAGGCAAATGGTGATGATGATAGTGGAGGGGGTGACAGGCTCAAAGATGTGGAAGAAGGATGGAAATGTCCATCAGGTGAGTAAGCACTGAAGAGAAAGGTCAGAACCATCTCAGACCTGAAGCACTGATCTCTTCCTCTTGTTATTTTCATTTTGCCCACGGAATATACAGTCAATTCACTATGCAATATTCTGTGAAGAGCTTTGAGACGTCTCAAGGACGTGATAAGGCCTTATATCAAAAGCAAGGATTGTTATTATTAGCAATTCTTCTGGTTCACATGGTTTATTGGAGTCTAGCTGTTGTTTCAGAATTTGTCAAGTTCTGTCATGAGAACTTCCTTCATTTGTTCTCCTCCGCTAACAATTTAGCCACTCTGCTGACTGAGCACAATGGAGATCGAGGCGCAGATACATAGATTCAGGTCACAAGCTCCAACAAGAAAGACTTCACTAGTGACAGTGCAATGCAGGGCAGGCAGCAGAAACTCTTGTATATTGGCTCTTGAAGGGCCTGACACAAGTAGGGATACTTCAGTGCTGAATCATTGCAAGATTAACCCTGAAACTGGTGTACAGCTCTCGAGATTCGCAAGACATACATCAGCAGGAAATCCAACCCACCCACACAGCAATGACTATCCATCTCAGACAATATTTATTCGTAACAAATAACAATATTATATTAAAACGACGTCTCTGCAGCAGCAATGGATACAAGTGTATTCTTCAGACAGCTCATTAGAGTGTGTGAGACTTGTAATATCTGAACTTTCCCACATTAACCCAAAGTGTCTTGTGGTCTCATAGGCCCAGTGGATTGGGTGTGAAGCACTAGATTTATAAAAAAAAATTCGAAAAGATTTATCTATCCCAATTATTATTTGGTAAAGGTCTGACAGCGGAATATGCCTGAAAAAAAATAAGCTTGAGGAGGTATCCCACGTCGTCTATCTGCAATATATTAGAAACGATTTGGGTTATAATCTTGTAGGGAGCATTTGTTACTACTGTACCTCCTACCCTCAGTATGTATCCAAAATATGATTTCCAAATCTTACACAAACTGGAAGGGGATGCTACTTATTGCAGTAAGGTTCTGCTTAAGGACAAAATATGGGATATTCAGCCATCATAGACTAATAATACCCAAATATAAGCTCTATATATTTATGTATATATTATCTGTCACTACTAACGAGTTTCACTGGATAGGGCAAACCACATTTTCTAAGCTAAAGTAACCTAAACTGTTAAGGTGGAACAGAACTTTGGGCTGGTAATTTGAGGTAGAAGCACAAGATGAGGTCAGATGTAGGTTATGCAGCTGAAAGCCATCTATTCTTGGGAGAACAAGAACATTCTACTGTGTTGTTTATTATTAACCCCAAGATCTCGTGTTTTGAACCTGATCTTGCTCTTCCTGATGTTTCTATCAACGATTTACCCTTCCTATGTTAATGCCATTAGTTCACCCAAGTGAAAGCTAATGTGTTGATAACTATCAGCACACTGTGAAAATATACACACATCAAATTTTCACCTCTATTCATGGTAGTGCCAGGTTGGAACATGCGCACACACTTTGGTTGCTCTCAGCAGGATAAATGCATTTTGCTACAGCAGGCTTGACAAAATCCCCTTTCAATTGAACAACTGTGCCATGTTTCATTGAATGTAATCCCATTAGTTTAACCACAGCAAGAGAGCTCATAAGGCCTTCAAACAAGTAATGGATGTGTAGAGGCAACGACTTGTTCTGAGTAGCCTGGCTGTATATTTCCACCAGAGGCAGCCTGGAGGCAGCGTGCACCTCAGAAACAACTAAATGCTAAAAAAAAAAGTGATTCTAAACAGCTGTAAACTGGCAGCTAAACAAATCTGTTCCATGGACCAAAATAAATATCTTGCCACCACAAAATGTCATGCACCTGGCTATTAATACTGGGCTACTGTCAGAACAATTTACTGAAATTGTTAAACGCTGACTAGTTAGTGCACCACTTAGCATTGTATTTATCCTGCGATAACAGTAAATTCTCTGAGGATTCACACATCGTGGTGGGGGGAAGCAGAGAAATCATTATCCAGGTTTAAACTGACATTTCAGAGACTCAAACAGTTTGCCCATTTTAACTAAGGATTTCTACCATCCAGTGACATTTCTGACTCTTTCCCCAGTCGGTGATGGATTAGCACCTTGGCAATCATCCAACAGCCTCATGTTTAATTCAGGTGTCAGTACAGGAACATTCAGCTTGCGAGCTGAGGAATATTAATCAGCAGAGTAAAAACTGTCACATCTGGTGCCTCTATAATCTGGCCGACAAGATTAATCACCAAATTCTGAGGATATTTCATAAACATTAAGAGGCCCGAGGATATAAAAATGATCTGGGGACCATGAGATTCCATTGGGTAAAAGGTCTTCTCTGATGAACAATAATCTTTGAACGAGTCGTTATGTGAAGCAGCCTGGGAGCAAATATGGTACATTAGTATTCCAGAAAGAACGCTTTGTGTTGTCAACATTTATCTTATAAAGTTTGGGTCATATTGAAGGTGACCCATGGTCAATAGTGGACCATGTTGGACTGTAAAATGTAATTGTTTGATTCGTGGGTCTAAGCTAATGCTAATTCTCAGGTGAGATATGAAGCACATGTAACTGCTTAGGAAAATCCGGATTTTTCATTTACAATTCAATTACCTTTCATGTCCTGACACGTGAAATATTAAAACAATTGTTGGAACAGACATTGGCACTGGCACACCTTTGGCGCAGGCAAGATGGAGATAGCACCTGGCAAGAGGAAGTTTTGAACACACAAATCGCCACTTAATTTCAACACAAGTATTCAATACAAGCAGGAAAAAACAGCAACCAACGTCAGTTCCAATTCCGAAGCCAATGTTTCGGTGAGGAAGGAATATCATTCGAAGAGAGGCAACAGAGCATGTGCACGTCTCTGAGATGGGGACGTTCTTTTATTGGTATGAAAATAAGCAGCCACAGGGTTGTGGCCGCTTTCGCCTTCTGGCCCAAGATTATATCTGTTCACATCTCTATCTTCTCATTACCCACGGTTTAGGAAAGCACTGTCAGCAATCTTGCTCGCAGCAATGTGTACTCAGCGCAGCATTGAAACGTCTTATCAAAAGACGCTTTACAGCAGCCAATTGCTTTCAGTTTTTTAAAGAGCTGCGATTAATTATCACACGCTATTCGAAGGGACGGACAGACAGCGATATTTAAACCGTCAGCCTCTACCTATCCACAGGCTTCAGCTTTGCCAAGATACAAAGAGTTTGTTTATCAGTAAGCAGCAAGCGAGCTATGGGTTGAGTAGATAACAGCCACAGGAGAGCAAACGTTTCCACCCTCTGGTCTCGGCTCTCAATTGCTTCGGTTTCTAGCAATACTAGATTGAACACGAGGGTGGTTGAGCAATTGTTTTTAACTATTTGCTTCACCAACAGGTTTACTGGACCCTGCACTTCGACACACTTTGCATTAAGGGAAATGACAGCTTATGTTTTCCAACAGTTTCATTCTTGAAAATTACGATAATCAACCTAATTTTTTCAAGCACATTTAAAAAAAAATCCATCTCATTTCATTTGGACATTGTTTGGTAGGGTTGAGGATGTCCGTTAATCAAGTTTGTTATTATTATTGAAATTATTTTAAAGAGACAAATTAGTGTGCCTGTTGGAAAACATTTGCCATCAGATTCCATAAAATACACCATTTAAGTGACTTACTAATTCCACAATTTTTCTCTAAAATATTTTCCATACACACAATTTAAGTGTAGTTAAATTGTGTGTATGGGTTGAACAGGAGATAATAGCACTTACCTTTAATGATTCTGCCCTTTAGTTCTTCACCTGACTAGCTCCTCGAAGAGACTAATTCCAGAGATGTTAGAAATCAGCCATTAATGCCTCTCATATAGACCTATTAAGCAATTAATGTAGCGAGATAAGTTAACATCGTGGTCACTGTGTGATGTGTTTGGTGTGGGCTGATGATGTATGAGGCAGATACTGCCAATATGATTGGTGTCGGCCTGCAATTGGCAATGGGCAACACGGTTAGCAGTATAAAAATGCAAGGATTATCACATTGCAAGGAAATAAAAGTGAGTATTAAATACAGAATTATTTTTCATAGAATTTTATTTATACATATTACAACAGGAATAAGTTACACAATCTTACAAATGTCACACAATAAAGTTTACAGTTTAATACAAGTTTATCTCGTTAAAGTAGAAGGTAACCCACTTAAAGTAGTGCCTTGAATTTACTTTCTTTGAATTAACAACTAAATCTGCAGCCAGATGTAACAATATAATAATAATCCTTGCATTTGATATAGCGCCTTATCCTGTCTTCAAGACATCTCAAAGTGCTTCACAGAATATACTGTAAAGTGAATTGACTGTATATTTTGTGGGTGAAATATACCAGCCAATTGCCCACAGCAGTGTTCCACAAAGAGTCGTGGATTGAGTGACCAATGTTTAAAAAAAAAGGAATTATTACCCCAGACAAGCAATCCGCCAATCGACTAACAACCGGGTTCCTACTTACTGCTAGGTAAACAGAGGCACGTACAGTAAGGAAATTTGCCCAACGTTTCGCCCTGCTGGGAATCAAAGCCAGGTCTCGCACTTGCGAGGCAAGTGCTCTAACCACTGAGCTCCTCAATTTAACTTGATAGGAATACTAATGGAAGTGCAATCCTGAGCTTATGTTTGAATAAAAATTGCATCTTCACGGCACAATGCAGTGAGAGCATCAGTTCTTTCAGAATCCAGAGCTTCTGGAATGTTAAACAGCAGCAGTAGAATACAGTGCTCCATTTTCTGAGGTGCATAATACTCCGCTTTTATGTAGGTCATTTGAATTTCCCTTAAGCAACACACTAAAGGAGTGATTACCTCTGATGTATTGTACTCTTTCATCAAACCATTATATTTTAATTTGATGAAAAGCTGAACACATCAAGGCAAATTGAGTTTCTAATTTAAGGTCCACTCAAGGCGAAGCCAATAAAAATCCACTCTATACACCCAAGCTGACTCTTTATTTAATCAATTGATGAAAATGGCTATTTTCTCTATACTTACCAGTCTACGAACAGTGTTATTTTCTCTAATAATTCTTCAATATGTTGTGAAACATCAGGTCGAAAGTTCCAGTTGTCTGTCTGATAGGACAGTTACTTTTACTACCCCATTTGCAAAATGAATAGAAAGCCCTCATCTTTAGTAACCAATACCACAGAGAGGAGAAAAAAAAGGTAGGGTTTCACATTTGGGATGGACAGAGTGAGTAAGTAAGAAAGAGCTCGCTCATTTACAAAGTTCCAGGCTCCAGAAGCATAATAAACTCCCAGGAGCAAGTAGAAATTTGGACCTGGATCCCAAGAGGTCACATTCATCCTTTGAAACACTTAAACTTTGAACGTCTTTTATTGATAACAACAGCTTATATCAAAATTGCATTGGATTCTAGAAAGTTGCTTAATGTTTTTTTCCTCCAATACAGCTGAGTTACTAATTACAAGTCAGTTCAACTGACAAACATGTCTAATGGTGGCAGATTCAGATGTGAAAAAGCCCACAGTCCAAACAATTCCACACCCAACTAAAACATGCTATGTTTCAGGAAATGCCTGGACTTGGAATCCTAAGTGAAAAAAGTAGAAAAGAGCTGAATAAAAAAATCTTAATGGGCATCTATTATCCTTTTTCAAAAGAGCATTGCTGTCAATTTATAACAATATTCCGGTTGTTTATAATATATGTATTTGGGGAAGAAAAATCGAGAGGGTAAAAGGGAACTTTACACTGGTGAAAAAGTTAGATATCCCCAGTCATATTTCAGATAATTTGCAACAGTTTGGATCATTTCTCAGCTACAACCTTAGCCTAACAAGTGTCATTCCGACCCAACCAGACCACACATTTTCCTGCAGCATCTCATTTCATCATAAAGTGGTTTAACTGCCAACAAATTTGGCACGTGATTTGCTAGACAAATCAAGGTTCAACTAGTCAGCTGGTATCTGGCAAATGCCCTCAGTAATATAGGGAGTGGAACAGAATATAGGTCCAAGAAGCACCAGTTTTTAGAAGCTGCAGATCATCTGTTGGACCAGTCAGAATTTGCATTTACACTTGCTTTTTGGTGGGAGATTAGGAAGAAAGGATTTGCCTGAAACACAGTTAAAACCTGGCAAAGCTCAGAAGGATCAGAGCCGGCCCTGAACACTTCAGAATTTGACAGATAGAGACTTACGCAGTCCGGCTGCACTCTCTGCATGTGATTTTACAGATTCTCAGTTCCAGTTCAAAGGCATCGGGTCTGTCTTGTGGATTTGCTGCCAGCATTTCTTTAATTAGTTGCCTCATTCCGGCATTCATTGACTTTTTCTTCACTGGGATATTAAGCTCCATTTTGGGGTTTTCCAGCAATGCTTCACCAAGAGGCACAATCTCTGATCCCTGACGGACGTAGCTTCCCAACAGTTCTTTCTTAGTCTCTGAATCTATAAATGTAATTCTCTCCAGCATAGCCCAAATGATGACACCCAATGCAAAGATGTCTGCTTTGGCTGTATAGTGACCTTCCCAAACTTCTGGGGCCATGTAAAAATCCGACCCACAAGCTGTAGAAAGCCAGCAGCGGTTTAAGTTAACTGGCTCCTTTTGCTCTGCTCCCAGGCCTGAACAGACTTTACTCAGACCAAAGTCTGCCACTTTTAGAAGAGGTTCTCCTCCTGCAGCCTCGGATCCAGTCTGAGTAATCAATATGTTATCTGGCTTCAGGTCCCGGTGGACAATTTGGTTTTTGTGTAAAAAGGCTAAGGCGCTACTGAGCTGCAGCATGAAGCTGGTGTTGGTCCTGCGATTGGGTTTCCTAGAAAGCAGATATTCGTTCATGTCCCCGCCATCACAGAAATCCATGACAAGCCAGAGATAGTAAGCGCTTCTGGAGTCAAAGCTGAGTTCCCCTTTCAATGAAGTCTCTACCAGCTTTAAAAATAAAATACAAGAGATTAGTTGCTATACAAGTTTCACCTCTATAAATAACATTTATTTAATCCTCTATCCTGGCTCAAATCTACACTCATCTCAGTTCTGTAACATCTAATACAATCACTTTACTATTTGTTTCAAAATTTGAAGATAGGAGTAGAACAGAGGCATTACATTTTACCAATTGTTAATTCTATTATTATGTTTCTCCACAGACAAGAGCTTCAGCTGGCTGGGATCAGGTCTGCTGCATCTCAGAAATACTTCTGGAGACTTTAAATGGGCCTACATTGGTTAATGTATACATGGGTGTGTATGCATGCATGATTGCATGTGGTAGACATCTATGGAAAACAAAAATGTGTAACTGGGACAGTAGCTACTAAGTAAAAAGATATCCAACAGCTACAATATTTCAAATATTGTATTCCCAATCACTTCTACAGGTTAAATATGTCAATTATTTTTCTACAGTTAAACTGTGCAAACCCACAACAGTGTAAAGTTTAATTTGCTAAAGTTGAATGAATAACTAACACTCAGATAACACATTGTCCGTTTACGTGAGGCTCTGGATTAAAATACAGTACCACCAAAGCATGCAATAACAAGAGAAATTAACTAATGAAAAGCAAAGTTAAATGAGTATTTTACAAATTCAGAAATCGATTCTTAAGCCAAGGCAAGGTGCGCTGAAACATTCACCTTGAGGTAATGAGATGAGCTGGAGCCATGGATCATCTTCTGTAGCATCCCATCTTTCTGCAGGATACACTCTTCCAGATGGATCACATTAGGATGAAGGCTTTTGATGCTGCTCAAAGCCCAGAATTCCTGCAAGGCCAGTTCCACATTTTCTGGGGCGTGGCAACGAATTTTCTTCACTGCAACCCGTGCCCCTGTTTTTCTTACCACTGCTTCATACACTACACCATAACTGCCTCGACCCAACTCACGCACCAAGCTGTACTTTGGCTCTCTACTCGCCATGGACAATTCGGAACTTACTGAGGAGAAAGGGAAACATTACATCAGAAAAACACAATATCAAATCTGTTCCTAATTACTGGCGACACAGCTGCCAATCTTACATTATTATATTTGAGAAAACACATTTTGAGAGAGAAACTTGCATTTTAGAAGATTTTTTTAAAAAAACACAATAAAATTAAACATCAAATTTGTAGAATTGCACCAGGCAGGTACTTTGTTATTTTAGGGAGCCATTGAGGTGCCCAATCAATCACCCAGACAGAAAGCAAGATTCAAACCTACAGCTCTTTGATCTATACCACCTCATGCTTTATCCACTGAGCCATTGGGTAATCTCCAAAAAAGTTATCTTTAAATAGATTTTTCAGTCATTAATCAACAAAACCATAGTTTTTAGAAACCATCAACATCAGAAGAGTACTGTAATTATTCCACTGATTTTCAGCCATAAATTACTGATTTTCCCTCAGGAAATTAGTAAATACACTGCTTTTGTGATTGCCTTGCCTCAGGTTTTAAATGTTTTGTTGTTCCAAAATCTTGCCTGGCTAATTTAATGTTTTTGTAAGCAATATGCTCTCCCTCCAATGGTAGGTCACATAGATACCTTGGGCTCTCATCGCTATCCTCTCTGAGAATTAGGTCAAGGTCTCCTGTGGCACTGTACAACTTCCAGTCTCCAAACATGCTGAACACAAACAGTCTCACAGGACTCAAAAGGTAAAAACAAGGTATTCCATTACAAGACACAACCCACCCACTATTGTATTGTATTCACTGCCACAAAGGTGGGGCCAGTCCCCATTAGTGCAGAGATCAGACACTATTGTATGTAGTCATACTGCTTTACTACGTCAAAAGGCAGAAGTTGAAGCCACAGATGACTCTTACCTTCTAGCACCTTCTTGTTAACGTATAAAACAATGGAATATGGAGGTTGTTGCTGAAGTATGTTATGCCAATGCAGCTAAATTTTCCTCTCTAAACAGGCCTCAATTTCAGTGAATATTGTATCTAGGCACTGACTTGCTCCAGCATCAAGACAAAGCATGATATTTGCGATACCAAATGTGGTGCTGTTTGCAGTGCACCATCCCACCTGCATTTCACATCAATATGACATCATTATGATCATCAACGTGCCAGTCAACTTGTAAAATATCAGTGGATACTGCATGTTTATAAGCCAAGTAACGATTTTTATTTGCAAGACAGACTTCCAAAATCCATAATTCTGAAGTTCAGTCAGGTCAATCTAGCCCAAATGCATTTTAAGTGAGACAGTATATTAGTCTCCCTCTTTCTGTAACTGTGAAGATTGTGGCTGAAGGTGAAGGATTCGAATAGAAAAGGGTATCTATGAACAGAAAGACTTCTACAATACTGGAATCCACAGACAACACATTAGTGGAGAACAGCTGGTCAGTTAAATAATATTTTATCAGTGCTCAGTTCTCTAGTGCATCAATTGCACTAACATTCCATCTCTGGTTATACCATCCACGTGCTATCAATTGATCTTTCGTTGAAATTTAAGACACAGTTGGAGTAATACTACTTTCCCCCTGGTTTCTCATTCTCAAACTGATAATGACATTTGCTAGACTTTCCACTGTAGTGCCTTGGTTAGTTCATTTCAGAACTTCTCACAATTCTGCAGAGCAAAAGTAGATTGACTTTGGTGAATATGGGTTGGTGAATCACAAAAATAGAGTCATGTGATGTGCCAGCTTTGCCCCAACCACAAGATTTAATGCAGATAAACTACACACGCATACTGCATAAATGCACACACAGGCACACACATGCAAGGAAGTCCATTTCTGAATTTGTGAGGAACTCAATCTGGACACCTGCCAAAAGCGCCGCTGTTCAATGTCAATGCCTCTGTTCTCTTCCCCTCCCTCCAGACTATCAATTGTTAACCAGCACTGCTCACATATCCAAGTGAGATAAATCAAATAAACCTAGACCCCATTTCACTCCAAGATCATTCCACTTGTGGAGCTTTTAAAAAAAAACTTTTAAAATAGTTGTGTTACTTCACATTACAGAATGTTTTGACTGTAATAATCTAGGACGTGGTGCAAATAAATCTTGGGTGCAATGATAGAGGGAATAAATTCAGAATTTTGCTAGGTACAACTGTATATATGTGGTGTACAAACAATTAAGAGGTAGGCTAGCTGAAGGGAAGAGTGAGGCACACGATCGCTATATCAATGTTGAGGAAGATTTACATTTTCCAGGTAAATCAGTCTATGGAAAGCTATTTATCTTGCTACAATTTATGAATAACTTTACGTTTTGAACTTTCTGTGAGTTGGTTTGGAGACGCTTAAACGTGGTGCTGTTTCCACATGTTTTAAGACACCCAGCTGACCAAAAAAATCGGTTTATAACTGCATATCGTACATGGAAGTAATGATGCGTTCAGCCAGTAATACCTGCATTAATAAACAATTACCAACAACCAAGGACTAGCAGTGTTATATGATGAATCATATAGCCAACTTAGCTAAGGATGATTGCCACCCTCATGATGTTTTTTTTTAAAAAAACGACTTCCATTTGCAGTTTTCCTTTGTACTGCTTGGCAAGCTTTCCGCTTCTCAGACCGTGAAGTAGATACACGGAGGCGCTTGGAAGACAAGGGAAATCATCCGGCATTCCACTCCAATTATTTAATCTAATCGCAGCGCTTAATCGGTATCCCTGTATAGTTTCTGCGCACCGGAACACACCCGTGTTCCCAAAACATTATCCTTCGTTTCCCGCCCTGCTGACCCCAAGGGACGTTGGTTGCACTTGCACAAATGTCATTCCATGTTGATAAAAAAAAATATCCCAATCTGTGTGCCTACCTACCCTTTCTTTCCATGAAATGGAACCGACTAGCCCTCTCGGCCAGCCATCTCTACAGCCTAGCTATGCTGGATGAAGGGATTAAGACTAGGACAGCATCACCTGTCAACAAATGATGCTGTATTGAGGACACAAGCGGCCATAAGGCATGGAACAAAATGAAACAAAAGACCCTGAGACTTCCCTAAAGCAGTGTGCGCGCACAGCAGACGGCATTTCAGAGCAGTCCATATATAATGGCGGTCCGGGAGGAGGACTTCGGCTCACACGCCTCACTCCCTCACATCCCTGGGATGATGGTGGTGGTGGGGGGGGGTCGCCGACAAGTCCATTGGGGAGAGATGAACTGCCCTTCCAAACACTGCCATTGCTCCGCCGCACGTGACAGCAACAAAAACATTGGGGCGACATGTTGCTGAGCGCAGCGTTTCTGCCTCGGCCCCGTGGGTGCCCACAAGGGGAAGAGGAAGGAGGAGGAGGAGGAGAAGCAAATGACATCAATTTGGGTTTAAAAAAATGTAGACATCCACCGGGAAACACACCGGTCGCCCACCCCGCCCGTGCACCCCGCCGACCAACCCCCTCCAGATATACACTGAAGTCATTCAATGCCACGGCTGCGTGGGAGGTTACCTGCCCCCGCGTGAACAGTCACTACACCGACACAGCGACGGCAGGACGTGGCCGAGCGCTCTCGAGACACTGACCCAATGGACACCATCAAACGCTGACTGGTCACTAACTCCTCCTCAGCCGCTGTGCCGGTCGCTGCCGGTGTCTTGAGTGACCGTCTACCTGCGCCCCTCACCTGGGCTCTGCCTTAAGGCCGCGGCCACCTGCGGCCGGTCCTCCTCCCCCACCCTCCCCCACAGGCGGGCATCACATCAGGGCACAGGCCGCCGCCACATTAAACAGACGTTAACCGCAGAAAGGCAGCGGCTCCGCTCCCGGGACAGCAGCCGGTGCCCGCACGTGGCTTTCAGTCACTCGGCGGGCGAGGACCCGGGCCCTCGCCCGCCGGGCCGCCCCTCTACCCCGCATTCAAACGGCGCCCCGCGGCCGGCGGTTACCTGAGCGAGCGCAGCCCCCGGCTCCCCGGCCATTGCATCGCTTCCCGCGCCGCCACCGCCACCCGCCACTGCGCGAGCGCAGCCTTCAAACAGCTGTCACTCACTCCGGCCACGCCTCCCCGTCACCTCACCCCGTCGCCTGACTCCGCCCCCCTGGCCTAGCCCCGCCCCCTTACACCCCACCGAGCCCAGTCCCACATCAATCACCCTGACCCCGCCCCCACCGAGCCCAGCCCATCAACAACAACAACACAACAACAACAACAACAACAACAAGATTCCATTTGTAAAGCACCTTTCACGTCAGGAGGACGTCCCAAGGCGCTGCACAGTTGGGTCATGACCCGAGCATTGGGGGGGAATGGTCAGGGTGAGGCGAGGGAGGGAGGGAGCGAGGAGGGGGGAAATGGTCAGGGTGAGGGGAGGGAAGGGAGGGAGCGAGGAGGGGGAAGAGAGTCGAGAGCGGAGCTGAAGGCACAGTCAAAGAGAAAGGTCTTGAGACCGGCCTTGAAGGAGGAAAGGGAGGAAGCGGCGAAGGCACTGGGGGATAGAGTTCCAGAGCCTCAGGGCTGAGAGGCTGAAGGCTCAGCCACCGATGGTAGGGCGGTTGGGGCGGGGGACGTGGAGCAGACCGGAGCCAGAGGAACGGAGGGTACGGGCAGGTAGGTAGGGGGATAATAGGTCGGAGAGGTAGGGGGGAGCGAGGCCGTGAATGGCCTTGTAGGTGAGGATGAGGATCTTGAATCACCCTGATCCCGCCCCCACTGAGGACGCCCTCAAGTGACCCACACAGTAACACTAATCATTTGCATCGCTCACCATAATAATAATAATCTTGGCATTTGATGCAGCGCCTTATCACGTCTTCTCGATGTCTCAAAGCACTCCACCGAAATAGACTTTAAAGTGAATTGACTGCATATTTGTGGGCGAAAAGCGGCAGCCAACTGCGCGCAGCAGCGTCCCCCACAATCAGTCGTGGATTGAAAATGACCAAGTTATTATTATTTCGTAGGGATTATTACTTAGGCGTGTACACCATAAACGTCTCCAAACGGTATACAAAGTGACATTGATTTGAAATGAGGTGAATATTATGCTGTGGGTAGGTAAGGCAAGCCACAAGCAACGTCCCATGAAGATCAACCCTCATCTGGAAGGAGATGTGAGGGGCGATCAAGCCCTTGTAGCAGTTTTCTTAATTTTCCCTTCAATGAGGCCAGGATGCCATGGCTCCCTCACACAGAGTTGCCCAAATATAATGGATCCATGGGTATCCAGAACACCTTCACTGACTATATAACAGCATAGCTGTTCTCAATGTTTCTCTGGATTAGGTGGATCCGAATCAGCAATTTTCATCTGTCAACACACATCTTGGGTGGAGGGAAGGAGAGGAAACGCAGTGAGGGAGAGAGGTATCTGATTAATTTGACACTGTCTGCCCTAGAGACATGCACAGAAATAAGTTGATGTTACGCAAGAAAGGGAAGCGCTACACACTAACCCATTCCCCGGGCTTTCCCTTCATTCAATCCTTCAGTTAAAACAAACATCTGATCAGGAATCACCGGTCAGAGCCCATTCCTGCTCTTTGTGGGATTACAATGGAGAGATTCTCTGTGAATAAGTAAAGTTGTTATACGAGAAAAGATATAATCTTGTAACGTTTAATGCAGTGAATTGTCCATTTTCTTGGTATGACCCAAATGCTGGGATGTTACTTCCCTCCTTCAACAACAATAACAAATTATATTTGTACAATGCCTTTCACGTTGGGAGGATGTCCCAAAGCGCTGGACAGTCAGAGATTTGAACCCGAGCAGGGAGTTGGGATCAGGAGGGGTGAAGATGAGGAAGAGTAGGGGTAGGAGGGTGACCAAAAATGTGGTTGAAGAGCAGGGGTCTTGAGGTGTGTTTTGAAGGAGGCAAGGGAGGAAATAAGGCGAAGGGACTGTGGGATATTTTCTCCTCGGTTCTTATAATTCCTGATGATACTCACCAATTAGTGGCAGATTAAACTCATGGTGGGCGGCACAGTGGTTTACTGGGCACAACGCGCAGTCCCTCATGGCAGGGATCCCAGGGCTGATCGCTTACTGGTGCAGGGAGCAGCGAGAAAGAGTGGAAAAGAAGAAAGAATGTGTTCGGGCCTGAGGTCACAGTAGCACAGCGAGATCATAAAGAGATTTCAACCGATTTCCTAGAACATCGAATCAGACATTGACCTTCGACTGGGGGTGAGGAGGGGAGGCATCGAGGACTATACACAAAGGATAACACATGGGACATCGCAGCAAAGAGAAACCACCGTAAATTAATAATAATCCTTGCATTTGATATAGCGCCTTATCACGTCTTCGGGACGTCTTGTGGGCAGTCCAATTGCACATAGCAGTGTCCCACAAACAGTCATGGATTGAAGGACCACATTTTTTTTTTGAAGGGATTATTATCCCCGGAAAAGCGATCCGCCAATAAACTACAACCGGATTCCCATTTACTGCTAGGTAAACATGTGAGATAAGGAAACTTGCCCAATGTTTCGCCCTACCCAGGAATTGAACACGGGTCCTCTCGCTTGCGAGGCAAATGCTCAAACCACTACTTTACAGGAATCAGACATAGTCACATGGACACTGGTCATTCTTTCACACTCTTGGACTGTGTCAGGACATCTAAATCCAGCACGTGGTTAAACGGACCCAGAGATAAATAGCACTGTGACATGCACATCACTTATATAGGAACATCGGAACAGGAGTGGCCATTAGAATCATAGAATATTATTATTATTTTAAAAACCTCAATTAAATCAACCCTCAAGTTTATCAAACAATTCTCATAATTTAACTTTAATCCTTGGTATCATTCTGGTAAAATTCTAGCTGGCTTTAGCCTCCAAAATCGTTCTTTCTTAAAATTTCAGATGATACAAAACTTCTGAATTCAGTGTTCATTTGAAAGCCGCCTTTTCACTATTTCTAAAAAGAAATCAGCTTCCAATTTAAGAGTTTTCCACAATTCTACACTATCTGAAATTTCAAGAGAAAATGGTCTCACAGGCTAAGTGGAATCTCAGGCCTGAGGTCTTCAGAGTGAGATAAGTGTTGATCCTGATAATAATCCCTCAAAAAAAATAACAAATTGGTCATTTCAATCCACATCTGTTTGCGGACACTGCTGTGCGCAATTGGCTGCCGCATTTCGCCCATAAATATACAGTCAATTCACTTTACAGTCTATTCTGTAAAGCACTTTAAGATGTCTAGAAGATGTGAAAAGCGCTATATCAAACGCAAGGATTATTATTGTTATTATTATCCGCACAGTCAATTGATCCACACAGGCGATTGATTTACACAGATGATGGATTTACACAGGCGATTTTAAAGGGGTTGTCATAGAAATATTGTATTCAATTCCAAGCAGAATGAGCTTGGGAGATAGAATATACTTTCTCTATATTTAAAATAGTGTTTTTTATTTAAAAAAATACAATTTTTGTAAGGTGCGGCTTTTTCCTGCAGCACGCACAGCGGCACAAAAACAGATGGTGTCAGATGGTGACATTACAAATAATCATCCACACACAGCACAAAACCAGCAATCAAACACACTGGAATAGGGTATAATTTGTGACATTTGATAACTATTAGCAACAATAATTTCTGGCCTACGATACTATACTTAACAGGCATCATTCAGAGGGTTAGAATTAAATGGCCACAAGGTGGTGGGTCCCTCTCATTGACGTCTTGTTCTGAATGGAGAGGATTACTCAGGTAATTGCAGTTACTTACAAGTTAATTTTGATGCTTTTAGATTTATTTCCGGACGCAAATCTTCTGAATCAGGTGAAGTCCATTATCTTCCCAAGGCCTTGATTTCGATCAGCAAAACCCTGGTCCCTGTGTCATGGCAGCTCTGGGTCAGCTCCCAGCCAACAACAACAACTTGCATTTATATAGCGCCTCTCACGCAGGGTAGAGTGACCCTCACTAGTCGGGACACAGCGACTCTATTTGGGGACTCTGTGCTGCTTGATGCACAATAATAATCCTTGTATTTCATATAAATATCAAAATGTTGCATAAGCACTTCAAGAAGAATTGCTGTCAAATGTAGTGACTGTATTTGTTGGCACATGCAGCTGTCACTTTGCACAGAGTAATATCCCACAAACATACACACACTCACATATCTACATACAAAAAGGGAACGTTCAATTTTATCTGGAGGATTGTTGGCCAGGACACTGGTCGAAACTATTCTTTTCAAACAGTGTCATGGGATCATTTGACATCCACCTGAACAGGCAGACAGGATCTCGGCTTAACACAGGGGTGACCAACCTGTGACCCACAGGCCAGAAATGGCCCATGAAGCCAACAGGAAGCATCCCTATGAGTATAAGGTAAGTCGGTGTTCAATTGTTTGTGCGTGTCAGTTTTTTTTCTTAAATGAATATTTCTTGATTGATGCCAAAATTCAAGAAATATTGAATCAAGACATTTTTTCGAGGGTGGGTGGGGATGTGGGGGGAGCGACCATAAAGGTTGGTTTAACATCTCATCCAACAATGCGGCACTCCCCCAGATAGCGCACTGAAGAGCCAAACGAGACTGTGAACTCAAAGTGAGACAATCGTCTGAACCAGAGGTAAAAGTGCAAGCAGCTGAGCCATGCTGGGTTTTGATTGCATGATTTTGTGGGTGACTACACCGAGTGCTTCACTTCCTTCACAACTCTATATTGCCCTATTCTAAATGCTTCTCAGGCACCGGCGGAGGCTCCGCTTCCTCCTCCTCCCACTGAGCTGCGTCCTGAGGTTCTATCTGATCCCCTTTCTCTTTCTGCTTCACCACTTTTGCATAAATTGCCATGTTTGCCCCGGGCTCGGCCGGTTTCACCGATTCTCTGCTGCCGCTTCCCTCCCCACTCGCAACTGCCCAGGTTTGTGCCGAGCTGGCCTTGCCCGGGCTGGGACACGGCTGCAACTTCTGCGGCTCCGACTCGTTCATGTTAACTTCGCTGATGACTTCATACAGGTCATCGTCAACTTCCAGCGCCTTGTCCCCTATGTGAGCGGAAAACAAGGAACATTACAATATTACCCCGTGCACCCTGCCCCGTGCGCCCTGCCCCGTGCGCCCTGCCCCGTGCGCATTACCCGGTAAATGTGGAAACTCTCCATTGGGACTTGCATCTGTGAGCTGAGTGGGAAACCTCTGCCTCTAAAGAGAATGAAGAATTTGTCAGTTTCTTTGCGTTTTGACTTCTAATAATCAGTTACCGTGTCACGGGATTAATGGACCAGTTACAGGGTAAGCATCCCACCTGCAACAAACTCAGCTAAAATCGTTATCTGTTTCTGAATATTTGTTAACCAGTAAGTGAGAGGTATTAGGACACTGGGTTAAACTTGCGACAAGCTTGCCAGTGTTTAGCTAGTTGGATTCCAGTAGTTACTTACACCAATACTCACTCTGGGGTCCCCAGGGCTTGGCTTTTTCCAATGCCAAACTCTCTGGGATGAGGTAGGGAAGGGTCCCTCCATGGACAGAGTGCACACTAAGACAAACTTAAACTACTGTGGAACTCACAGCAATTTGGTTTGGAGACTCTTAAGCATAATAATAATAATAATAATAATAATCCTTGCATTTGATATAGCGCTTTTCACGTCGGGAGGACGTCCCAAAGCGCTTCACAGAACACACTGTAAAGTGAATTGACTGTATATTTGTGGGCGAACGCGACAGCCAATTGCGCACAGCAATGTCCCACAAACAGTCGTAGATTGAAAATGACAATTTATTATTGTTTTGTTTTTTTGGAGGGATTATTAGATTATTATGGTGCTGGACCAAAAAAATCAAAGGACTGAATGACTTAATTCAGCCATCAGTGCGTCACTCACCACAGACACAAGCACAGGTCTCTTCGCTCCTCTTCCTTGTCTTCCAGTAAATCTGATGAGCACAGAGACAGCACTCTTCAAAGTCACAAATTACATCCTCTCTGAGACCAGGGCTCCCTCTGTCTCCTGGACCTCGTCATTGCTTTTGTCAAACTCGATCACGCCATTCTCCTCCGCTTCTCCTCCCTCATCCACCTCAGTGGGACCGAACTCACCTGGTTTGAGTTCTACTGAACCAATTGACTTCACTTCATCCCCACAAACGTTATTACCTCCCACCTTCGCCCGGTCACCTGTGGTAGTGGCTGCACTGGCTCTCCATCATCAAATGGATCGACTTCAAGATCCTCACACTCACCTACAAATCCTTTCAAGCCCTGGCACCTTTCTACCTCTCTGATATGCTTACTCCCCACTCCATCTGCTGCCTCCGCTTGGCTGGCTTCGGCCTCCTGCTTGTCCCTTGTCCCCTCCACAATCTGCGGCTATGCTTTCACCGCCCGAAGCTTTGAACTGTCCCTCAATCCCTCTACCTGTCCGCTCCTTCCCCTTTTTCAGATCATGCCTGAAGTCTTTGCTCTTCGACCGTGCTTACAATAAATCACCTCTTCCCTCCCTCCCAGCTCAGCATCAGGTTCTGCCACTGTTAAGCACTCCGAGATGCACCCTGTGTAAACGCAAGTTGTTGTAACAAAGTGAACCAATTGACGACAATATTAAGTCAATATGTTAGTTACAGCACTGGAGCTTAGCAGAGGCAACGTTACTGTGAAACCAGTTCCGAAACAATCTGAAAGAGGTGGGAAATATTCCAATTATGGATCTAATTTTCCAAATGTGATCTGTGTTATTAGCAAATTATTGGCAGCTAAACCTCCAGACCAGGACTAGTCATCACGGCATTGCACAGAGATCCTGGGATTTACCTCTTGCAGAAATTGCAGCCAACTGTGAGCAGGATGAGAAGCAACAAGATGGAGATTGCTAGCCAGAGCTGAGGAAGTTGTGACAGATCAGGAACATTCCCCACACCACTCTCAACCGGAGCCATGAAGCCAGGATTGGGAGTGACAAAGCAGGTGGAAACCTGGAAAACAGAATACAGAATTAGTCTGATGAATAAAGATTATGTTAATAATAATAATAATCCTTGCATTTGACATAGCACCTTATCACATCTTCGCAACATCTAAAGCGCTTCACAGAATATACTGTAAAGTGAATTGACTGTTTATTTTGTGAGCAAATCTTGCATTTTTATGGTAAATCTCTCGAAGCTCTTCACAGGTATTGCTGTTAGTGTAGTGACTGTTTACAAGTGAGCAAATGCAGCAGCCAAACTGCACCCAGGAACACACAACCATAAGCAAGTGACCAATTTATCTGGAGAATTGTTCGCCATAATGATGGTTAAAACTTCGTCTTTACCAAGAACGTTGTAGGCTCTTTAACATCCACCTAATGGTTCCTCTGACAACACAGCTCTCCTCGAGCCTTTAACTGCAGCGTCAGCCTGGACTGTGAGATGTTTGCAAAGCGGATTTAGTTCAGCTCTTGGTGCTGTACTTTGGGGAATCTCTCACTGTAATATCTGATTTATAAAGGTAATATGAGAAGCCTGGACTCACCTCTGACAACACGTCACTCACTGTGCACAGGAGGGGTCACACCCTGTTCGGGAGGTCAGAGTGTAATCACAGTCCAATTATGAAGGGTGAGAAAAATCACTCACAATGTCGGATGGAGAGAGCAAGGGAAGTGGGATGAGAGTAGAAAAGAGTGAGCACCCAGTAACTCTGTAATTTACTGAAATTCAGTGAGCAAATAATTTTGTACTTTGTTACCGATTCCTCCTGACAGGAAATTCCTTCAGAACAGGTGTGGCGGAAGGGAACCCCACAGAAATCACAGATCAAACAGCACAAATCACACGCAGACAAATGTAACCTGTGATAATGAAAGAGTAAAGGTCCTTCACGTCTCTGACTGAGTGGTTGAAAATGCGTGCCCACTGCCTCCTGTTGTGATTCACAGCTAAAGCTGAGAGTACTTTCTTCCACAGAAATGGGATCACACTCATAATTAGACAAATTTCCGAGCAAGGGGTCAATGATCAGAGTCACGTACAGCGACCCCACTAACCCGGCTCCCGGTTGTTAGCGCTGTTTAATAGCTGTGTACTCACCTCTGGAGTCTGTCTGCAACCTCAACCCACACTGAAGAGCTCGTGAAGAATGAGCCAGGTTTATAGGAATAGCTTTGAGGAAGTGTGGCAGTTGCCAGCAACTGCACCTTAAGTAAACAATGACAGGAGAAGTTCGTTTGTCAGCAATGGATCTCCACTTCCTTCTTTCAGCTCTGAGCTACCTTCCTCACAGACCTGACGAGCATTCAGTGACATTTGTGGTTGCACAAAGTTTTAAAACTTTAAAAGCTTCCTTACCTGCCCAGTCTGTGACCAGATTATCTTCCAGACGCTTTTCTTGTGTTCCTGTCACTGTAGGCTACCTGGTGTGGCTGAACAGCCAGATCTTGATAATTGATCCCCAGGGCTTCAAGGGTCAAATTATTTGGCAAGCTTCAGATTCTTTGTGAAGAGAACAAATTTCATCAGCTAAACATTTTAGTGTTGCTCAATTGTACATTTATGGCTCATTGAAGTGAAGGAGTGCGGGGATTGTTTTTTTTGGTCAGCCGGGTGTTTTGACATATGCGGAAACTCATCACCATACTTAAAGAGTATCCAAACCAAACTGAGAGTTCCATGGATCCCACCCACACATGGAAATTCACAAGATGTTTATTAATTTGGAAATGCGCATTCTCCCTGGAGGGATGCATCCTGATTACCTAATTCCAGAGACTATTAGGTGCAGTTTCACAAGAGTCAAGGTTTGGGGACCCCAGGGTTTGTGTTGCAATATTGCTGGAGTCTAACCAGCTAAAACCACATAGCTTGCCATTGAGAGCACTGTATGTCTTGGATCACCCTACCCCTTAGGGATTTGTCTTATATGATTAACAGGAAGTGAGTGAGAAGAGTCACTGCCCCTCAGATGCCTGGTCTGTCTTCCAGCCCTGCCGATGAGTTAGGCTGGACTGAGCTGTCATCAGCAGTGCCCTGGAGTACTGCGGATCTGCTTGGCTCAGGAACCAGACTACCAAGAATGCCACAGACGAAAGGCTCGATTCTGACATTCAAATGTCATTTGATGTCATTACCACCATCGAGCTGCCCGCAGCTCGGCTACACATCCCTTCCCATTGAGCAATGGTTCCACCGGTTGGACGTACGGTGTTGAGTAGCAGCTGCTTACCTCTCTGTAAACTACTCAAGGTGGATTCCAGGTGCTGGACATACGAACACGTGTTCATAAACTGGGACTCCGGATAACCAGCATCTTCCAGCCTCAGCATTTCCTCATCAGCTATCTGACAGACATCTGGCTTCAACGTGGCAAGAGATTTACCAGACAACTTGTGATCTTGAGAAGTCCAAATCCAATGCTGTGCACCAGGCTTACTCAGCATCAGCTGCTAAATGTAGGTCCTCACGTGAAGGGCTTTGGCAAATAGACATGCCCACTATGAGGCTAATTCTGCCAGGGTGCCCAGCAACAGATCAGTCTAGGCTAGAACCCTACACTGAGTTTAGTGAAATATCATTGACACTGAGCAGCAGCTTCCAGCTTTACCAAATCAGATATTGTGTAGCTTAGATACAGACTAAAGACGATTACTACATTGCGCTGCACTCCAGGCAGATTCATGGAATTGGATTGACATCAAATTGGCACCTTTGCAAAAAGCGAAGTAAATTGGAGAAGAAAATAATTTTTCAGGTTCGACCATTGTTCAGAACTGAAAGAACACAATTTTGATTCATTCTGAAACTCAGGAACTGAGGATTAATTGGACTGGGACTTGGAAATGGAAAGTAATTCTGTATTTTGAGGTTGTGAGAGGCCTTGGCCTCTAGGTGACAGTATAGATTCTGTTATGGATTATTGTGGAAGTATTTACCTGGAAGTGTTGTTTTGTGACTTGTCAATGAGTCTTTGTGACAAATGTTTATTCACACATCAGGTGCTTCTAAGTCCAGACAGTTAACCTCCCCCATGGGTCTCTCCCAGTCACTTACAAGTCTGGAAGACAGGGCGGGGGAAATAGGCGGGAAATACAGATTGTAACAGGGATGTTATCTTACAACGTTGGTCTTCACTAAAATTCTAGGATTTGAAACCTTCCTCTTGTAAGACTCGAGGAGAAGGCTGAGGAGGAAAATGGAGAGAAATAGCAGATCACTAAAGAGGGAAGAAGTTCTAGAGGTTAGGAGCATAAGATCTAAAGGCTGATGCAGTACATAGGCGGAGGGACATGTCACAAGCCTGAGTCTGTCAAGCGAAGGAGTGGGGTAGGAACTATATTGTCAGATGCACCAAGACAGGAGAACAAGAGGACATAGGTTCAGAGATGCAAAGGGCAATTTCAGGGCTGATACCAGGAGGTATTTCTTACCAGTCACCAGTTCACAGTAATTGAAGTCAGGGCACCGGACTAACTTAAAAAAAATACAGATGGATGAGATCAAATGGGTCGAAGGACCTTCATCCAAACTGATCTTGTGTGATATACCTGTAGCCCCAGTTGGGTCTGGGCTGAATCACGAGTGAGGCTGTGGAAGCAACAAGTCAAAGCTCTTTCTCCCCTGCTCCCTGAGTTGTGAATGTTAAAAAGAGACAGAGCTTTATTCTGAATTAATTTGTATTGCAAATGACAAGCAGCATTGAGTGAAATTTCAATTTCAGCTGAAATTGCTTCTAGTTCTATCTGGATCAATCAAAAAAATAGTATGTTGACCAGGAGCTCAAGCCAAGAAACACAGTGATAGGAACACATCACATGGCCCTCAAATAGCCTGAGATGATCAACTGCTTCTCTGCAGCCTCGCCACTGGGAAGGCCATGGCTGATGGGCACGCTAGGCTAATCTGCTGTCTTAAGTGTCAGGATCTCCCCCGGGGTAGGTCAAAACTTCCACACTCCGTCCTTCTCTCTTTTGCGGGACACAATCCGGGATGTCTATGTCTGCAGCATCCAACATCAGGACAAGTCATTGAAACATGACATGACTTTAGTAAAAACTGAAGGGAAATTTTTAATGGATTACATTGAAATTTGGTGAAAGCCACTTTGCACAGGAATCATTATAGAAGCACTTTGTTTTGGGAATGGCTCAGCCGAGCACTATTAAGACAGAAGACACGCAGCACAGACACTTAACACAGTCAGAGAAACAGTGAAAGCATTTATAAACAACAGAGAATGCCAGAGTTTGCAATAAACTCCAAGCTCCTCCATCATTAGGCTACTGGTTAATGCTACTGATTTTCTGCAATGTACCAACTTGTGATACTCAGGGGTATCTGCTCCAAAAGACAGGCTGTTTGTTGGCTGCAGGAGCCAAAGATCTAATGAAATGAGTAGAAAAAATTAAAATATTAAAAAAAGGGTTTCTCTTTTTGCACCTGAACAGCAGGAAGCAATGGCATCATCATGGTCTCAAGTGGACAATCGGCAGTGATCCAATCACTAGATAAAGGCTGTGACTGGGAATCTGCTTAACAACTATTGGGAGACAGATAGCCTGGTGCTCTTCGTACACAACACGATTGCTTAGCCCTAGTTCACAACCAGTATCTGTCCATCCCAAGGCACAATGTGGGTGTGGAATGTATTGTTTAAAGAGACACTCTTGTCTCTGAAGTTGCTGTTTGCAAGTTGGTCCCAATGGAATGTTTTCCATCCCGCCTCACCTTCTCCCCCACAGTGCTAGTGTTTGTCAACATTCAGTGCTGGGACCCTCAACCAACCCTGCAACATCAGTCTTTAAGATTACACAAGGCAAAATTAGTGTAAAAAAAGTGTTAGCCTAGATTAGTTGGTAAACCTCTTGGCTGTGAGTCCGAAGGTTGTGGATTCAAGCCCCATATTCACTTTGAAGTTAGTCTGGGCTGACAATCCAATACAGTGCTTGGGGGAGAGGAAGTTGGATTGTTGGAGGTTCCAATAATATGTTAAACTGAGGTACCATTTGCACGTTAAGATGGACGTAAAGTATCCTATGGCAATATTTGAAAAGAGTTGGGAGTTTCTCACTGTGTCCTGGCCAACAATCCCCCAGATAAAATTGGTCATACACTTCATGGCTGTTTGTGGCACATTACTGCCTGCAAATTGGCAGCCGTGTTCACCTACAAAATACAGTCACTACACTTTACAATAAAGTCCTGTGAAGCGCTTTGAGTCATCCACCTGAGATGTATCAAATGCGAGGATTCTTATTTAATGTGGGCCAAATGGAGTGGATGGGATGCGGAGTGGCAGACTGAGTGCCTTTTAGCGTTCAACGGATTGGGACCCGAACACCAATAGACGCTCAGTATTCGCAGTATTTGTTTTGGTCAGCCGGGAGTCTGACACATGCAGAAACCCATCATCATGTTCAAGAATATCCAAACCAAACTGAGAATTCCATGCAGCCCACCTAAACATGGAAAATCCAGATAGATTGTTGAAATGGAATGTGCACTCTTTCCCTGGAGGGTTACATCCTGCTTACATAATTCCAGAAAGTATTAGGCGCTGGTTGGCAAAAGCCAAGGCTTGGGGATCCCAGAGGTAACTGCTGGAGTCTAAACAGTTAAAACCACATAGTTTGACATTGAGAGAAAGCTTTCCAGTTGCACAGCTAGGACCACCATAACCGTTAGGTCTTTGACTTGCAGGGTTAACAGGAGCTGAGTGGGAGAATTTGCTGCCCCCAGTGACTGGTCCGCCTTTCTGAGTCCTGCTGATGAGCCAGGCTGGCTGTGCTGTGGTCAGCAGTGCCCTGGAATATTACGGACCTGCCAGGCTCATCAACCAGACTACCGAGACCGCCAGAGGGCTGGCTCGATTCAGGCATTCCGTTGTCAAACATGTCAGAGCCAGTTCAGCTCCAAGAAGATTCCGCTTAACCCACCCCCACGAGGATGGTCACCAGTTGGTTCGATAGCCAACAGGTCCGAATTGGAGCCCTCACAAGGTGGATGTTAGGTACCTGGAACTCCCTCCAAGCATCTGGGACACTACCCTGCTTGAGGAACACTATATAAAGGTAAGTTGTTGTTGTTGTATCTGTACTTGGATTGCTGACCAAACCCACGTCTCTGCGAAGAGACACTGATGCCTCTTGGCAGAGATGTGAAGACTTCAGGAGTTAAACATTCACTTTGCCGGTTACTTTAGCACACAAGGGACAATTTCCATTTTTCAAACAGACCCACTAGAAATATAGAAGTCATGTTTAGCCTCTAGGTCTCTCCAGTGGAACCCCCCCCCCACCACCAGAAGGGGATTCCTCCTCACTTCTCCTTGTGGCTGAGTTTGCGTTTGACTCTGTACCGCATGTAAATGGCCGTGGAGATGCTGGAGAGGATGATGAAGGTGCAGCCGATGAACACAGCAGAAGTGGAGTGCTGGTGCCATGCCTGGTACAGGTGTCTTCGCCGCTTGTAGTCCAGATGCACGGCCTCCAGTTGGGCCAGCGTGCAGAAAACCATGAACAGATGAAAGATCTGATGTCCCTGCAGGAAGATGTCACACTTTCCCGGCAGCCATTTTTCCGGGTGCGGGCAGGAGAAGAAATGAGCGCAGACCAGGAAGCAGAGGACCTGGCAACGGTGGTAAGGCACGGCTGGGTCGGTGCAGCTGATCGAGTGGCAGCTGTAGATGCGGTGCAGCACAGGGCTGATGTCCAGCAGGTAGGCCAGGCCAGCGGGCACCACCTGGTATAGCTTACGAGCCCACGGCTGTAACACCTGAGCGTTGGACTTGGCGTAGCAGCAGCCAATGCAAGACAGCCAGGCCAGGAGCGTGGCCACTGGGAGGAAGAAAGAGCTGACGAGATGGTACCATTCCTCCTGGATGCTGTAGTAATAATGGACCAGAGCGCTGCTGTACTGATAGATCGCGACTCCAACGTAATCCAGGAAGAAGAAAGAATAGTGTGCGAGCTCGGAGCGGGCTTGTAGCAGGTGAGCTAAGGCACTGCAGCTCAGGTAGTTGAAGGAGGCCAGGATCAGGATCAGGAAGGGCCACGCGTGGCGATCTGAGAGGAAATCCACCGTTTTCGAGAACTCCTGCAGTTTGATCAGGACCACCAGGGCAGCGATCAGGTGCGACCACACATTGACCGCCTCGTTGTGCCGCTGGAACAGAGTCAGGAAGTAATAGCGCCAGCTGTGATGCACCGGCCGGTATCCCGAGTGGATGTAAGGCTCCCGGAATATGCGCGGCACCTCATGGTCCCGCACCGTGGCCGGCAGGCAGGGGGCGCTCTGTTCCAGGAGGCTCGGCAGCTGCCTGATCTGCTGGATGTTAATGAAGAGACGGCTGATCTGCTCCATCACCACCGTGGCCATGGCAACGCGGGGAGTACACTAGGGGACCAGAGAGGGAACCCGGAGTGTATTAACCAAGGTATAATTCCGAAATTCCACACCAGTAAATTACCGTTCCATAATAATAACAATAATAAAGGTAATGGCAATTTCATCGGCAGTCACCAAGTGCTCACTGTTTAGTCGGTTTTTACAGAATTTTAGGTAAATTTTACAGAATATTATTTGATAATTAAAGACATTGTATGATTATTACTTATTAGATTCCTCCTTTCATATTATTTGAATCATCCTAAGGTTTGAAACAAATACATGAACTATTACTTCATCGGTAGGAATCTGTTCTTAATTTCTGGATATGGGATAAAAATCCCACTTTGAGTTCAGTTCTCACCAATTCCTTTATAAATGCCCTTTGGGTGACAACAACAAAATTACATTTATACAGCGCCTTTCACATCGGAAGGACATCCCAAAGTGCTGGATAATCAGTGTTTCGGTCCCAAACTGGGGGTTGGGATCGGGTAGGGGGTGGAGGGCAGGGGGGGAAGGAGGGTGATCGAAGGCATGGTCAAAGAGGATGGGATCTTGAGATGGGTCTTGAAGGAGAGGGTGAGGTGGAGGGATTGCGGGATGGCGTTCCAGAGGGTGGGTCAGAGTGGCTGAAAGCCCGACCCCCAATGGTGGGATGGGCGAGCCAGGGGACGTGAAGCAGGCTGGAGCCCGCTGAGCGGAGGGTGCGGGCAGGTGGGCAGGGGGTTAGGAGGTTGCAGAGGTAGAGGGGAAGGGCTTTGACTGCAATCACTGTCTCCTTCTCCTCAACGGTTTATCTCTGATTTTAAAATCATGTTCTCTTGTCCTGAATTCCCCTCCAAGAGTCAACATATTTCTTATTTACACCTAATCTTTATCTGCATAAAAAAAATCGAACTTCTGAGCACAGATCCCAGAACCAGATCAACAATCACATTACTTATCCCGAGTGTCCTCTGATCTGCGCTTTCAGCCACTTACACCCTGAAACTCTGGAACACTCTTCCTCTGTCTCTCCGCCTTACCCCCACCTTCTTGGACTGTGACACACACACACATACACACACACACACACACACACACACAGGGCTTGGTGTTGTGCTTCCACACGATCAAGCGCTCTGGGACGCTCCTCTGCTCTATAAAAAAATGCAAGTTGCTGTTGTTGCTAAAGAAAAGCTTTTTTAATTGGCATTTCTCAGGGATAAAAGAGAGAGAGAGAGAGAGAGAGAGAGAGTGAGACTCGATGGTTTAAAGGCTGTGTCACTTATCTCTGCAACAGGGTCTCCGATCTGCGGGGACTGCACTGGCTGTGGTACAGCAGAAAAAAAGACGCTCATTCCAGCAGCCAACGGGGACCCACCACATCCTCAGTTAATCTTTAACATCAATTTATTCTGCATCGATGCGCCGACTCTTTCAGAGGAAGGCGCTCTCTCTCTCTCTCTCTCTCTCGAGGCTTCCTCCCCACTTCAGGCTATGGGAGCTGGACCTCGCTCCCCTCGGCCTCGGTCGCAAAGGCAAAGCTGCCATAAAAAAAAGGTCGAATACCACCTCTGATCCGCTTAACGAACTGCAACAGGTTGGGGGGGACGATGCTCGTCGGGGGCCAAGTCACTGGACTCATTTAAAAAAAAAGAAGCTGGAGGGTGGGGTGGGGGGTGGGGGGAAGGGGGTAGAGGGGGAGAGGGTGGGGGTCCTGTAGGGATGAGGACTGATGGATCTGCGTCCAAATTCCTCCTGGGATCCAAACAGCGGGATTCCCTCTGCTCCTCCCACACCTCGACCGCTTTTAACTCCTCGGCACCGCGCCCCGAACCCCTCCCTTCCCCGATCCCCAGCGCCACACTGCGAACCGACAGAGAGAGAGAGAGAGAGAGAGAGAAAAAAAATCAAATGCTCTTCAACCGGGATCTGAGATACAGGGTCTCCAACGCCAAATAATGCCGTCGCCTTCACAGAGCAACTCGTGAGGACAAAGGCGCGGACACTCGCACTTAAACCCACAGCCTCACTCGCGCACTCACTCACTCTCTCTCACTCTCTCTCTCTCGTCCCTCAAACTTTCCGCAAACGCTCCCCAATCGGGGCTGCGCTTAACCGGGACTTACCGGGAGAGCGTCCGAGCGACTCCCAAAACCTGCGGTGCAAAACCCTGCGGAGAGAATGGAGGATGTGAGGCCGGAGAGAGAGAGAGAGAGAGAGAGACAGAGAGAGAGAGAGAGAGAGAGATCCTCGGAACACGCGAGTACTCAAAAAGCTGGAGATTGCGCAACGAACCGGAGACGTGACATTGTTTCCCGAGTTTAGAGGAAGGTCGAGAGGAGAATGGGATCGGTTGGGTCGGTGCTGCGGGTGGTCGGAGAGTCGGGAAAGTCTGAGATGGCGATTGCGCGCGAGAGAGAGAGAGAGAGAGAGGGAGAGGGAGAGAGAGAGGATGGAGATTGGGAAAGGAAACCACGTATCTGTCCAGTGCGCGACTTGAGTAATGTAGAGTTCATTCAGAATGTCAGAGGAAAGGAATGTTTGGCCGAGTGACCGCCTGTTTTATAACATTCAACCCCCCCCCACCCCCTGAAAAAAAAACGGAGTCACGGGGAGGTGTGAGCCCCGACCCGCGACCAGCTCAGGGGGCAGAGCCCACAGGACAGCCCGGTGATGGTCAGCCTCCCCCGCTATCCCCTTGGAGATGCAAACAAACCCGTGCCAGGAACCCGGCTCCCCCACTGCCACCGGGAGCCCCGCGCGGGCGGCGGGGCTGGAAGTGTCACCCGCGGGACCGACAGCAGATTTCACGCTGTTTCTCGCTGATCGCGGTCCTTTACACCGCGGTCACTCACTCACTCACTCACTCACTCACTCACCGGTTTACGATGTTCCCGCACCGTCACTTTCCAGCAGTAACTCCGGGCAACAACTAACGAGCTCGCGGTCACCGCACAGCAAAAAAATTCATTCACTTGGGGGCAGTAAACGGGAGTTTCGGGCCGGGATTCACACACCCCCCCACACACACCCCCACCCCACCCCACCCCACACCCCCCGGAGAAACCAACGCTCTCAATTAAGAACGGATCAGCCCGGGTGTGTGCTCCGGAGCGTGTGGCTCTCAGCGTACGGTGACGGCGATCGGCGGCTGAACCGGTTTAGCGGTGGAGCGGCTGCACTTTCCCCCTCTCTCTCTCTCTCTCGCTCTCTGACTGACAAACATGAGGTGCGGTGCCGTGCGGTGCCGTGCCGTGCGGTGCCGGGGTGGGGTGGAGCCGATGCCGCCTCTCACTCATTCACTCACTGGCGCGCGGTTACATTGTGTCTCTCTCTCACACACACACAGCGGATACATCACACGCCGTGAACCGCCTCCTGTCAATCACAGCGCCCCCCCCGCCAATCAGCGAGCAGCTCCACCGCACCACGTGGGGTCGGACCGTATCTGAATGGCGGGGGGCGGGGCCAGCGCCGGGCGCGGGGTGTGTGACAGAGAGTGACAGTGAGCGAGTGTGACTGTGGGTGTGTGTGACTGGGTGTGTGTGACTGTGTGTGTGGGTGTAACTGTGTGTGGGTGTGTAACTGTGTGTGACTGTGTGTGTGACTGTGTGTGTGTGTGAGACTGTGGGTGTGACTGTGTGTGGGTGTGACTGTGTGTGTGTGAGACTGTGTATGGGTGTGTAACTGTGTGTGTGTATGTAACTGTGTGTGGGTGTGTAACTGTGTGTGACTGTGTGTGTGACTGTGTGTGTGAGACTGTGTGTGTGTGTGACTGTGTGTGGGTGTGTAACTGTGCGTGGTTGTGTGTGTGACTGTGTGAGTGTGTAACTGTGTGTGGGTGTAACTGTGTGTGGGTGTGTGACTGTGTGTGTGTGAGACTGTGTGTGGGTGTGTAACTGTGTGGGTGTGTGTGTTGTGTGTGTGAGAGAGAGAGAGACTGTGTGGGTTTGACTGTGTGTGCGGGTGTGACTGTGTGGGTGTGTGTGTTGGGGGGTGACGGCCGGTGACCGGTACCGGGCTGATCGGGCGGCTGCCATTCACTTTCAGTCAACGAGTTGCACCGACAAGAATCACAGCTATTGCACTCCGACCGCCATGAATGACATTAGTGTTAACCAAACTCTTGATGTTTATTTGGGGGCGTTTATTTGGGGTGACAGCAAATTGGCTGCTACGGCCAACGGGCCTTTTTTGTTCATCTTTACCCAGTGAAATCAAACCACAAGTCAGCGAAGATAGTTATTGGAAAGAACAGCAGCAAAATTCTAAATATAATCAGACAGTTCGGTCCAGCGCGGTAGTTTATTACTCAGATTATTAAAGTGTCTGAAATGTACCAGGCTCTTCCTTACTCAAAAAAAAATTCAATTCTCCTGAGGGCATTGCTGTCAACAAATAATAACACCTGTGCCGCTGAACTCTACAGTCGCTGTTCCGCGTTCTTCAATAGTTACATGCTTCTGCTCAGTGATATCATCCACAGGCATAGGGTTAACTTCGCCTCCACCCTGAACTCCAGAACCACTCGACAAGACAGAGACCCACCAGCTTAGCTCCTGTCAGTGCCTCCTCACCTCAGGTGCTGACAGCATCACTTTTCAGGGATGTATTCTCCACCTCACCAATTAATATGGAATTTGGGTATCTTGTTTGACCCTCAAATGTCTTTTCGTGCCATGATCCATTCTGCCTTTCCCCACCTCTGCCACTACCTCGCCCCTCAGACTGCCGAGACCCTCATCCATGCTTTCACTATGTCCAGGCTCGACTATGCTAACTCCCTGCTTGCCTGACTTCCCAACTCATCCCTCCACAAACTGCAGTTTATTCAGAATTCTGCAGCTCACTTCCTCTCGCACACCAAGCTCCATGAGCAGATCACCCCCAACCACCAACCCCTCCCCATCTCTCGCTTACACTCTGGCTCCTACCCATCCATCCCTCCCTCCACACCTTCGAACTTGTCTCCTCTCTCTCACCATCACTATAACCCACATGAAGCCAACCACCTGCTCCCTCGACCCTATCCCTACCCCCTTCCTTACCTACCAGCTCCACCTCCTTATCCCTTTACTCTTAGTCCTCATCAACCTCTCCCTGTCAACTGGCACCATTCCCATTGCCCTAAAAACAGCTGTCATTACCCCTATCCTAACAAAAACCTTCCCTGGACCCATCCCTGTTCACTAACTACTGCCCATTTTCAATCTCCCTTTTTCCTTTCCAAGAGTTGTTGCCTTCCTGCTTCACTCCTTCCTCTCCTGTCACTCCCTTTATGAACCCGTCCAATTGGGTTTCCATGCTGCCCACAGGTTCTGTCCTTGAATGGTTCAGATCCCATCTCTCACACCATCTCCACTTTGTCTCCACAAATAGCTTCTCCTTCAGCCCCCGCACCATGGTGTTTCGTGTGGTGTTCCTCAGGGCCCTGAACTCGGTCTTCTCCTCTTCAACCTGTACATGCTCCCTCTTGGGGATATCATCCGCAGACATGGGGTCAAATTGCACATGTACATGGATGACACCCAACTCTATCTCTCTGCCTCCACCCTCGATCCCAGGACCACTGATGTTCTGACAGACTGCCTGCCTATGGATGTGAGACGACTTTCTACAGTTGAACGTCACCAAGGCTCTCCTGATTGGCTTGTGCCAGCACCTCCACACCTTAAACACTGGCAGCATCAGTATCCACAGATGCACACTCCATCTCACCAAGCCAGCCAGGAATCTAGGCATCTTGTTCAACCCTCAACTGTCCTTTCTCCTCCACATCCAGGCCATGACCCACTCTGCCTTCCATCACCTCCCCAACATTGCCCAACTCCACCACTGCCTCACCCCTCAGGTTGCCAAAACCCTCATATATGCCTTCATTACAACCAGGCTTGACTATGCCATACCCTGCTTGTCGGCCTTCCCAACTCTTCCCTCCACAAGCAGCAAATCATCCAGAACTCTGCAGCTCATGTCTTTTCCTGCATCAGGCTCCATCCTCACCCAGCTCCACTGATCCTTCAGAGGATCAAGTTCAAAATCCTTGTCCTCACCTTCAAGGCCCTCTATGGCCTTGCCCCCCTCCTACCTCTCCGACTTATTATAATAATAATCATAATAATCCTTGCATTTGATATAGCGCTTTTCACGTCGTGAGGACATCCCAAAGTGCTTCACAGAACACACTGTAAAGTGAATTGATTGTATATTTGTGGGCGAACGCGGCAGCCAATTGCGCACAGCAATGTCCCACAAACAGTCATAGATTGAAAATGACCAATTTATTATTGTTTTTGGTTTTGGAGGGATTATTATTAGGCACTGTGTGGAGTAAGGAAACTTGCCCAAGGTTTTGCGCTGCCTGGAATTGAACTCAGGTCTCTCGCTCGCAAAGCGAGTGCTCTAACCACTGAGCTACAGCTACAGGACTCCACTTATCACCTGTCTGCTCCCTCTGCTCAGCAGGCTCTGGTCTGTTCTATGTCCAGCCCACCCCACCATCGGCGGTTGGGCCTTCAGCCTCTCTGCCCCCACCCTCTGGAACTCCATCCCACATTCCTTTCAACTCGCTCCCTCGCCTCCTTCAAGGCATGCCTCAAGCTCCTCCTCTTCGACTGTGCCTCGGCCACCCTCCTAACCCCACCCTCAACCCTCCCTGATCCCAACTGCCCCCATTCGGGTCTAATCCCTGATGGTTCAGCGCTTTGGAACGTCCTCTCAACATAAAAGACGCTTTAAAAATGTATTTTGTATTGTGTTTATCCTCACCCAGCATCACTGACTTCCCATTTCCCATCGCGTCCAAGATCTATTTCCTAATTTTTAAAGCCCTCCATGGTCTTGCTCCTCTCTACCTCTGCAACCTACTAGAACCTTACCAACCTTCCCACTCCCTCTACTCGGCGAGCACTGGTGTGCTCCATGTACCCCGCCCTGCACCATCAGTAGTCAGGCCTTCACCCTTTCTGCTCCGACCCTCTGGAACTCCATCCTGGAGCCTCTCCCTTGTCCCATCCCTAACCTCGTCTCAAGACCTTTCTCTTTGACCTTGTTTTCGGTCATTCTCCAACTTGCTTGCTCTCTACCCCTCTCGACTGTACTCGCCAGCTCGGTTGCAAATCCTTCACTGTGTAGCACCTTAGCACACCCTCCCGACATGAAAAGTGCTATATAAATGCAATTTGTTGTTATTCTACACGTCAAGACTCCCCTCAAACCAGTGTACAGTACATGCCATGACAATGTACCCAGCACTCTTAGAGAATATTTTCTAACATAAAACAGTTGCAAACAGAGCCTGTTCTTCCTTCCTGAGTTGCAGGCAAATCACAATGTTCCTAAAAACAATGAAAATGAGCATTGCCAACGGTCAGGAAAGACGTTCAGTGCAACACAGCAGCACAACCAGACCTGGGGCTGAAAGATATATAGGAGCCGTTGTCTGGTTCCACCTGGGAATTACCACAGAAATTCGTTGAACCTACAAAAGAGCGTGGTATGAATCTATTGCTAAAACTCTTTTTTTATACTCTACGTATCAGCTTGGCTCAGTTCATAGTACTCTTGCCTCCGAATCAGAACTTTGGGGTTTGGAACTCAGAGTCTAGGTTGAAACTCCATTGCGGTGCTTGAGTTGTGTTGCCATGATGGAGATGCTATCCTTTGCAGATGTTATACGGAGGTCTTGTCTGCCTGTTCAAGTAGATGTTACCTGTCCTATAGCACCAATTGAAAAGAAAAGGGAGTTTCTCCCTGTGTCCTGGCCAACAATTGCACAATAAAATTGGTCATTCATTATATGTCTGTTTGTGGAGTGTTGCTCTGAGCAAATTAGCTGCTGTGTTTGCCTGCAAAATAGTCACTGCACTTTACAGACATTTAAAGCTGATGTAACTGAGTCTGGGATCTGTTCTAGATTTTGTTACAGGAACCTGAATTTGAATTGAACCTGTCCAAACATGTTTTATTCCAAAAAGCAGAGAGAGAAGGGAATTTCTGTCTGGATTGGATCAAAGCCAGAGGTGGAAGGACAATGCACTATTTCACTCACTGAATCATGCACTACCCCCCATACATGTCTGTAACTTTGATTCTCTGCATTGCATTGTAAAAAATAGAATGTTTGACTCATACACATAATCTATCTTGAGGTACAGATGTCATTGAACTTCAACAGGTTTATAGCACTTAATCTGCTTGCTGTATTGATGACAGTAACACATTCTGGGTACTTTACTAGCCTGTGTAAATAATGTATATTGGACAGTTTACCTGATTCGTTGGTTTCTCAATAAAATCTATAGTACATAACAAGCTAATCAAGTGTACTCTACGAATTTCCCTGGTTACAGAAAAAATAATTAACACATACCAGGAAGTCATTTTAAAGCTGCAACCTGGTCTCGGGATGAGGACTATAAACCACTTGTTTGTTCCCAATACAATCTTCACTAATAGAATATAAACAAAAGCGTATTTTGAAAGTTTGTGCAAGAGAATTCTCATTCCAGTTGAGAGGATTAGCACATATCTGAACCAAGCAGGATTCCAAGCTACCAGTTACAAACACTCGCCTTGTGTCAAAGCCTGACTCAGCCACATTTCTTGGCAACTTAAGTCCTGTGCTTATCAGGACTGAATTGTGCTATTTGCAAGTTTCTGCTTTATGTGTGTCTGTGAAGGAGGCAGAGGCAGTGACAAAGGAATTGAAGTTTAATTCTGGAATAATTTAACAGCTGATGTTGAGTTTGTTGCTTGTCCCTTTGCTCCTCTCCACCCTGCAGTTCAAGTTCCAGTCAGTTGGGCCCAGGTCCCTTTGTCTTTTAATTTTATTTTGTGTAACTCACCAGAAATTGGGCAAAAGGAATATTAATAGTGCAGTCAGATTGCAGTTGTGGCTGGTTGCATCTTTTCTTTATACCAGTTACATATTAAATTAGTTTTGATGAGTTTTGTGCTCATTAATGAGGGATGTTAAGTGTTAAGCGCTCTGAGACGCTCCGGCATGAAACGTACTATATAAATGCAAAGTTTTTATTGTTATGTACTGTTGCCGCTTTTGCTGGTATCCAGCACCCACAGATTAGTTGCAGTTGGTTGCAAAGCACACTCCAGTCTGAATTCAGCCAGAGGCATGTCCCCTCCTGTAAAAGTCCCAACATTATGCACTTATCACACAAGTTCACTGGGATATCTCTTGGGACGTTGCCAATTCAGCAATATTAGGAATGTTGTGCTGTGGCCAAGTAAGAGCTGGTGAGAGACTGTCCCAAACACACTGTCCAAACTTGTTTCATTCCAAACAGCTGAGAAAAGGGAGTTTATGTCTGGATTGGATCAAACCTGGAAGTGAAAGGACATTGCACTAACTCACTCACTATCCCATACATATGTGTAACTTTGTTTCTCTGCTTTGCATTGTAAATACAATGTCTGACGCAGACACAATCTATCTTGAGGTACAGATGACATTGAACTTCAGTAGTTTTATAGCATCTAATCTACTCGTATCGCTGAGAGTAACACATTCTGAGTACTTTACTACCCCGTAGAAGATAACAGATTAGTTTGCAATTCGTTGGTTTCTCAATAAAAAAACAAATTAATACATAACACAAGTTAATCAAGCACTACACTCCATAATGTGTTCTACCCCCTACCCTCCACCACTCCTGATCCCAAACGCCTGCTCGGGTCCAAATCTCTGACTGTCCATTGCTTTGGGATATCCTCCTGACGTTAAAGGCGCTATACAAATGTAATTTGTTGTTGACAGCAGGATCCTGATAGCTTGCTAGAAGTCGGCCTGGATTAAAACTTGAGATGCAGAATTAAAAAACCATTATTTCAAACCAAGAAAAAAATACCAATGGGATACTGCCCTGCAGTGTTGCGGTGTGATTGCACTTCAACAACAAATTACATTTGTATAGCACCTTTCATGTCAGGAGCACTTCCCAAGGCGCTGGGACTTGAACAGCATCATGGCAGAAGGCCAGTGGCATCTCATTAGTTAGCTGCTCTCCACTTGCCGAATGTTTTGTCAAGTAAGGGCAAGTGGGAATGTGACATTAAAAAGAAAACCTTGGGATAGCAGAAAGAATCTAAAGCCAATCAATGCTTACTCCTGCGCTTTTGAACACCAGTGGGGAAATCTTAACTACAGAGATGGGAAGTGGAGGCGTGCAGGAGGCTGGATAGAGTTAGGTTCCCTCTCCTGTGCACTCTCCTGTCCGCTATGCACAAGGCAGGTCAGCAGCCAATTGTGCACAGAGGTGTCCCACAAACAGTTGTGGATTGAGTGACCAAATTATTACTACTTTGGTTACTGTAAATAAAGACTAGTTGAATATTCCTGTTGGAACAAATATTTTGAAGGCAGCTCGATGATGTAGTGGATAGAGCTGCAGTTAAAGGCCTGAGAACACTTTGCCAATGAAATGCATCACAGCATCAGGAGACTGGTGCCCGGAGCAGAAAAGTATATGCCAATGGGGAAAGTTACAAAATAATTGAAACCAGTAATTTTATGTAAAATATCATTGTGCTCCCTTCAATATAGGTCTGTGCATTGCTGAATACTACATCAGCAGCAGGTGGCAGTCTGAACAAGCAAAAAACAAGCAGATGTTTGTGAAATGCCACATCACTACATGGACCTATGTGTGCCAGGAGCGAATAGCTAATACTTGGATGGATACAACCTCAGCCTGATTGAAGGCAGACTGTAATCATTTCACCCATACAAAAGAAAGAAAAGGAAGCTTTGAATAGTGAACCACAGATGCATTTACTTACTGCCACACAGAATGGTCGTGATACAAGAGGACTTTGAGTCAGAAACCATCCTGGAAGCCAAAGCTCAAAATTGTTAAATCATGAAGGCATTACAACATTTATATTTAAATGCTGATTTATTCCCATTTCTTCTATTCTTTAAATCACTGTTACTCACTTTTGGTCAAGCACCACAATCCCATGAGGGCTGCTCTCAGGAATGCTGTGATGACTTCCTTAGTAAATTCCTGATTTCACCCTGGTGGTGGAGTAGCCATTGACCTGGCACCTTCCACAGGAAGAAAAAAAGCCCCGCAGCAAATAGCATGTATCATCTACCTACCATAGCAATTATATTTCATTTCAAATTCAATGCAACATTAACAACATTGTCAATCAACAGCTTTCATATATCTAAGTCATGGTGCTCATGGGTGTCAGGAGATCCCTGACAAGAAAACCACTGCAGTGAAGAGAACATTAAAGGTCTTCTGTCTGTGTTCGGAAATATAGAAATACAAAACATTAATCAAACCAACATTTCTTCTGTTCTCTAACTCAACGCACTTAAAATACAAAAGTAGCATGTGACTGAGTTTCAGGCAAAAACAGGAAGACTCGTTAAAGGGAAAGCAACTGTGCCATTTATTTATTTAATGAGACAGGTACAGCAATGGTGGCATGCTTAAACAACTGCCCCATTTCAGACCATAGAATGTTACATTTTGCTTGGAACAGCAGTCTCACTGAGAAATGGACTGGAAATTACACATTTGATAGATTGTTCAGACTTCATCTACCACCAACAATGCAAACAGAAACCAAAGCTGCACTGGCTGTGAGTAAACAACAGGCACAACATGAAACCCTTAAAGTGAAACACATAACAATCCCAGTTTTCCCTCCCTGTTTCCCCCTACCCGACACTGACTAGTTCTAGTTGTACATTGTCATAGCATTATACGAGGGTTTAATTCAGCAACGTATGAGCTACAAATTTTAAAAATATTAGATAATAGAAACACCCTCAAATTCAAATCACGCAAGTTAAACAAGTTCTTCAGCCTCTTTGCTCTCTTTGTTCTTCCTTACTTCTTCCAGGTGTTTTTCCTAAAAGTATAAAAAAATCAAGTTTACCACAGAGACATTTTATGCAAAACACTTTAACGGCAGTTGAACAATGCACAGCTGTAGTGAAATAAAGTGTGTACTTAAGTGCATCAATTCTTATTGTTAAATTGAAAAATACAACTAACACCAATTTGCATTTCTATAGCGCCCCTCAAGGAGGTAGTGTTCCAGAGAGCTTGGCAGAGGCAGAGCATGACGCAGAGCCGGGGAGAGGTGACCGTAGGAACGGGCGAAGAGCAAGGTCTTCAGGCGCAATCTGAAGATGGGGGGAGTAAAATATTAATATTTTAATATGAAAATTGTTTTAATATTAAAATATTAAGATTTGGCACCAATTTGACCAGTATTTACATCACCCACAAAGCTAAACAAGTCTTTCCCAAACCATTGCATTTACTGTAGTTATCACTCGTTTCTCAAATTAATTGTGGAAGATTTATCAATAAGTTTGTCTTCAATTTTACAGCAGATGTTGAATTATTACAGAATTAATAGTGTGGATTTGGGTAGTTTCAGTGTGGGAGCTAGTATGGTAAACACACGTTCTATATTTCACATTTGAGGAATGGAACTGCATCGCTGCAGATGTTACACTGTTGTGAGAGGATTAGGTAAAAATTGAATATAAAAAAGGTCTTGTGATCACTTTTGGTAATTTTTTAATTGCAAATATTGTATATAAGTGTTCATTTTCTATTGAGAATTACCTTCTCTCGCAGGCGCTCCAGTTTGGCAGCTAGGTAGGCATCACGGTTCTCTTTAATGACTTCCATCTTGGAGGTCAATTTCTCTTCTGCCATTTTGCTAAATTTGTTATTTTCTTCAATTGCTTTCTGAAGCACCTCTTTGACATGCTCCCGTTTTTCAGCCAGTTGCTTCAGCACTTCTGCTTCATGTGACTAAAAGAAAAATAAGAGATTAATTGTTCAGCAAAGCATTTAGACTCTGAAGATAGTTCTGCTCATTTTGGAGATGAACGTCGCATCAGGTGCAGACCATTTTGGATGAAAATCATATGATTTTACAAGATTCTACACTTCCTGGACCTCAGATCTCTCTCTAGGCAATTAAACAAGAGGAAATAATTCATTTTAAAGTAGCTTTGGGAAGGATGATGAAGTTAGTAGTGCTGGTTTTCTAAGAGACTAAGTGATGATGGGTTAGAACACAGTTGTTTAATTTCTCAGAATCCAGTCCAGACCAGTAGGATGAAAAGTTTCCTTACTGATTTTTAAAATGTCCATTTGAATTCAGTTCGGAAAACTTCAGTCCGGTTCCTACTAGACGGAAGTCCACATCATTTTTCAAGGATGGATCAGACTATGTTAGGCAGGAAGGTAGATTTGCTGTATGGATCCCCTTGCCAACAGTATTTAACTGAGATTGCAAAGATCTTTAGTACCTTTCGTCTGTTCTCAGCAGCTTCCAGTTTTTTCTGAATGTCTTCAAGTGACCGATCCTTCTTGGGAGAAAGAGGGAATTCTGGAATTGCTTCAGCTGTAGGGCTCAAGATTATCTCAAAAGCCTGTCCAGAAGACCGCTTGTCGAGCTCATTTACCTTAATATCTGAAAGAGCAACAAATATATTTAGTCTGATTCAAATCCATCGCCATTTAATTATCTGCTAAATGCTGGCCAAAAACATTAATTTCAGTTTTGAATCATAGCCAATTCTCAATAAAACAAGATTTTAGATTAGTGAATGAATAAAACAATAACCTATAAGAACTGAAAGTAAAAATTCAATTTAGTAATAATTTTAATTAGAAATAATTTTCAAAATGGCTGAGAAAAGACAGCCTTTGGATAAATCTGCATGTCGTCGTCCCCCTGAACCTAAGTAAATCTGGGTCCACCATTTTGGTCCTCGCAGAATGGTAATGTCATGAATCCAATAAAGCCCAAGTCTTGCAGCTCAAATTAGTATAAATATCGAGCCATTATTGGGGGCTCTGAAAGTCTGGTAATCACTACGTAATTAGTCCTCCTGACGTGAAAGACGCGATACATATGTAATGTTGTTGTGTACTTAGAAGAAATTATTTCATCTAAGCAAGACACTTTGTCAATTTTTAGCAGATTTCGATTTTAACAACCCACTGGCCAGCCTGAGTAAAACACAGATGCAATCTCTTTTTTCTTATTTTGTAAGCGCAGGTTTTCTTCCTCTTCCTCAGTATAATTTACAGGCAATGAGAGTGTATTCCACTTTGCAATACTCTATTTATAAAGTACATTGTCTGAAATCATGAGTTCAGATAAAGGACTCCACACCAAAAATAGAAATGCATCTTTATTTATCTGTTGAATGACATGTCATGAATTTCCAACATTTTTTGTTTTACTAAGCCATCTTTGTTGTATACAGTCTGTTTGCAGACTTTTCAATGTGTCCAAATAAATAACTCATCTTGCCCGTAATACATATAAAAAGTAATCTTAACTCTAGCCAGCATTCCATTCAGCACCAACTATGTCTGGCCAAGTCAGGCAGGGGACATCATACACACACTTGACAATTTCAGTACATAGACAGCCTTAACAATACTTTTTTAAAGAAAAGACAGCGACTCATCAGCACCAGTCACTCAATGTGGGTTTAAACAAAGATCAGAAATTTCTACCCCTGAGAAGAAAGTACGTAACAGAAAGCTGCAAATCTGTAAGAGCCATGAGGACTCAACAACCATCAAACACTTCATTGGCATTGGGGAAGGGCTGGATGACACTCATGTAAAGTTCCTTCTAGGATGAATCTTACACAACTTTTTGATAAGGGGAAAATGACAAAAGATTAGATTAGGGGGAAAATAAAGGGAAGGGAAAAGTTCCTAGGGGAAAATAAACCTACAATATAAATGTTACTGTTTACATGAAAGATTGCCAAGTACGCACAAGGGAAGATAACTAGTTGAGAAATGATATATTTTGGTCTGTTTCCTCTCCCCACCCCCACACCAAGCTGTTTGGCAAGAAGTTCAGATTAACATTCTAAATCCAGAAAGCTATACCACTTTCATCCACTTACCAGCACAAGCCATTGTTCAGCAAGATAACACAAACACTAAAATTGCCACCGCTCCTTAGAAGTAAAATGCAAAGTAAATGTCAGAACCTGCAAACAGAAGCATGGCAATTTTTTAATATTAATATTTTTACGCGTTGACTTATTAAAATTAAACACTAGGACTTTAGTTATTTAAAAAAACATAGTCTGATAGGTGCATTGCACAAAATACACCCAGCAGTTAAGATGGTAGTTAAATAACTTCTACCCTGCAAGAATATGTGCCACAACGAAGCAGGGCAAATTCACTATCACATTATCTGCACGTTTTCAGACAAATGTACTCATTGAATAAGACTTGTATGATTGTAATTATGATTGCCTGTTCAGGTGGATATTAAAGATCCCCTGGCAATATTCAAAAGTGAAGGGAGTTTCTACCAGTGTCCTGACCAGCAATCTCCCAAATAAAATTGGCCAAACAAGGCTGATTGTGGAACATTGCTGTGTGCAACTGGTTTCTCACAATATACACTGTCAATTCACTTTATACTGTAAAGTGCTTTCAGATGTCTTAACAACCTGATATTGGGTTATATCGAATGCAAGGATTATTATTATGAAATGTTGCAAGGAGCAGTCAGAAACTTTTGAAATGTTTTAGAACATTGACAATAACTCTTTAACAGTCATCAGAATTCAAAACTCTTAAAATTCCATTTTAGCATCAATTAATGCAATTTAAAACTGTAACCCTAGTGACCTATACTACAAATATTTATAAATGATTTAGAAAAAAAACAATTGGTATTGATCAACTGCAAACAGTGAATACTAAAATGCTGAAGTATGCTAGTAAAGTAGGAATACAACAACAGGATTACATTTGTATAGCGCCTTTCACGTTGGGAGGATGTCCCAAGGCGCTGAATAATAAGCCGACCCCAAGAATTGCAACAATTTCCTGTCTTAGAAGAAAAACAAGGTGATACTCCTGTTTATTTCATAGATTATATTACACAAACATCTCCTGGTTTTCTCCCTTAAAACACTTTTGTAAAAATAAAACAAAGGAAATAGAAATGCAGCAGCGAATGCTGCTCAGTTTCCCTAATTTCTCAACCAGTAGTGTGCAATGGATGCAATGTGAAGTCAGGATATATAGAGTAAAAGTTATATTAATCCTTGCATTTGATAAAGCACCGTATTTGAGACCTCTCAAAGCACTTCACAGAATATACTGGAAAGTGTAGTGACTGTATTTTGTGGGCGAAAAGTGCATTAAAATGCACCATTAAGAGACAAGTGTTCATCCAAATCCCAGTTTTGATGTTAAAGCAATTTTCTCCTGTAAAGGCCACCATTTTGTAGTTGGCAAATGAGTGGATTGTAGCTGCACATTCCAACCCACCTCCGTCTTCCCCAACTTCTCTGGTCCTAACGAGTGGCAGCAATGCTTTTCTTCTGGAACAAATCGGTCTCGATTACTGAAGAACAAACGTGATGTCTTCTGACAACAATGAACCCACTTCAAAACAAAACGCGCCATCCTATCTCGGCGCTGGGAATACCGTCTTGCCAAATGCCGCCTCCGCGGACTTGGGGGCCAAGGATATGCCGTCAGTCTAATTCTAGAATTTGAGGCTATTTCAGCCAATGTAACATACACTGATATTAAGATTTCAGCAGTTTGCCCATGACATGCAATGGAACTTTCTGGCAAATATGAAATACACACATGAGGGACGACTAAATGAGTGATAAACATAACACCGCCCAAAATATTCAAGTACATATCATGTGAAACGTCGAATTTAAGGCACTAAAAGTTCAAACAGTTTGGTCGTCCTGATCTCATTGGGAAGGGGCACCGACACCTCTCAAGAGTTGCTGGAGGCGTTGGATACCGGTCACCGACCCCACTGTATGTGGGGGTTTTAACACAGCAGCGCCTCGGGAGGTCAGTTCGCGAGGCCAAAGCCCAGTCGGTTTGGCCCCACAGAGACATCGGACAGCTCCCCTCAACCAGGCGGCGGTCGAGGCTGGGCTGTCAGGTGGGTCAGTTGCGGAAGGGGAGAGCAGGCGGGTGGTCAGTGGCGGGCGCTCAGGCCGCACGTGTCCGCCTCCGTGGCCCCGCGCTTACCCTCACACGGACCCAAGCAGTGAGAAGGGCAAATCACGGGCGGGCCGGGCCAGGCCAGGCCGACCGGCCAAACGCGAGGCTTCCTCCCTCCCTCCCTCCCCACCCCCCGCCCCCCTCGGGAGCAGCGGGCCGCGCACGGTTACCTCCGCTCCCGCTCTCCGAGCCGCCGCCTCGCCAACTGCCGCCGCACGCGCGCGCGCCGGCCGCTCGCTCACACTGCGCATGGGCAAGGCGCCCCGACCACGCCCCCACCCCGCCCCGCCCCCGAGCCAACGGCCGCCGCCCGGTTCAAACGTCGCGCCTTCCCGCCACTTTTCCGGCCGCTGTTATCGTTTGATTTGGACTCGTCGGTTTAGAGGCGGAGAGAGAGAGAAAAAAAAATAAAGTGTTTTGATTTAAGAATAAATGCCGAAACAATGGCCGTTTCCAAAAGTTATCCAATAACGGTGTGTGCACCAATTTTTTTTTTTTTTTTTTTTAACCCCTTCCTCCAGGATTCCTGGTCACCAGCAAAGCCAAGTCACCCAAACCCGGAATAATTAACACACAATCCCCACTGAAATTATTATATTTTTTTTTACCTCATTAAATTATGTCATTAAAACCCATCGCGCGCGCGAGGGACTGCGTGTCAAGTCCCCCCCCCCACCCCACACCCCCGGTCGGAAACGTGTCCACGCCGCCGTGACCTGCGTGCGGTTTGCCCGCTTCGAATTCAGGGAACCCGTTAAAATAACTTTAATTTTTTTTTTAAACGGCGTGGGCGGTCTTGCGAAACGTGACCGGGCGGTGCGGGTGGGGGTGTGGAGGAGAACCCACCACATTCGGGAATAGAGTGCGGAGTCCCGCAGCTTGCGCTCTCCTGAGAGACCCCGGGCTTGGTTCCCGTTCGGGCACGATTCCTCACTCCCACCTCGCAGGCAGTAGGATCCCAATCGTTAAGTCGATCGGCTTTTCCGGGGTAATCCCTCCGAAAAAAAAAATCTAAATAAAAAAAAAAAAAATCAATCGGTCACTCCACCCACGACTTGTTTCGCGGGATGAACTGACCTGACCGCCCGGTTTCGCCCACACAATAGTCAATTCACTTTACAGCATATTCTGCGAAGCGCTTTGGAGACGTCCCGAAGGCGCGATCAGGCGCTGGATCAAAGAGGATTTATCTTATTATTTTATCGGGATATTTTCCGGCAGCGACACCCATCCTTCATTTTAGCAGCAGAATCGCCACAAGCGGTAATGCTCTTTTGCTCAGCATGCATCAAGCTCGTCAATTAACTTCAAAATTAGACAACGTGATGTTCCCCCCGTTGAAGGGTCAGACCTGGTGCTTTCAGAAGCCACTACCGTAACATCTCCGCGCATCCTTCTTTATAGAATACTTCGTGACAGAACAGTAATTTGTGCAGTTTTATTGGAAGTCAAGACAGGTACAAGAGGTTAGGCAGGTTTGCAAAGCTACATACTGGTATGGAGTGTAACAATTCGCACGTGACAGCAGATTACTGCAGAAAGCATGCTAGTAATTACATAATTCACATTTATTTTAACCGGGAAACTAACCTGCAACCAGCAATGCCCATTGAATGCACTACAAATAGAAAAGTAACAGCTGCCATTATCTACATCAGAAAAGACCATAAGAAGGTTTACAAAAAGTGAAACATACAAACAAGCTTTCCCTATTTCTCCTGCTCAGCTTTTTTTATGTTCTTAGCTGCACATTTTATAGCATTACAAAGGTTTGAATTCAACACGTTGGCCATAAAGTAACAAAAAAACATCTTTGGATGGTTGAAAAAACCCTCAAATTCCAAACATGTAGAGAAGATGAGGCCCTAGCCTTCAGTCTCTTTGATCTCTTTGCTCTTCCTCACTTCTTCCAGACGTTTCTCCTAAAGTTGAAAACAAGACACGTAGATTTGTAAAGAATCAGTACAAGAATTCACATTTTATAACTGCTCTCATCACCCATTGAGCAGATTTGGTTGACTGCAATCCTAAAAAGTACACCACTTTCATGTTTATTTGTTGGGCTTAAAATTATCATCATCTTTGTCGTCTCCAAGGGATCCATTTTAACAATGGCTTAACCTACAGACCAAGACATTCTCAGGTTGAATCTATGGTCTGTGCTGCACCAGAATAGCAATGAGGGGCTCTAATTGCACTTTGGATACCCACGCAACAGGGTGGTTTGGGAGGTGGGGGGGGGAAAAAAGGGGACGAAACTGAGGAAGCAGCAATTAACTCACCTGGAATGGATTATACTAATGCAATAACAATACTCCACAAATTTGATGAACCTCTCCCCCAACCCCATCAAAATCTATTTGTTTACCAATTAATCCATACATGACATTGAGTCAGAACTTGCCTTCTCTCGCAGGCGCTCCAGTTTAGCAGCTAGCTGGGCTTCACGATTCTCTTTATTGGCTTCCATCTTGGTAGTCAGTTTCTCTTCTGCCATCTTGCTAAAGTTGTTATTCTCTTCAATTGCTTTCTGAAGCACCTCCTTTTCATGCTCTCGTTTTTCAGCCAGCTGCTTCAGCACTTCTGCTTCATGTGACTGTACAACAAAGACCATTTGTTTAGCCAAACAAACAATTCATCCACAAGGCCCATCCCACTGTTTTGGTGACACAAACAAATAGGAGCGTAAAACATTTAAAGACTTAACAAAAGGAGAGAAAAGCAAAGCTGTAATATTCTCAGTTGCTTACCCAAGCTACTCCTACCACCTGCACTGTCGCTTAACAACAGCTTCACTATCTTCAGCGCCAAATTAGAAAGTTGTATATTTTTATTTTAAAACATCAGACATTAAGTCCTGGATGAGAGCTTACGTTCTTCAGTTGAACGTCAATAAAATCAAGGTTCTCCTGATTGGCCCCCGTCAGTGCCTCCTCACCTCAGGCGCTGACAGCATCACTAGTTGAGGGTCTTGTTCGACCCTCAACTATCCTTTCTACCCCACATTCACGTCATAACCCGCTCTGCCTTCCCCCACCTCCGCCCGGCTCCGACACCGTCTCACACTGCAGGCCGCCCAAACCCTCATACACGCCTATTACGAGGCTCGACTATACAAACTCACTGCTAGTTAGCCTCCCCAACTCCTCCCTCCACAGGCTGCAGATCATCCAGAACTCTGCAGCCCATGTTCTCTCCCGCACTAGGCTCTGTGACCCCATCCTTGCCCAACTCCACTGGCTTCCCATCACAGAGTATACAGTTCAAGATCCTGGACCTCACCTTCAAAGCCCTCCATGATCTTGCTCTGCCCCTACCTCTACAACCTCCTAACCCCCCTATCACCCTGTTTGCTCCCTCTGCTCAGCGTGCTCTGGCCTGTTTCACGTCTCCCATCCTGCTTACCCCACTATCAGTGAATGGGCCTTCCGCCACTCTGCATCCATCCTCTGGAACTCCATCCCGCAGTCCCTCCACCTCCCCCCCCCTCCAAGACCTCCTCTTCGACCGTGCTTTCGACCCCCCTGCTTCACCCCCCTACCCCGACGCTCAGCTCGAGTCCGTAACTCCATCTGTCCAACACCTTAGAACGTCCTCCCAACATGAAAGGCGCTATATAAATGTAATTTTGTTAAAAACCATAACTTTAGAGTAATCTCATATTAAAATTACATTTAGGATAACATTTTGTAATATGCAGAGGATTGTCCAAACTTGAGGATTTCAATACCAGTTTGTGCTGTATTTGCATCACCCTTGGCTGTGGAGAAAGACAATTCCAAACTATCTTACACACTAGAAAGTGCATGTAAGTCCATACAATGACAACTGAAATTAGGTTCAATTGTGATACTACACTGGTTTAATACATGCATTGTGTTTGGTACTAGAAAATCTAGAAGTGAGATAGGTACCGGGGGATTCAGAGAACCAATGAAACTATACTCAGTTTAAGTCAGCATCTTCAGAGAAAAGATCATAGAAACAATAATGCATACACCTTTCGCCTGATCTCAGCTGCTTCCAGCTTTCTCTGGATTTCTTCTAGCGAGAGATCCTTCTTCTTGGGAGGAGAAAGGGGAAATTCTGGAATGGCTTCACCTCCAGTTGGATTCAGAATCAATTCAAAAGCCTGTCCTGAAGAGCGTTTATCAATTTCTTTCACCTGGATGTCTTTCACCTGGGCGTCTGAGAAAAAAACCTTAGTGAATTGCATTATAGTCTCCAGCTGTCCCAACTATGAAAACCTGACTTTGTGCAGTTCATTCAGAAAGCTTTAGTCAGGATACAAATACTTATTTAACGAGAATCAATATAAACTGGTGGCTGAAAGAAAAACAGCCCAAGAAACAGTTCACCTGCTATTTCTAAATAAGATTGGCAAATTGGTAATAGGATGTTCAGCATTTAAAATGGATTGAGCCAAACATAATTAATATTAACAAGTGGGTCAATGTGAAGTGCAACATGAATTGTAGTGACTGGTTAGGTAAATGGGCAACTGATCTATACCAACAGAATGATAGTCTTTAGTCTTGTTATTTATCTGGTTCTCTCATGTTGGACCCCTCTATACCTGAGCAAGCTTACTGGTGCAATGTAACTTAGTCACTGTTACAGGGGGATAAATCCAGTCACTGCCTTTTATGGTTATTGGTGATCGAGCTACATGTACAAGTATAAAGCTGGGGGTTTGCGAGTGCAAGAGGAGTCTGGAGAAGATGGATGCAGAGCTTCTTTAATATAATTTTTTTTGCTTAAAAACTATTGTGCAAGTTTTGTTTTTTGGGGTGGGATCGCCTTTGGCTGTGGACAACCATTTTTTGTCCCTTGCAAACTGTGACTTGCACATAGGAAAGAGCAATACAAATGTAATTTGTTGTTGGTCTAGCCCCATGGATACTTACCAGCATTTGCCATTTTGCAGCAAGATTGTTGAAGAACTGATAACCGTTAGGAATGCAGCTCTAGGTAAGCAGCAGAACCTAGAAACAAGAGAATAATGGCAGGTCAGTTAGAATTCATTGCAGTTAGAGAACTTGTTTATTGCAAGAACATCTTTTTGGAAATTTAATTACCAACTTTACATTATTTTAAGGGTAGCCGATTGCAGTACAATTTCTGAAATTTTAGATTTAGTCAATACAGTGATGTTCAGATTCATTCACACTTCAAAAACCGTTAAAATAATCCATTATGAGAGTTGACCTGACTCTACACACTAAGACCAGTACCCAGAAACAAATCCCAACACAATTTAAAATACTGAGTGGGCATTTCTAGGTTTGCCACCTGGCTCACGTAGCATAATAGTCATTACTAAATTCAACCTATGCTTCAATGTACACTGCACCAAAAGTTATGATAACTATCCTGTTACCTAAAACAAAAATATCATCTTTAATTTAAGACTTAGACATTGTAATGGTATCACAACTTGCCATCTTGAGCCAACTGTATTTGTGCTCATTGGCTGCAATGCCACTAAATCTAACTCAGGTCACCTTCCTATCCTCCAACATTCAGTGTTTCTGCACACTTGCCAAAGCCCCCTCAAAGCATTTAATTCCTCCTTGTCATCACTCTCCCAACCCTCAGTTCAGGTTCCAGCCTACCGAAAGATTCTCCACATTAACAACTTGGATTTATATAGCAGCCTCCACACCGGACAGTGTCTCAGAGCGCTTCGCAGTAACTGATCCTGGTGCCAAGCCAGGGGGGGTGACCAAAGGCACAGTCGAAGAGAAAGGTCTTCAGCAGAGACCTGAAAACAGGAAGAGAGGGAGCGAGGCAAAGGGAGCAAAAGGAAAGGAGTTCCGGAGCTTCAGGACATAGTGGCTGAAGGCACAGCCGCCGAGGGTGGAGCGGAGGACTCGGGGGACGAGGAGGAGGCCAGACCCAGAGGAACGAAGGACGGGTACTGTTTTGAGGAGAGAGGTCAAAGAGGTAGAGGGGTGCAGAGGAGTGGTGGGATTTGAATACAAGGGTGAGGATCTTGAAGTCAATCCTCTCTGGGATAAGTAGCCAGTGCAGTCTGGCAAGGACTGGGGTGATTGGGTAGTGGAGTTTGGTGCGGGTGAGAATGCGGGTGGCAGAGTTTTGAATGATCTGTATTTTATGGATGGTAGTGGATGGGAGACCGGAGAGGAAGGCGTTAGAATAGTCCAGCTGAGGGGTGACAAAGGCATGGACTCGGGTTTCAGCAGCTTTCGGAGAGGGGTATTTGTGGAGGCGGGCAATGCATTGGAGGTGGAAGATGGCGGTGCTGGTGAGGGACCGGATGTGGGGGAAGAGAGGATAATTGGGGAGGGTCGAACCTGACACCTAAGTTATGATATCCACCAAATTGCTGAGGATTCCAATCGAAATTCAGTAGGCAAATGCTGAGTGGTTGTACTTTGTTCAATCGGTTACTTCACATCTTTGACCAACAGCTGTTACCTCATTTGCTGTAATTAAGTCAAAGCACTCTGACTGCTCCCCAGCACCCAAAAGATTTTGGACTGTCTGCATTCCCTCCTGAAATCTTCAAAGATTTAAAAATCCAACTGTTCAGTCTCTACCGTTATACTTTTAATGTCAACACACTCTTATTAGTCAGTTTCATGAGCTATGTCAGAAGAACAGAATCACGCACAGAATACATCTCATTTGTGAAGTGCATTATCTCCACACAAAATAAATGTATCAGCTGACAAAGAGTCTCATGATTAGACACAGTAGGAAAGTTCTTTCAGTGGAACAAAAGACCTGATGGTGTTGTGCAAATCAGTGGGTCGCTGGTCCAGGGTTACAATCCTACACTTGAATTCCAATATCAGCTGGAACTCACTCGTAATGGCCGAAGTAAATAGCTTACAACGTGTTTTTTTAAAAAAAATATAAGCATAGTAGCATCAAGTGCTCCGACACTACTTTAAGCCCTGGGGCACCATATCCACATGCAAGTGTAATAGTAATTAATGTCTTAATCTGCGCGTTACACGATTTGCCAAGGCTGCCTCGAGGAGTCTTCACAAAGGAAACTATTGTACACAAAGGCATCGAATGATTTCACGACTACACTATACCAACCGTGCCTTCGATGTGAATTTTTAACGGGTGAAATGCGTGAAATCGCAACAACAAAGTAGGGGGCGTCGGTGTTCATTTACCAGACATTTCCGGCATGTAGAGGCAGGTGCTTAGTAGTGTTGCCCGTCATGTGGTTCCTTCACGTCAACATCTCAAAGCCCTTCCAAGACAATGAGTTGCCTTTGAAATGTAGTGACAAACGCGACAACGAGCATCTTTCCAGGTGAACGACTAATTTCAAAAAACACGTGTTGGTAAAATTTGGACTAGGGATCAATTCCCCCCCACCCCAACGCACCACAGGTCCGCCCTGATCTTTTGTGGTGGATTAGTCACCGCCCGAGAGGAGCTCGATATCGGCATTCAGAAAACAAGAGTCAGATCCGATAAACCCGATCGATTCGGGCGTGTCCGCGTGGTGTAGGTTATCTAACCCGAGATTGCCCCGAAGCCCCAATGAAAGACATCCAGTGCGGTTTCGAGCGCATCTCCGGGGCGGGGGCTGCGCGGGGCTCGGCGCCGGTTGCAATGCCGAGCACCGCTGCCAGAATAACGGATGTTAAATTACCACAAGTAAATAAGCCGCGAAAATTAACGCAACCGACCATTTTGGGAGGGGATGCAGCGCCTTCCAAATGAAATCGATGACCACCACCGCCACAGGAGAGAGAGAGAGAGAGAGCGGCAGCTTCAGTCTGAGGCGAGGTCCTCGCCCCTACATTACGGGTTAAACGGTGCGAGCAAAACCTTGGGCTTTGTTTGCAATCCGAGGAGCTGCTCTGCTTCCCAGGTACAACACCACCCGGTCTCCGGTTAGTTTTAATCTAAGGGAACATGCACACACACAAAAAAAAAACTCACTCCGTCCATAACAAACTAACCCGAGACAAAAGCCCGCGAGACCATCCACATTTCACAGCCTCTGGTGAAACAAAAGCCTCGGTTTTTTTTTTTGTGGGCGGGCGAGCACAGTCGATCAAAAAAAAACCCAAGACATGAAATAAATGACACGCGGGCACCGCAGGTGATGCACCGAGAGCACCGGAGGAAGGCAAACCGACACACAAAGAGCCGAAACTCGTCGAATGCATTGCGCGGCGAAAACCGAGCAAGAAAGGAAAGGTGCGGGTTCTGCCCCCGGCACTGAACCCCATCGGCAGAGCGAATGCCAAACGCGTTGACGGGAGTTGAATTCGACTTGAAAAGTCAAACAAAGCAGACTTGCCCCCGGGTTGCAGCCCCTCCTATGAAAACATTTGGCTTCTTAAAAAGACCCAAAACAACTTTATATACACATGTACACACACGCGCGCGCACACACACACATATATATATAAAGCTTTTTTTTCGAGGCGGGGACGTTCTGTTTACCAAACACAATTGCTAGAAAATATATATTTTTTAAACGGGACAAGATTGCTCCCCCCCCACTCCCCCCACCCCCGCGCACACACACACGCCTACAAAAGCAGCCTTTGTGGAAAGAAAAAGAAAAGAGGGGAAAGAAAGCAAAACTGGGGACGTTACTCCAGAACAAAGAGTCACTGTGTTTTCCGATGGAGCCCAAACCAAGCACGTCTGGAACCGGAGGGAACAGAAACAACCCGCCCCCCCCCCCCCCCACACACACACACACAGACACCACCCCTCGATATATATAGATATAAAAAAAATAAAAAAAGTCCCGCAAATTAAAAAAAATCGCACGCGACGCCTCGGTTAAAGCGGCGGGAGACAGAGACAGAGAGAGAGAGAGAGAGAAAAGAAAAAAATATACACAACAGAGGTGTATGTGGTCGCTCCCGAGCGGCTGCGCGCCCGTTTTAACGCGTTTCAAAATAGGAACAAAGAGCTCGAATTCGGGTCCGGGAAGCGGGACTGACCGACTGTCAGAACAACTTAAACCCCCGCCCCCCCCCCCCCAAAAAAAAAAAAATAACACACACAAAAGTACGAGTCCGAATCGATTTATAATGCAGATGCGAGAGACCCCCCTCCACCCCCCCCACCCGGGGGGCTCGGGTCACAGAGCGCCCGCCACTCCCTACCTCATTGTTCCTCACACACACACAACACATGTACCCCCCCCCCCACTGCACTTGCCCAGACGACCCCGTCTCTCTTCCCCCCCCCACCACCGACCACCACCACCTCACCCCCACCGCCCACTCGACATCTTCGAAGCAACAATAAAAACGGGCGGTTTGTTCTCGACCGAAATTTTAAAAAATTTTCAGTCAGTTTTTTTTTAAAAAAACAAAACATTGCCGCCGCCGCCCCCCCACCGTCCGCCCCCCTCACGGAGGCGCCAAACCTCTGCCTCAGACCCCCGCTTTTCATTTCCCCCCTTTTTTCCACACTCCATTCAGCCCCCCTTTTTTTTAAAAAATCTCCATTTGCTGCCCCCCCCCCCCACTACCCAGTTCCTCACCCCGTCTCCGTGAGTGACCGCGTCCCCGCTTTCCGCACAAACCGTCTCGCGCCCTCTCCCGCCGCCGAATAAAAACTGCCACGGGTCCTCACGTGACGCGCTGTCGGCCTCGCGATTGGCCGCCGGCCTGCACGGCCCTCGGTCGATTGGCTGCAGCCCGGGCCTCGCTGATTGGTCCGTTCCCGAGACTGGGGCTCCACGATTGGTTGGCGGCTGCCCAGCGGGCGGCCGCTGATTGGTCGCACGAACCCCAGCGAGCCTCTTAATTGGGAGTCACGTGACTCGCCCGGATTTTTTTCTCTCGCTGTTTTTGTTCAGTGCGCATGCGCGGCTCATTCACTGCTAAGATTTGGGCAGGTCATGGGGATTGCAATCACTGTTGCTGTTGGTTGTTGTTGTTGTTGTTGTTGTGATTATAACTGCTTTTGTCTTTCAAGTCTAAATTGTCTCCAGGACTTCGCCGGTAATTGCTGTCAAGTGCAGTGACTGTGTATCCGCCTGGTAGGCTGTCAGCTTGTGAACCAGAAGCAAGCTTCGGCAAGGAGTGTCAATCACGAACAGCATTCCTGTTCTTCCCGCCTTTCATCCCATTTTTGAATAAGTCGTTAAGACTCGGGTCGCCTCGACCATCTTCAGGCAGCTCCACCACAGAAAATGGCAGATGCACATCCTCATCCCCTGGTGTCTGAGCTATTTCTATGGGAGATCATTTTGCCAGGATCACATGCGAGGGTCACTGTGGCATCTGTCACTCTTTATACCCAGGGGAAGTGCACAGGAGAATGAATGGGAACTGGATGCATAAAGGAGAAACCACTCTAATAATATTAGATTTAAAGTAACAATAGCTTGAAACACGTATCCTCAGCTGGAACCAGGGAGAATGATATTGAAACACAAAGTAAATGGGGAATGTGTTGGTTCTCGAATATGGTGTTCAATCTGCACGGTCACTGAGACACAATCCGCACTCTGCCCAGACCGAGATAGTGATTGTGCTTCTTTGTGAGGAAAAGTAAATGGTCAGAATGGGATGTCCTGCCTAGGTAGCATCTTGTGGGTCCTGAAGCCAGTGAAAGCATATCAGGGCTAAGTGGACCTCTCAGTATTCAAAACTTCCTGGACCCAAGTTCGATGCTGAACTGACTTAAGTTGTGCAAGATGTTGAGCTAGCAACATTCCCTTACAGACAAATAACACCTCATTGTAAAGAGATGCCTTAATGAATGAAAGAAATCTAAGTTGCATTTTAACCACTTCAAGATGCTACCCCGCTGAAGAGCACTATATAAATGCAGATTATTGTTGTTGTTTGGTGAGGATTTACTTGTGGATAAAACCATTATGGAATCTTAATCTGGTGTATTCCCAACATGCAATGATTAGTCTAAGTGGATCAATGCACATATTATGCATTGGATGGATTTGTCATTTGAAATGAATCTGCTAATCGTGTATCCTGTTACCTCTCCTAATGTGGTTAATATAGGAAATGTAGCTATTATATTGTGTGGATGAAGAAATGGCCTCTACTGTGCTACATGAGCAAGGGTATCGTGCAGCCAGTGTCTTCTTCCTCTCAGCCTCCAGCCAGTTACGGATCATTATTCAGATTTCTAAATGTGGGTTTCAGATCTGATATGGAAATATGAGGCCCCTTGAGTGAGAACCTTGGATATTTTTCTCTCCCTAAATCACACCGAGGCCACTTGTAGCTGTGATAATTAAGTACAGACAAGGACTGGAACCAGAGTTTTATGACTTAGAAAGTGGATAGAAATACACAACCTGAACAGTAAGGGTTTGGAGACATTACTGCTGGGAATCTCCATATGCTGTATTTCTGGCAGACACGTGCCATTCAGAGTGACAGTGAGATGGGCTCACTGGGTGGTCCAAATCATTGCTCTCCTCGCAGAGGAAAAGAGCAACTGGGAACTGAGCGGTGCTGACAAGCACTGATGAGGGATCCTTTGTGTTACATCGGAGGGTCGTGTGGTTTGTGACAATAGCCGGGGTCACGGTGGGGGGTGTTCCCATCTCATTACTCGCTTCAGTGGTAGCAGTTGGTGGAGGTGGACGTCAGTAGTTGGAGGCTGGTGGGATTACGAGAATTTACACGCGCGTATGTCATAACAACAATAAATTGCATTTATTATTGCGTCTTTCATGTCAGGAGGACGTCCCAAGGTGCTCAAACTTATTAAATGTTATATTAGAGGTTTTGTGTAATAACAAGAAGAATGAAATTTAAAATAAGGATCAGGGAGGCCAATGGGGGATGAGGGAGGGAAGATGACCGGTGGCATGCTTGAAACTGCGAGCAGCGAGTCTGAGCAAGAGGAAGAGAGAGTGAGAAAGAGAAAGAAAACAGGAGGGCGAGGCAGAGAAAAATGGGAGAGAAATAGAGAGATGGGGATTGAGACAATCCTCAGACACTGAATGTGCTGAGCCACTCACTCCTGTAGCTGCCTGATGACGTGATGGAGCCACAAGGAAACTTCTGGAAGGAAGCAGCAGCATGAATATAAGTGAATATAGTATCAGATAGTTACTGGCCACGGCGTCAGCCTCGCCAGCTGATCCTGAGTCTCTCCCCATACATTTAACAGCATTTCTGATCAATTATATTTTATTAGAAATTAATGGGGGAGAGATTGATATGAACAGCCTCGGGGAAACCACATCTCAAAGCCTTTCATCTGCGCCGATTGCAGCTCATTTGTAACAATTGGTTTAACCCTCTCCCTCCAGCAGTGGTCCCACAACCGCACTGACCTCTTGTCTCTCTTTGTCCGACTCCAGGGACTCACTGCAAAGAGCGAAACGTACACAGTATTGTGACGCTGCGTACAAAAATCAGACTGTTTCTCCCCTTCTCTGTAAATTTGCATCTCATGTGTAAATCCCAGCAACAAAGCTACCGTATCCACGCCTACCAACCCCCCCCCCCCCACCCCCCACCAGAAAACAGGCACATACAGGGTGTCCATGTGTTCATAAAATCCTGTTACCCTATGTGTACTGGGTACACTGACCAACAACTGAAACATGTGGAAGAATGAAGATAAACAAATTTAGAAATATTGTGAATTGCATTCCGTACCAGTGTTTAATTGTATTTAGGTGTCCAGAGGATCGGTGTGAGTGCCATCATTTTCACGGCAGATAATGATCTGTCACCATGTTCGGTGTAACACCTTCTGTAACACGGAAGGAGAGACAGGCGAAATGCACTCAAAATATAGTCTCATATCGCCGCTTTGTAACAGGGGGCGGGGGAGTTAGAGGACTTTGTGGACACCCTATAGATGTCATCTCCTTCTTAACAGGAGCCACAATTTCACATATATCCCATCCCAGGGAGCAATTCCACCCTGTGAATCACTCTGAATATAAAAGACCCCTCCCAACCCCTGGATTGGATTAGACCAAGAACCTTCTCTCTGTTTTGGGTGATGGGAAATCGGCCTTTGCAGAAAAAGCTGTGACCACTAAAGTGTTTCTGTGAAGCATCTTTCACTCTATAAAAAGGGGCTGTTGTATGTTTAATTCCTGGCAGTTTGTTAGCTGTGGCTCTGTGCCACCATCACTGTTCTCAGACTCAGAAACAAACTGCTGATATGACACCAGCCGCCACCCATCTCTGAGTGACACGTGGTGACCGTAAAGTGACGCAAGTGGGCAAAGAGAGGAATTTTATATAATGTGCCCAGGACAGCATTCCAGAACACTTCATATCAAATCCAACAATAATAATCCTTGCATTTGACAAAGCGCTTTTACACGTCGTTGAAGTGTCTCAATGACGCCAAGCAGGCAGTGATTTCCCCCCTCCCTAATCAGGCGCTAGTTATTGGGGCCCAATCCGACAGTGGAAGCAACTAATACTGACAGAAAATTTATACCCAGTAGGGTGTCATCCCGTCTGCCAGGGGCAGATTCTGCTGATCTCTAATTATAATTGATTCATAGTTGAGGACAGACGTTTGACTGAAGGACGTGAGGCACTGCTGGGTCCACACACAGTGCCTCTGCCCCGCAGGCCTCCATAGACCAGCCTGTCACGTGCCTTACTGCTCTGTCTGCAAGAGACCTGGGTGTGTGGAGCAGGAACACAGCTCAGAATAAGAAAGATCAGAGAAATTTTAGAGAAGTTCCAAAGAGCAGTCTGAGATGTGTGCTTTCACCCCCCACTGGAACTCCATCCTGCAGTCCCTCCGCCTCGCCCCCTCCCTTGCCTCCTTCAAGACCCGTCTCAAGACCTTCCTCTTCAATCACCCTCCTTTCCCCCCCGCCTCCCCGATCTCAACCCCCAGCTCAAAACACTGATTGTCCAGTGCGTTGGGACGTCCTCCCGACGTGAAAGGCACTATACAAATGTAATTTTGTTGTTGTTCCAAGGCCCAGATAGGGCTATGCATGAAGTTGCTGCCTCTTTAAATCACTGAGACTCTCAGTGAAATAAAATGAGTCTACAGTCAAATAAAAACAAGGGTCAAAACAAGGCATCATAAATGTTTCATGTCAAAGGCACGTGTGGAGATTGCGGTGAGGCTGGAACTAAATGATCCAATTCCTATTTATAAACAAACTGAGCCTCCCACCCCATTTCTGTCCCTCCTCGCGCACACCCCCATCCCACCCGCCCATATGTTCGTTATTACCCGGATTGCTTTGTGTTTGAGAAACTCTCTCTGGCTGTCGGATGAATCGAGATTCAGGGATAATTTGTGCTGCAAATCAAGTCTTTTTTAAGCATATTATGAATTATACATTTCTTTCCTCCTCATTGCAGAACGTTCCAGAAATACATTGTGTGTTTGTAACCGCTTCAGTCACACGTCACTGTCTGGTTTGAGGAAAAACATATAACCCTCGTCCCAGATGAACCGTTTCCATAACAACTGTTGGCTCCGTTTAGAGAGCAGACATGGAGCAGAGAGTCTGAGCTCTCTCACAAACACACACAACGCACCCCCTCACATACACACCCTCACACAGACACACACATCCCATGCAGACACACACACCCCACGCAGAAACCCTCACCGCACCCCCCCACGCAAATACACCCCACACAGACACCATCGCAATCCCCACCCCACACAACCTCACACAAGACACACACAGAAACACACCACCGCATGCACACACACACACACCACGTACACCCTCACACAGATACACGCCTCCCCACCACACACCCCTTCACACAAACACACATACACACCCCACATACACCCTCACACAGAAACACACATGCCACAACCCCCAACACACACACCACAGACACACACCACCGCACACCCCCCACACACACCCTCACATAGACACACACCCCCCCACCTCACACACCGCTCCCACCTCACACAGATATACTCAGACATCCCCTCCCCCACACATACACCTCATACATTCCAGATTCACATTGCCATACTCCCATACACACATAAACCCTTCTCACACACAAATAATAATCCTTGCACATCAGATGGATGTCTAAAAACACTTCACAAGATTTACTGTGGAATGGAGTGACCATCTATTTCTACACATAAGGATTCCCCCCCATTTAAACATATAATAATCCTTTGATTACAGCGTCTTATCACATTATTGAGATGTCTCAAAGTGTTTCACAGAATATATTGTAAAGTGAATTGACTATATTTTGTGGGCGAAACGCAGCAGCCAACTGCTTACAGCAGTGTAACTGTGCTTTACAAATGTAATCTTGTTGTTGTTAATAGTACCACAAACAGTCATGGTTTTGAGTGACCAAATTATTTTTTTTGTGTGTGTGTGGGAGAGGGCTTAAGCAACTAAGAACCGGGTTCCGACTTACTGCTGGGTAAACAGGTGTGTGGAGTAAGGAAACTTGCCTAAGGTTTCGCCCTGCCTGGGAATCAAAGCCGGATCCTCTCGCTTGCAAGGCACTAACCACTATGCTAATGGAATTCCACTGCAGTTCACCTCTTTGGTAAATGTGAAATCTCTGCTGACCGTTCGGGTCTAAGGTGAATTGAAAAGCCACAACAAACAACTTCCCCTGATAAGATTCACAAAAAAATCCAACTGTATTTCTTCCCTACAAATACAAGAGAATTATGATGTTACCAAACCTAGTCCCTTCTGTATCTGTTCAGATGGATGTCAAAGATCCCACAGCTCTATTTCAAGACAGGAGAGAGTTTCTGCCAGTATCCTGGCCAACAATACTCCAGATAAAAAAAGTAATTCACTACATGGCTGGTTACGCGACACTGATGTGTGCAAATTGAGTAATAGCTCACAACAACAACAAAATTACATTTGTTTCCATTCCAGGAAACAAATACAGTCACTACATTTTACAAAAAAATGTGAAGCATTCTGACATATGGTGTTATATTTTCTTGATATTTTCTTGTTATTATCTCGCAACCATTCCCGGCTCACTTATTCTGAGGTTTTACAGGAGAAAAATGTGTTTGTGCACATCTATGTTTTTCCATCGGAGTCTGCGTGTATGTGTACCTGTGCAGATGTATGTTTTGTATATACTTGTCCTGGGACTTTATTCTGTCTCGGATCTGTGCTGAGGAGCAGCTGTAAATGTGCTTTAGTCTTTCCAAATAATGTAAATAGCGCTTTGGTGAGGTGCACATATAGCGTCGCCTTGTGGAGAGTCTGACTGACTGAAACGAGCAGCTAAACTTCACAGACATGGACAGCAGAGGACGCCAATCCCTCAAAACCTTGTAAGGAATAAAGCGAGGCTGTGTCTTGTCACTTGTGTTAAATTATCCTCACATTTGACACGGCACCTTACAAGCAGGTTTCTCAAAGCGCTTCACATGGGGGAATGGAGGAAAGCAGAAAAGCTCTGATTATTCCCAATGAGAATGGACAAAAAGATTAGGAAAGATGTCTCATTTAATATTACACAGTCACTTGTGTTAATGAGACACTCCAATCTGCACACAGTGCCTGCATTGAAGTGCTCCAGGATCCTACTCCGCGTGAAGAGCTCTATATAAATGCAAGTTGTTGTTGTATTTATACTGGTGGTCAAGCCTCTGTGGTCACTGTGTGCAGATCTGGGTCCCCATTTTACACATGACATCAGAGCCAATGCAGAGAGTACAGCGTACACCCATATGAATGACACTTGGGACGAGGCATTATAGTTGGGAAGATAGCCCTGAAATATTGAGGCTGTTTTACCTGGAACACAGAGGGTAAGAGGGGAAGGTATAGAGGTCTTGATCATTCTAAAAGGTTTTGACAGTATTGATAATGGAAGATTATTCCCACTGGATGGAGAATCTGTAACAAGTTATGAATTCAGGATTGTGACTGGAAGAGTTAAGGTGGAGATTAGAAACTTTTACACATAGAGGGCATATTAGAACATGAAACACATTATCCCAAGTGGTTGATGAACCTGAGAGAAAAGTCACATTTAAAAGGGAATTGAAGAAATATCTGAAGAGAAACTTGAAAGCCTTGGGACGTCCTCCAGACGTGAAAGCTGCTATATAAATGCAATTTGCTGGTGTTTTTAAAAGAACAGAGTCATTGGCTCAAGTTAGAATAACAGCTCAGGACATGAAGCCCGAGAGGGTGGGGGGAGTGCAATCAGTTTGGAAATATCCAAACTTCAGTTTCACGGTCTGGGTAACGAGCAGGATTCCTGGAGTTTGGGATTCAGGATTGGTGGAGGAAGGAGACTTGTATGGGAACAGACCTGATACATTTGGGAATCGGAGGGTGTAACTGGAAATGGAACTGAAGAAGGATCTCCCTCTCTCTCCTCAAACCCCCCAACCCCCACCAGGACTCTTTGACATTGCACCATGTTTAGATACCTCCTGAATCACAATCTCACCAAACCTCCTGCTCAGCCCAAAGCTGTGCCTAACAGCTACGGGCCGGCCTGACTCGGGGCCGGTCTCGGCACCAAGTGCTCCCCAAGACCCTCCACAAGATCGTCCCATTTGTTAAAATCCTTCTGCAGATCTGAGGAGCAAGAGAGATTTCAATAAAGCCCTGGTCAGCTGAGGAATTGCCTCACATTCTCTGTTCCCCGCCCCCTCCCCACACACCCAGTCGGTCCAGTGTAATACCCCCATTCACCTGCCCACTTTTCTGCAATCCATCCGCACAATATCTCTCACCCACACCACAAACTCAGTCTCTTCGCCCCCCCCCACCCCCAGTCTGTGCATGTTTATTACAAATGATGGAGGCAATTTTAGAATCTGCCATTAAATTACCATCCAACTACACTGGTGACTGCGGTGCGGGGAAAGGGGGGGGGGGGAAGAGGGGGGCGGGGGTGCTCTTACCAAGCTGACGCTGGAGGAATGCCAACATGGCATGGTTAGTGATGTCCAGCCCGAGCATGGAGTCTATTGTCCCCTTTATTTCGAACACAACGTTTAGAGGCTTCAAGGTCAAAAAGGTGAAATCCGTATGGCTCTGGTGCACTGATCCCCTGTAACCAGAACATGGCATCATCAGCACATCCACCTACCCTGACTCCTCCCCACCAGCACACCCTGAACCCCCCCACCCTCACACACACCCCGAACCTCCCCCGCGCAGCCCAAACCACCCCGCGCAGCCTGAAACCCCCCCCGCACACACCCCGAACACACCCCATAACCCCCACCCCCACATACCCCGACCCACCCCACACACACCCCGACACCCTTCCACACACAACCCGACCCCCTTACCCCACACGCACATACCTCCACCAACACATCCACAATTTTCCGCCTTAAATTTCAAGCCTAAAAAATCTCTCAGGCTGAGACTGGATGGAATTCCAAGATAAATTATGAATCAGCCCCTCCCTCCCCAGATAGCCCCCACCTCAGGGATAGTCCCTCCCTCCCCCAGCACTCACTTGATGGTGATCACTCTACTTTGGCTGTTTTGGGAGCACAGTCGCTCTATCCGCTCCTTGCTGTCCTGTGTCTGGAATTTCTCAGAGTTTATAAGAAAAATGGGTTTCTGCACCTGGGAACACGTCTCATCCGTCAGGGGTAACATCCATCCGTCCAGGACCACAGCACACCTGACAAGATACACACAGCAGCTTACACCCGGCTGGGCAGATACTGCACTTTATAATGTAGGGAGAAGTGGGGGTTGGGGGGAGGGTCAGCGTGAGAGAACCCTGGGGATAATGAGCTTGTATCAGCAACCATTAACAAGGACTCCTATTGTCCCCCTCCCCACCCCGCTGTGTCATCACTGCTCAGTGTGTATGTGCGCTCAGGTGGGGGCAGGAATGGGGCATCGATGGTCCCATTGCTTAACTGCCACGCTGCTTGACCTGGAGATTCCCAGCGCCTTTAGTTTAAAATCGATCCCGGAATCCCACGTTCCGCTGCCCCTGGTTGCCTGGAAAATCCGAGTCAAGTCCCAACCTGAACCTAGTGTCTTTGGCCAGGGCCTGGATGGCTGTGGCTCCCCCGAAGGAGTGGCCCACGATGGTAGCTCTGTGCAGATCCATCCAGCCCTGAGGAGAAGTAAGAGTGGGTGTGAGAAACAACCCTGCAGGAAGGAGCAGCATGTGTTGCAAGTTAGACAATCAAATTCACAGTCTCACTGTACTGGGCTGGAGCCCTCTTCCTTGTCATCGTTCAAAGCCTCAGAGCCCACCGCCCCCACCATCCGCTCAAAGCACACCTACATTATTCCCATCAGTGAGCTGAGAGCGAAGCTGGCTGGCCTGGGGAACCTGCTGTTTCCCTGGACGTACATTCAGGAGAAGCGTTCCCGTTTGGTAATAAAAAATAATAATAATCCTTGCATTTGATATAGCGCCTTATCATGTCTTCGAGATGTCTCAAAGCGCTTCACAGAATATACTGTAAAATGAATTCACTGTATATTTTGTGGGTGAAACCCGGCAGCCAATTGCACACAATGTCCCACAAACAGTCATGGATTGAGTGACCAATTTATTGTCTTTTTTTTGGTACCTTCAGCATGGACAGATCAAAGCCTCCCTCCAGGACATTGTCCACATTATGCCCATTGTTCAGATCCTCAAGAACCTGCAGTGCATGAACACATTCATCCACTCTCTGGCCAACCTGAGGGGTGGTGAGGGGGGGGGTGGTGGAGAAATAAAGTGATTACAGTTACACAGAGCTTATCATGTCAAACTTTCCCAGAGAACACCACCACCAGGAGAGGGCGGGCGAGACACTGAACCCACCTCACAGTCACCTAGTGCTGAGCGGTGAGGGAGGGCGACAAAGGGTCACCCATTCTGGGCACAAACTGCACGGTATGCAGTACTGCACCACTGCCATCAGAGGTCCTGAGTTAGTTGTGCAACTGCTGCAATCCTGCCACTGCCCCCGCCCCACCCCAGGACAGATTTGGTGTATGGGAAATCTCCCCAACGCCCCCTTGATTGGCTCTGAATGCTGACAACCTGTGCAGCCCAGTTCAGAAGTTCCACTTAAGGCAGACAAAGTTTCACTATACCAGATGTTTTTATGCACAGCCCCCCCCCACCCCCATGAATCAGCACCCCCTCATTTTACCCGACAATCCCGAGCCCTGGGGTGGTAGGGGGTCAATCCGGCACTATCCCTACCCTTGTATCCCCCCCCCCCCACCTGGATCACATCCCCCCTCCCTCCCATTCCCTCCCTTCCAGGTTAGGAACAGGATTAAAGTGAGTTGAGACTGACAGACCTGTCTATTCCGCATTTCAAACTCCTCACCCTCAACCTTCCTGTAGGGAAGCCACTTCTCCTGGAGTGAGGACCCTGGGGAGGAGGGAGAGGGGGATGGAGGAGGAGAGGAGGACGTAGAGGAGGTCTTTTGGGGCTTGGAGGTCGGATCATGCTCCGTGGGTTTCGGGAGCGACTCAAAATAATAAGTGGTCGATGCAGACTCATCCCTGTGATCACAGACAAAGAGTTTACAAACAAGAAAAATGCATTCATACGCTCACCACACCTTACATCACTTCCCCCCCTCACCCACCCAAGCAGCATCAGGACAGGAGCTCCGGGGTAACCATCGCTAAGCTCCACATGCGTGCACATGGCTGTCGTGCAGTAGTTGCCTAGGAGTGACCGTATGCACTTTTTCAGCTGATATTAATCAATAAAAGTGATCATTTTCAGACACGAGGGAACACACGCTCACAGGCATCTGACTCACTGACCGGTGTTCGATGGCCGCAACGAGGAAGCCATAAGAAGCCACCGCGATGCAGATGGCAGAGTAAACGCCCCTGTGATGACAGAGAAAGCTATCAGTCCGTTTGTACATAGCAATATGGACATAGCAATAATCCGTGTATTTTACATAGCTTCAAAATGTGTCAAAGTTCCTCACAGGGAATTGCTGTCAAGTGACCGTGTATTTGTAGGTAAATGTGGTATTTGATTTGCATACAACATCTTCACACAGCCTCAAGGCTGATTAATCTGTAGGATTATTAAAATCCCTTCTCTTTTCCAAAAGTGTTACAGGACCAAGCTCTCCGGGATGCTATCCTGCGTGAGGGGCGCCCGAATAAATGCAAGTTGTTGAAGTTGTTGTTGTTGTTTAACATCTACCTCACACAGGACCTCAGTTTAATGCACTACATGAAGGACAATACATCCAACAATGCAGCACTCCCCACTCCTCAGCACTGCGCTGGAGCATCAGCCTGGACTGTGAGCTCGAAGTCTAAGCTTGGGGCACCCAGCTTCTGACTGTCTTGAGAGAGTGCGACTGACTGAGTCAGGCTGACACAGGTGAAGATCAGTATCATCATTCTTAATAATTTGGTTCTGATATAGGAGGGTGTGATAAGAATTTATGTTAGATTAATCGGAAGGTCATTGTAGATTTCTCTCCTGACTTACTCCCTCACTCTCTCTCTTGCTCTGCCCACTGACATGCCACCTAATTAATCACAAGGACAATAGATCAATATACAAAACGATTTGTATTCGAATGAGGATATTGATATCACACAGGTTTCTCTAATACAAGACCTCATTGCTCTCAGCTCATCCACTCTCCATCCTGTAACACAGTAGCTTCCCTCATTGGCCTGTGCAAGTCTCAGGACAGTTATGGGGGGGTTACAATTGGCATCTGCACTGCCTCTCCCTTCAAACCCCCACATGAAGGAAGAGAGAAAATCAGACAGATTCGTCACTTGTTTCCCATTCTGCAGAAGGATGGTCAGTGCTGAGCACGTCTGCACCTCTCCTGGTAACTTCAATATTTTGTGTCTCACCTGAAAGCTCCCAATCCGTGAGAAAACACAATCACTGGATATGTCTCATTTGCTTTGAAGCGAGCGTTCCATGTCGCCGGCACCTTGCAGTCACCTGCAGCGAAAACATAAAAAGACATGAAACCTTGCACCTCGGCTCATAGAGAACAGATCCGTTCACTACAGCTTGTTCTACAGCTTGTCTTGCACACCCACCAGGTAATCCCCTTGCATGCTTGTTGGCCACTCGCATTAGCGAGAGGTAAGGGTACCTGCAGCCGCCACCCCGGACACTGACATGGTGGAGTCGTTGTTTCCAATCAGGGAGTGAGGAGGTGATTTGCTCCTGGAATCATTTCAAGTCAGGCCTTAGCTGGTTAGACTCCAGCAGTTACCCCAAGTCTTGGTTCTTGCCAACCTGAGCCTAATACTGTCCGGAATTAGGTAAGCAGGATGCATCCCTCCAGGGAGAGAGAGCGCATTCCTTTCAACAATCTATCTCCGGACCTTCCATGTGCACGGAATTCTCAGTTTGGTTTGGATAATCTCAGCATGGTGATGGGTTTCTGTGCATCAGACACCCGGCTGCAACCCTAAACGCATCCCTGGAACACCTCGCTAATGGAGCTGCGCCCTATAACCAATGCCACTTGCCACACCACAGAGCAGAGAGTGCGGGGGTCTCACCAAAAGCCATGTTCAGGAGGGAGGCAAACCACCGCCTGCTGCGCTTCAGGTACTCGGCCAAGCCCTGGTAGTATTCGTATCTGGGAATCCACGGCGGCTTCTCCCCCTCTTCAGGGTCACAGGGATAGTACAACCGGAAAAAACTTCCCTAAGTGAGGAAAACACTTGCACAATTTTCAGAGCCCTTGAATTTACAGAACAGGAGGTGGCACGGGGGTCATTTGGCCAATTCTAATGCTCACACCTCCCCACTGGTGCTCTCCACTCTAATCCCATTCCCCTGCTCTTTCCCCAAAACCTTTGCGCTTTTGATTCTCTTTACAGACTTATCCAATTTGGTTCTGATAGTGGCCTTGAAAGAGTCAGAACCTCACAGCACAAGTCACCAAAGGGTTAACTGGCACGTTACTTCAGTGTTTTGTTTCTGTGGAAACGGGGATTACAAAAACCACATTCACACTTCTGCTTTCCTAATCACCATTTGCACAATATGGGTTGTCAGGCCTGCGGTATGCTCACTCAGCCTTTGCAACGTGTGACTGAGCCTAAGGTACATATCATCAGCAGAGCGCGGCTCTACCTCTCCATTTGTTCAGCATGTTAACAGTGCCCAAGGGGTTGGCCAAACTCAAAAGAATGTTTGAATAACTTGATACTTCCTTTTGGGTGCATCAAGTTGTTATACACAATCATCCACCAACAGCTTCCTCCCTCTTACAACACAGTATATTGCCTTTAAACATGATACTCAGACATGTGAAACCGTTAAGTGACCTTAAACTTCTTAAAGAGAGGCCTTAAACTCTCGGGACGCTACCCCACTGAAGGGCACTATATTATAATAATCGTTGCGTTTGATATAGCGCCTTAACCTGTGACGAGCGCGTCATAGAATATACTGTGAATTGACTGTATTTTGTGGGCGATATAAATGCAAGTTGCTGTTTTGCAACACGAGCTACCACAGAGGGGAAGCCACAAAAGATCTGATTAGTAAGTGTTTCAAGATTCTAAACTGAAACCTAATGACTTCTATAACAAAGTCATGAAGTATGCAAACGGGAAAATAGACTTGAGCTCAGAACAACAACAATTCATATTTATAAACTCTATTGTGACTTTCACTTCAAGAGGACAGCATTTTCCACAGAAGAAGAATGGTGAGCAGGAAGCTCAGACTGAATGACTTTACAAAGAGAGCCATGAGTGTCTGGAAGGGAGGCAATGGAGGCAGATTCAGGAGGCAAATTCAAGCAGGAATCAGGTTGTTCTAACCTTTTGGCTACTGTGGGCCAGATGCCGAATTTGAGAAATGCATAACCAAAAAATTTGTTTTCCCCTTCCAGAAACATAACCCAGAAGAATCATATAGAAATCCTATGTTTTAAATTGTGTTACTTAATTTTCCATTATTTTAGTTACAATGCAATGTAAACATTCATATCACGGAGTCCTGTAGCTCAGTGGTTAGAGCACTCGCTTTGCAAGTGAGAGACCTGAGTTCAATTCCAGGCAGAGGGCGAAACCTTGGGCAAGTTTCCTTACTCCACACAGAGCCTAATAATAATCCCTCCAAAACCAAAAACAATAATAAATTGGTCATTTTCAATCTACGACTGTTTGTGGGACATTGCTGTGCGCAATTGGCTGCCGCGTTCGCCCACAAATATACAGTCAATTCACTTCACAGTGTGTTCTGTGAAGCGCTTTGGGACGTCCTCCCGACGTGAAAAGCGCTATATCAAATGCAAGGATTATTATTATTATATTATTATTATCAATGTTAAGACAATAATACAGCCAGTGATGAGCTATCTGTCTTGGTGTCTTCTCTCTCTATGTCTGTGTGTGTCTCTTGTGCATCTCTCGCTCTGCCTCTGTATCTGTCTCTCTGCATCCTGTGTTCAGGGGCCGGAGGTAAATACCCCGGGGCCGGATGCGGCCCATGGGCCACCAGTTGGGACCACCCTGGAGATGTTCAGAAGTTATAAGCGCTCTGAGACGCTACCCTGCGTGGAGGGAGCCATGTAAGTGCTGAACAAAAGCTTTCATTTGTCTCTCAAGTCCTGTAACGATCATGCACTCACCTCCTTGGTGTGACCGGCCATGATGTCGGTGCAGCCCACGGAATGCGGTCCTTTGGGGACAGGGAGCTGTATGAACTGGCCGTTCCCCATGCTCCGGCGCTGTAGGACTTCGGCCTCCGTTCCCTGGGAAAAAAAAACAGGAAAACCCTGGTTTTCCAGAGAGAAAAGCGGCAGCACCGGACCAACTGGCTCCATCAGCTCAACATGGCCTCGCTGCTCCCCTCCCACCCCACCCACAACCCCCCCACAGACCCCACCACCACACACACCCCCTACCCACACCCCCCCACCCCACCCACACACCTACCCACACCCCACCCACAACCCCCCCACATACCCCACCCCCACACACACACCCCACCCACACACCTACCCACACCCCCCACCCCACATCCCACCCACCCACAGCCCACATACACCCACACACCCCCACCCCACATACCCCACATACCCCCCACACCCCACCCACCCACAGCCCACATACACCCACACCCCCACCCCACCCACACACACCCCACATACCCACCACCCACACACACCCCACATACCCCCCACCCCCCACCCCACATACCCCCCACACCCCACCCACCCACACACACCTGACAAGCGCAGTGGGACGCTATAAATTTATTACACTGTATCTAAGTCACTGCTGTGGCACCGAGTCCCCGCACTGGGACACTCTCCCCATCACTGGCTTCACCCTAAGGAACTACGCGGCCCAACACGGGGCCAGTGCGGCCCCCCACACACCCCCCCCCGGCTGCCTGCCTACCCCCCCCCCCCGGCTGCCTGCCTACCCCCCCCCCCCGGCTGCCTGCCTACCTGCCGCGGCTCCGGGACCTGGCAGTCGGTCTCCCTGTCCCTGTCCTGCCCCGGGGGTGTGGGGGTGTGTGTGGGTGTGGGGGGGGGCTGAGCTCCCCGCGCGGTGGGCTCTGGGTCATGCAGTTCTCGCGGCTGCGCTCCGCCGCCGCTCTCGGGCCGCCGAGAACTACATTTCCCAGCGGGCGCCGCGGCGCGGGCTGAGCCGACGCCAGCGACAGCGGCACCCAGCGGCAGCCCGGGCGCACAGCACCCGCCCGCCCGCGCTTTATTTCCTTCTGCAATTCGACTGCTGCAGATACAGATCACACTTTGGGGGGTGGGGAACACACCAGGAGGAGAGGGGGTGAAATGGATGAAAGGTCAGACCCCCCCTCCCAATGAAGAAATATAACCAATTATTATTTAACATGGAGTCGCTAAACTTGTTAACAACCCTTGCATTTGATTTAGCGCCTTATCACATCTCCGAGGCGACAACAACAACAACTTGGATGTATGATAGCGCCCTTTCACGTCGGACGGCTTCTCGGAGCGCTTTGCGGTAACGGGTCCCGGGCCCGAGCCAGGGGGAGGGGGGGAGGAAGGTGACCAAAGGCGCGGTCGAAGAGAAAGGTCTTTTCAAAGCACTTCGAAGAATATACTGCAAGGGATGACTGTACATTTTGTGGGCAAAACTTTTGCGGATTTTCTCCATTTAGAATATACCGCATGGGGGGGTCGGGGTGGCACAATTCAACATCACTCACTTGCCTGGGAGGATGAAATACACAGAATTACTGATCTTAACAACTCTCTTCTTTGCCATTTACACCCCCCATTCAAGATGTGTGCTTCCACTGAACCCTTTCGATATCAGTTTTACTTCTGTTTAGCATGGCTGACCTGGTGGGGGTCTGTGGTCTGAAACGCTTTAACTTCAGATATTGCCTAAAAGCTGACACAGAATTTCATAAGCCTATCCTTTCAAACACACGACCTCCCCTAATGATTCATTGGTGTGAAGTCACTGCCTGGTGGGAGGTTGAGCCATACATACATACAGGGCACAAGATCACAGGTCTGTGTTGAGTCACAGCTGATCTCAGATGGGGAGCAGTCAGTGTCTCCTGGTTTAGAAAGGGTGATAATCAGTTCAGCGTCTGATTACTGGGTAGTGCCCCATTCTGGAAGTGTGGGTGAAGACCGGTTGGGCTGTATTGCACCCAGGGTTAAATAGCCGCCCACACCAACACACAAATCGAGCGCACTGGGACCCTACCCTGCATGAGGGGCGATATATTAAGGCAAATTGTTGTTGTTGTCATCAAGAACAGATATTCTGGTTGAGTGAGGTGCAGGACGGTGCCTGGCACCTGCTGAACCCCTCTCCAGGTTGAGCTAGTCTGGGAGAAAATGGGAAACACAAATTTTTTTTTCCCCACTCTGAGCAGGAAAAGTATCACCAGAAAGATCCATCATACAGAAACATGCAGCGATAAACCAGGCATCGACATCTGATTTGACTGACTGCTGGGTGCTCCGCAGTCCTGGGTGTTTGCGTTTCACTACAAATTAATCTCTTTTAATTGAAAGCTGTGTAGGATAGGATGGATATATCACTCCCCAGGAGGCAGCAGTAGGAAAGACTTTCTCACCTGGTGGAGGGAGTTCTGATGTTGAACTGTGAGGTACAATGAAGCACCGAGGGGGATAGTGGATAAGGGCTCTGCGACACTACCCGGCGTGAGAGGCGCCATATTAAATGCAAGTTGTTGTTGACGAGGCCAATTATTAATAGTAATCCCTGCCTTCGATACAGCGTCTTATCACGTTGTTGAGACGTCTCAAAGCGTTTCGCCGGATGTACTGTAAAGTGGGTTTTGGCTGTGGGTTTTGCGAGCGAAAGGAAATTGGCAGAAGCTTCCTCATCCATCCCAAGGCTTATTCCTCATGGGGAATAGACCCGGGCACCAAGGCTGGAATTGCACTGTGTGTGTGTGTGTGTCCAGTTTCATGTGATGTTGAGCTGATAATAAGGGGGAGGGGATGGAGTCAGTGGTTGAACAGGAGGGAGGTGGGAGCAGCCCCCACTCACCTGGACTCCGAGGTGGGGCACCTGCTCCAATCCAGGTGCGAAATTCCAACAGACTGTTCGCTTCCCATTCACTCCCATTGCACAGAATTCCGGTGTGGGGGGACGTCTCGTTCACTCCCATTTTGGACACGAACCCAACTGGGGGGCGGTTCGATCCCTTCCCGAACTCCCACCCTTTCTCCCCAGCGCCTTGGGACGTCCTCCTGACGTGAAAGGCACTTTATAAATGGAATCTTGTTGTTGTTGTTGTTGTTGCAAAAACCGGGAGCGGAATCCCCCTTCGCGCTGCGGAATCCCGATGGCGCCCCATCGCTTCCCGTCCCATTCCACGGCGCAGAATTCCCGACCCAAAGCCTCGCGGCGGCGAAGAGCGGCACAGCCTCCCGGTGGGGTCGGTCACCGGGTGATGCTCGCGGTGGGGGGGAGGGGGGGGCGGGAGGACGCGGGGCGGAGCGAGTGCGGTGCGGAGGCGGAGCGGTGGCGACTCAGAACCCCACCTGAGCCCCGGGGGCCCCTCTCCCGCCCGTCCGTGCTGCCCGATGCCGCGCTGCGCTCGCACCGTCACCGTCACCGCCGCCGTCCCGTCCGCCGCCAACGGACAGCGCCCGAGCCCGGGCCCGGGGCTGCGGACCTGCCCGGCTGCCCGGCCTCCCCATGCCGCCCAGGAGGCGCTCCCCGCTGCCCGCCTCCTGCCTCTGCCTCCTGCTCCTGTACCTGGCCGCCGCGCACCTCGGCCGCCTCCCGCTGCTGGCCCGCGGGCCGGGGGAGCCGCGGGGGGGCCGCTGGCCGGTGTGGGACGAGGCGGAGGCGCTGACGGGTTTCTCGGCGGAGGAGGTGGAGGATGGAGGGAAGGAGGAGGTGGAGGATGGAGGGAAGGAGGTGGAGGTGGTGGAGGTGGAGGAGGAGGGGGGGGGCAGCCCCGGGGAGAGGCACCGGGAGCGGGCGGACCGGGTCAGGCTCCCGGGGAGCCACGCCTGCCGTATGGACACCTGCTTCGACCTGTCGCGGTGCGAGCAGCGGGGCTTCGGGGTGTACGTGTACCCGCCCCAGAGCGAGCGCACGTCGGACACCTACCGCAAGATCCTCGCCTCCCTCCGGGCGTCTCGGTACCACACCGCCGACCCCGGGGGCGCCTGTCTGTTCGTCCTCAACATCGACACGTTAGACCGGGACCAACTCTCCCCGCAGTTCGTCCCCAACGTGGACCGCAAAGTCCTGGCGTCTCCCCTGTGGAACCGGGGCAGGAACCATCTCCTGTTCAACCTGTACTCCGGGACTTGGCCCCACTACACCGAGGACCTGGGCTTTGACCCGGGCCAAGCCCTGGTGGCCAAGGCCAGCTTCTGCTCGGAGAGCTACAGACCGCGCTTTGATGTCTCCATCCCCTTGTTCTCCAGAGAACATCCCCAGAGAGGTGGTCCCCCCCGGGGTGGGCTGCTGTCCAACACGGTCCCTCCCAGGAGAAGGTACCTGCTGGCCTTCAAAGGTAAGAGGTACCTGACTGGCATCGGCTCCGACACCAGGAACGCTCTCCACCACCTCCACAACGGCAAAGACATCATCTCCCTCACTACCTGCAGACACGGGAAAGACTGGGAGAAGCACACCGACTCCCGGTGTGGGAGAGACAACCGGGAGTACGACAGGTACGTTTTTCTTTTAAAGGTGATTTACTCTTGAGACCCGGGATGTCCTCCTGACGCGGGAAAGGCGCGGGACAATCGCACGGGTGTTAGCGCCTTTCTCGCGTCAGGAGGACATCCCGAGTTGTTGTGGTAAACCAACTCCCCATCATTTCCCCCTCAAAAGTTCAGTCTCTATTGATTAGTCTACAGCGGAGACGAGACAACGCCGCCAGTGATGGAAAGCTTTGGCAATCACAGGTTCCAACGTTGCCCTGAAATTATTATTATTATTATTATTATCATTGCCCGTTTCTCCCAACCACACTCGCCATATTGTCATGTCTCCAATTACTTGTACACTTTCTTCCCCCACATAGTATTTTCTGCAAGAAAACGATCCGATTTGCATTCGAACGAATGCGCAGTGGTGTCGGTAAACACGCAGTGTGTGGTGGTGGTGGACTCTTATCAGTCTCCAGTACCACACACACAGTGAGTGTTGGCTGGAAAGCAGCGAAATGGGAACCGTTTTCATTAAACTGCGGAGGATCCGGATCTGTGTGGCTCAGTTACTAACGGAATCAACTCCCGGAGCCATCACGGATCCTCAAACAGATGTTTTCTCCTGCAAAAGTTTCCGCCCAGTCGAGCCACCTGTTGCCAACTCTCGGGCACTGAGCTTCATGTTGGATCCTCTTTGTCTTCACCTTCTCCTCCGGAGACGGAGATGACATCTCGACAAGTCCGGAGATTCGCTTCATCAGCAGAATTTGCATTGAATTGTTTCTGATTTATTCCATCTCAGCGACACAAAATGTAAAAGTTTTATCTGCGGCATCTCCGAAAAGAAGAAACTTTAAATTAGAGAATATTTTTCGATCTCATTCCATCCGCCCCATCCACACTATCAAATGCAAGGATTATAATTACCATTATTACCATTTGAGAACCGTTGTAACTTCAGCCCTCAACTTCCATTCTGTAACAAAACCACTCAGCAGGTTAGGCAGTATCTATGGAGAAAGGAAAGGGAGTCAAGGTTTCGGGTCCATGACCCTTCCATTCTGTGTTGTGTGCAAGGAAACTGGGTTTAGAGTGAAGCATTTGAGATAATCACACACAGAATTAAAGGAGAGGTTAGAAAAATTGTCTTTACACAGAGGGTGGGATGTGGAATTCCCTGCTTCAAACGGATTTCAAATGGACGAGAAATTTTAAAGTTGTGAAGAGCGAGCGGGGGAGTGGGATTAGATCAAATTATAGTCTTAGTGAATGTCAGATTACATTAGATGTCAATGGGAACATTGTAATGAGCTTCGGTATTTTATTTTAAATTATCTTGTTTTTACAATATACGTTTGCTGTAAAAAAAAATCTGCATTTATTGAGTATAAAATGTTGATGAAATGTATTGTGCTTTTCCCAAGTGTTCCAGATCGAGTGCTGATGGATGCTGTGAGTTTCTGTGGTAACGTGTAGAATTTTGACTTCAGGGATGAAGGGTATTTGGTGCTGTTTAGCCGAGAAACACTATTATAAGGTTCTGGGAGGTTAGAGTATAAGCTTCAGCTGTTGTCTGGCCTCAGGGAGTGGATTACCAGAAGTATAACGGGAGCAGAGAATGCCTAGCATGTTGAGCCTGCTTAACATGTTGAGAAAAATGATCCACAAACTTCTTGTGCAGTGGGTGGTCTTGGCCACTGGCCGAGTGATCAATCCAGGGTTAATGAAACCCTGAGCAATGCTGGGGGTAATGGCGGGGATTATATGGGGAGCAGGACCAGGTCAGTGATGGACATAATCCCTCCCACCCCAAACCCAAGTAACCGTGTGACATCAGTAACGGTGAGCAGTCCAAGTACCGTGGGCACTATGATTGGCATTGATGCCATCTTTGCTTAGCAAAGACCAGGGAGCCATCCGAGCACAGGAATTGTCAATGTGTTTCTGTTAATCAAAGTGCTCTGGTAGCCCCTGGACTGACGTAAATCAATGATTTATTTGGGATCTGGAGATTAGTGTGGAGTTTAATTCCCGCTAAGGACAACCACGAAGCCTCTTATGTAAAGGCGGCAACGCCGAGTGTGGTGAAGGTGACTAAAGCGCTTGTGTAATGTGCTATGACCTGGAACCCAAGTGGTCATTCTGCATGTGAGAGACTGGACAGTGTATTCCAGTGAGTGTGCAATCATTGAGGGCATAGCAGCCAAGGCTGACATTACTCAATCTTCCAGCTGCAGTTCTATAAACACCACTGCTTCCCCACCAAGGACACTGAGGCCATCAATGTGGAGCCCAATCCATGCGTAACTGGCTCTGAATCCCAGAAGCCACAAATAGATTCCCAGACACTCCAAATTCAACCTATTCTTAGTCTGTAACAAAAATTCCTTAAAATCTAACATTGCTTAGAATGATGTTTTGCAAAATGCTTTTTGATGGCGAACATTTGATCTCTGATGAAGACAGTTTATTTGTAGCTTTTAAGGTACCTTTTATTTGTGGGTGACATTGTGTGGCCAGTTTCCTCTGGATTATCAGTTCAGTTGTTTCACATCAGACCCGGGCGCAGTCAGAGCAACAAATATTAACACAAAATACAGCAAATCACTCATTGCTCCCTAATTGTCCTCCAAGCTACCACTCAGTGCTCAGTCAATCACATCATTGCATTAGGGACTGACTGCAGTGGCAGCTTTTGACAGTGATAACTGGAGCAGAAGGAGTACTGCTTGTGTTCTGTGAGCGAGGGATCAGCCCTGCGTTATCCTTGGCATGGGGTCCGTCTCAGTTCCTCCAGCTACAAGCTTGTCTCACTAGGCTGTTATTTCACCCAATAAATAAGTTAAAGATAATAAGACCGCAAAGCAACCTATCAGTAGCAGTCTGTTCACAGCAAAGCCAGGAAGAATTGTGGCTCAGACGAGGAGAGGGTATTGGAGTTGAGCAGAAAGAATCAGCTGTGTGTTTCTTACTCAAGACAACTCACTAGGCAGTTCAGCTCAGTGGTTGGTTTCCTGTCCCTTGGCACAGGCCAGGTGCTGTGCTGGATGCTGGGCCAGTCCCCAGTGTTTGCTGGTTAGAATTATAGGAGCAGGAGGAAAACGTTCAGCCCACCCAGCCTGCTCCGCAATTTATTAGATCACGGCAATTCCTCTTATGCTCTTTGCTCACTGGACCAAGAGAAGTAAGTATCTATTTCTGATTAATTTAACCTTCCGGGGTGAAGGGTTGCACGTTCTCACAACCCTCCGTGTGAAGGGATGATTTCTGATCTCAATTCTAACCATCTCGCTCTAATTTAGACTGTATTCCCTTGATGTGGACCAGATGGTGGCTCAGTATTTACTCCTCATCAGATAACTGTCCTATAAATGAGGTTGAGGTTCATTAGCAGTGAGAACTGGCATCACACCGCTCTCTGCCCTGACAGCCATGTTAAACAGGTACTTCCTCGTTAGCCTTCCGCAGTCAGGACTTGAAATTCTCAAAAATGAAGCCATACGTGCCTATACACACAGAATGAAGGTATTTCCAGTTTAACTCCCTCTCCTCCTCTCGGACAGAAACCCCTCTCCAAACGTCAGGAGAAAACATCACAAAACAGATGAGAAAAAGTTGAGACAAATAAAGAATTGATTTTTTTTTATTCGATGTCATGGAGGAGCAAGCTTCAATTTACTACTACTAATAATCCTTGCATTTGATATAGCACCTTATCACGTCTTCAAGATTTCTCAAAGTGCTTCTGAGAACAACAACAACAAAATTACATGTATAGAGCGCCTTTCATGTTGAGAGGACGTCCCAAAGCGCTGAGAATATACTGTGACGTGAATTGACACCATATTTTGTGGGTCAAACAAAATATAAGGTCAATTTAAAAACACAGAATTAAGGCTGAATGTAAGAATTTTCCAGAATTCTGTACAATTTAACCTCTAAGACCATGGTTTTGAGGCAAAGAATTTCGGGCCTCAGTATTCTAATTAGGGAAATTGGTCCTTGGATGGAGAGCATTGGCCTCTCACCCTATCCCAGCTCCAGCACTAGCCAACGGGACCATCCACTGAACATTAACACAGCATCCAGCAGCCTGTCTTTCCTGATCTTTCTTTCCAGTCACAGTCAAATCTCAGAGGCAGCAGCCTACCTTACAGTTAATGAGCGACTTTAGTAGGTACCTGGAAATGGCACAATCTGCAATGCATTTCAAAACTCATTAATCCAGACAATCAGTGCACACTATAAATAAAATAAGGTCAGTGTAATCTTTGGGGAAAATGTTCAATTCAACCTGTTACATCCACAAATATAACAAATTGAAAGACGCAATGGGTGAGCAGCGTGTACCCTCTGGTTCTGATTAGATGCTTACCGCAGCGCATCCAGGGCTATGTTTATTTGACTCATCAGCACTGAGGTGGGGGTACAGCCTGGTAGCTGGGGTGTCCCGGGCGGTCATCGATGATTGTTGGGAAACTAAAGGTCTGAGACCTCAGTCTCAGGTGACTGAGACCAGATGTTAAGATGTCTTTGGACCCGCCTTCTGGTCCAGAGCTGAGAATTAGAGCGTTACTGACTGAGCCGAGCTGACACCTACTCATGTGTGAAGTACAATGAGGAGATGTTTATTGCAAAATGTCACACAATATCTTGTTTCCTGTGAATATCATGGTGCTTGTCCGAGCGTTCACAGAGGAGTGAGATGAAGCAACTCTGTGATTAAAGAACGGGAGTAAAGCCATGAGTGGGGGATGGCAGAGCGGTGCAGTGTGTGTGAGCGCTGAGCTGGTATGTGGCACTGGGGAAGGTGGGAAACAGGATTTGTGTCTGTGTCACTGATTGCATGTTTCTACACATTCTTAAATTATAAGACAAAATAGTGTCACAGGCAAAATCTGGATGAAATTTTGTGCCTCTTTGGATCAGGGTTAAGAGGGTAACCAACTGCATAACGAATGTTTACTGTCTGATGGGACGATGGGACCTCAGGTGTGTGGGGCTCAGCCACAGGTCCCTCCTGGGGTGGCCGAGTATACAGATATTGAGCCAAACGTTCACACTGAGACAACAAGGCTGAGAGCCATTGCGCAGTGACAGCATGAGGCTGCGAGGCAGACGGTTTATCACAGAATCTGGCTCAGAGTGTACTGAAGCAGCTGACAGCACAGTGCAGTGTCAGTGTTTCACATAGAATTAACATCATCCATCAGATTTATTGGCTCCCGAGGAGCCGAGAGCTGTTGTATCAAAGGGGCATCAAGCTCTGCACTGACTGGACTGTGTCGCTGCTGCTGAGCAAGGGGTCAGACACGGACCCTTCAACTCTGCCACCAGAGCAGCTCACGACACTGAGTCAGGTTAAGGCACCGATTGAATTTAAGAATTTTCCCAAAACACTGAGCGATGTTCTGAGATTTTATGACAATGACCTTGAGGCTCAGATTGTCAGGAGGTCGGGCCATGGGAAGGGGAGGAAAGTACCACTTCCTATCCGCTGAGAAAAATTCCTGTTTAATAAATCCAGTCCAACTGCTTCTGAGGCAGGTTTTACTTTCCAGACAGTACTTTCTGCAAACGTTCACCGCTGTGTTAAAAGTGTTCTACCCAGTGTGAGTGACGCAGTATAAATGCATTTTGTTGTTGTCTACACTCCCAGTGGCGTATTCCCTCCCTCCCTCTGCTCTCTCATATTGTTCACATTGGGTTTAACTCCTGACATGGAAGCAACAGAGAACAATTTGGACAATGGAAGGAAGGAGCAGAGTGCAGCTGCTTCACTGTACAGTTTGTCCGGCTCTGAAACTAGAATGATGTATGTTGTGTAAACAGTACAGCCCCCCACCCACCCCCACCATGATAACAGCAGTGACACTTACCTTGTGCCCAGTATTTCTAATATTAATAATCATTAATAATCATTGCGTTTGATATTCCAACAACAACTTGCATTTATATAGCGCCACTCACACTGCGTATCGTCCCAGAGTGCTTTATTAACTGTGAGGGATGTGTATTTTATATTTAGAAGAGGCTCCTTTCCTTCCTTTTTTGCTTGCTTTTTTGCTTTCTCTCTCTCTCTGCAGTAAATGGATTTCTCTCCTGTAGGTTTGATTATCAGGAATTGATGCACAACTCCACCTTCTGCCTCATCCCCAGAGGGCGACGTCTGGGCTCCTTCCGCTTTCTGGAGGCTCTTCAGGTATTACGTTTGTTTATAAATTGTCATTACACTGTCTGGTCACTGCGGTCTCTTGTCTGGTTTCTGTCAGGAGTTCCTGCTCAGATGTGTGTTAAACTTCGCTAAAATAAGTTTGCTCCCACCTATGGAGCTCCGTCACACGGTCCCTTCACCTCACCCCCTCATTTGCGCCTCCTTCAAGACTCGTCTCTTCGACACGACGTTTGGTCACCCTCCTACCCCCATCCTCCTTGCCCTTCACCCATCCTGATTCCAACCCCCAGAACATAAAATCCTTGACTGTCCAGCACCTTGGGACATCCTCCGGACGTGAAAGGCGCTGTGTAAATGTAACGTGTTGTTGCTGGTGGTGGTGGTGATTTGCGATGTACAGTGTTAACCCCTTGATACCTGGCTAATTCTGCTCTCTTGGCCTGGGCTCAGGCTGCGTGTATCCCTGTACTGCTCAGCAACGGCTGGGAACTGCCCTTCGCGGACATCATTGACTGGGGCAAAGCTGCGGTTGTGGGTGACGAGCGGCTCCTGCTCCAGGTTAGTGCTCCAGCGAGCTCTGGGGGTGGGGGGGGGGTTTGCTCAACAACCAGCCTCAACTTTCATTGCTGCCCTCCTTTATTCCTTGCCTACATAAACAGTCACTACACTTGGCAGTAACTACCCGTGAAGCTTTACGAGTTGTTTCACTGTGATTTAAGTGCTATAGGATGTGAGTTCTTTCTTTCCGTTTGGAAGCTCTCTGGATAATGTGTATGACTAAAGCTTCTCCTCTTTCTCCTCACAGATTCCGTCCACAATCCGGGCCATTCCCAATGACAAGATTCTGGCATTCCGGCAGCACACTCAGTTCTTATGGGATGCCTATTTTTCCTCTGTAGAAAAGATTGTGTCGACCACGCTGGAGGTGAGGGACGACTCGGCCCAAACTACAGGCCCTTAGTTCTGAACAAACGACAAACTTTGGTTACTGGCTAAAGCCATTTACAACAACAAGAACAGCTTACATGAATATAGCGCCCTATACCCGGGGTAGAGTCTCGGAGCACTTAAATTGTCAGTGTATTTTTATTCTACAGCACAGATCATGAAAAGACCAACAGAGGAAGCAACCAGGGGCCTGATCCTCTCTGTTAGTCAGTCATTCAGTGAAGAGAGGAATCTCGGCGATGTCAATTCAGGCTCACACTCTCACTGTGTTTTGCAGATTATTAAAGATCGGATATTTACACACGTGTCACGAAATAAGATCATGTGGAACCAGATGCCGGGAGGACTGTTTGTGCTTCCTCAGTATTCCACTCACACCGCGGACTTTCCCTTCTATTACCTGGAGCAGGGTAAGTGCCCCCCCTCTAGCCCAGAAAATCCTATAGTACCCCTGCAAATCCCATGACGTTCCTGCTGTTCTCACCATGGGGTTTGGCTAATGAGCCTCCTTTGTTTTTGCAGGTGTAACTCCCCCGAGAGAGTTCAGTGCTCTAATTCACTCCGTCTCTCCCCTGGTCTCTCAGTCTCAGACCATCATCAAGTTAGTCAAAGCGTTGGCGAAATCCAAGTACTGTGGTCAGGTAAACAGTGTGATCTTCACTTCCTCCTTACCTTCAGTTTTTCTTTGTCTTCTAATGTGGGGGAGGTTAGGAGAGGGAAATGGTAGAGATGAAGCAGAGAGCTCCAGTGGGGGAGCGAGCACCAGTACAGACACGATGGAGAGAGAGCAGGGAATGGGATTAGAGTAGAGAGCTCCAGTGGGGGAGCGAGCACCAGAATGCACATGACAGACTGAATGGTCTCCTCCTGTGTTATAAACTTCTGTTGACTCTTAAGAATTCAGCTTGAAGGTTAAATGTGCCTGAAATATAATGCTCATTATTCCGCCTCCAGATAATAATCCTATGGAACTGTGACAAGCCATTAGCCAGCAGGGGCACATGGCCACCCACCAGGATGCCTCTGATAGTCGTACAGGCAGATCGCAAGGTAAGGGACGTGTTTGTCTGCGCTTGCCATCACTTCAGAGTTGTCACTTACATAAGAGGCTCAGTGTCACATCCCACATTAAACAGGATGGCCTCTCTCTAGGGGGAACGGTAAAGATCGCAAAACACTATCAGAAAAGAAGATAGTTTCTCCCTCCCGGTATCCCCTAAGTTCATCAGTCACTCACCTCGTGGCTGTCTGTGGGATGTTGCTAGTGCAACGAGCTGTGACAAACCTGATCACTGCACCTGTCAAGTGTTTACCTGGGAAGCAATGGGCGTGATAAGAGGCTGTATAAAAAAAAAAGTTTTGTCCAATGAAATATCTACTAAACCCAACTAAGCTCTGATTGTTTGTGTAAATGCGGCTGGCGAGGGTGTGGCTACCTCTGCCCTGCTGTTTCCTCAGGTCATGAGCAGTCGCTTCCTCCCGTTCCACAACATCAGCAGCGAGGCCGTGCTGAGCCTGGACGAGGACATCGTGCTCTCCACCAGCGAGGTGAGCGGTCGCTTAGGTCAGGAAAGTGTGCAGCAACAGCGCAAAGCAGCACCATTGGAATAACGACACCAATACAACCACAACAAAAATACATTTATATTGTGCCTTTCACGTCAGAAGAAGGATTTACCAGGGTGTTGGACAGTTAAGGGTTGGCACCCAAGTTGAGGGTTGGGATTAAGATGACTGGAGGGCATAGAGGGTGGGAGTGGGTAGGGTAGATGACCGAAGACGAAGTCAAAGAGGAGGGTTGGAATGAAGAGGGGGCGGAGGGTAGGGGGATACAGCACTGAACCAGAGCGCGTTTCTCGCTGCGGGCAGCCTCTGGCTCAGCCGATTCCCCGCTGACGCCGTGCGGTTTCTCACTGCAGGTGGATTTCGCGTTCATCGTGTGGTGCAGTTTTCCGACGCGGATCGTGGGTTTCCCGGCACGCAGCCACTTCTGGGACAGCAGCAAACGCTTGTGGGGATACACATCAAAGTGGACCAATGAGTTTTCCATGGTGCTGACAGGGGCAGCGTTTTATCACAGGTAATGAGCAATGCTGCGCGCGTGTGTGTGTGTGACACACACGGGGTAATCTGATACCCCCAACCTCTGCGGACACGGGGAGCCTCTTGTGGGGGAAAATATGTCAAACTGGTTGCCAAAAGGCTGCTCTAGGTGTCCAGCGAGTCTCTGATTGCTGCATGTGTTGCTGTGCAGATATTACCATCACCTCTTCACACACTACCTGCCCACACACCTGCTCGATCTTGTGGACAGTACCTCCAACTGCGAGGACATCCTGATGAACTTCCTGGTTTCCGCTGTCACCAAACTTCCTCCAGTCAAAGTCACGCAGAAGAAACAACACAAGGAGCCGCTGATGCAGCAGGTGTGCAGTGCTGTCCAGGTCTGTGACGCTGTGTGTGTGGTTTCAGCACCCTTTGAACGCAGTGACGGGGGCAGCATCTCAAAGTCGCTCCAGTTCCTGCAGTATTTTATCTGCAGCGAATTGTTTAGAGCACTTGCCTCCGCTAGCAAGATGACCCAGGTTTGATTCCTGGACAGGGCGAAACCTTAGGCAAGTTTCCTTACTCCTCACGCCTCTGTCAGTCAGCGCCAGGTGTGTGTCACACATAAATCAGTCATTTAGGTCATTGCTGTTTGCAGGAAATTGCAACTGCATTTGTTGGCAATTTCTGTGACCATTTTGAGATGTTTTGCTGTTGTAGATGGTGTACCTGAGTTCAATTCCAGGCAGAGGGCGAAACCTTGGGCAAGTTTCCTTACTCCACACAGAGCCTAATAATAATCCTCCAAAACCAAAACAATAATAAATTGGTCATTTTCAATCTACGACTGTTTGTGGGACATTGCTGTGCGCAATTGGCTGCCGCGTTCGCCCACAAATATACAGTCAATTCACTCTACAGTGTGTTCTGTGAAGCGCTTTGGGACGTCCTCCCGACGTGAAAAGCGCTATATCAAATGCAAGGATTATTATTATTATTACAAATGCAATTTTATTTTCATGTTTAAGCTGCCTCCCCCAGTTGGTCAGTGCCTGGCATTGCAGCCGCTTTCTCCATCCATGTGACCCAGGTTTGAGCTCCCTAACTCTGACCTTTCTGTTTCTCTCACCCAGGGCTCCAAGAGCACACGCTGGACTGATCCAGTTCACTTTGCTCAGCGACAGAACTGCATTAACACATTTGCCAGCTGGTTTGGCTACATGCCCCTCGTCCACTCCCAGCTCCGCCTTGACCCTGTCCTCTTCAAGGATCAAGTTTCTGTGCTTAGAAAAAAATACCGTGACCTTGAGCGCTCGTGACACCCAGCGATTGACCGACCAACTGCCCTCCACTGACTGAAACAGCTCTTCAGACAGACTCTGCGCAATGGGCCAGCGCTATATGTACGCACTGTAACCGCCAAACTGCCTCTGTTCCGTTTGTAGACTTATTCAGTCAGGGTTGATCTGAACCCCAATCGTATTCAGTGAAAATCAAATACTGGTGCTGAATGTGAGTCACTCCCTGAGACACTGCGTCAGTCTCTTCTCTCGTGTTGCAGATGTGTAGGTCGGTCACTCCTGGTGTTTGTTAACTGACGGCTCGCTGAGACAAAACAGGGATGTCCTCATTATGAGGGAGCGATTTACACGTCAATGCTGCTAGTTGGTTCAATATCAATATGTTTTTGAAGTTTAAAAAAAAAGAATTTTCTTCAAATACACATTCAGGTAGGATGCTGTGCACAGGATGATTTATTAAATGACACTTTTAATCCAGTGAATTTTGAATTGTGCCAAATGAACACTCCATCCAGCGCAAAACACATCAAGGTGGACAGACCCACACACACTCATTGAGTCGCAACATATCTTCTCGGATTTTTATTTTATTATTTTAAGAAAATATTACAGTTCAGAACCAGTCGACAGCTGTAACAAGTTCCAGAACATTCCATCAGTTCCTCTCTCTCAACACAGCCAGACAGTGACATACCTAGAATAGAATGGGGACCTGTGGGAGGGCATGTGAAATGCGCAGCGCAGTCAGGGTTTTCTAGACTTAGAAAAAACATCCCTCTCCCCACAGAGGCATCACAGCCAAACCCTGCCCACTCTCACACCTGCAACCCTGTCAGCTAGGGACGGGCGGTGGGGGCGGGGGGGTTCAGAACACTGACTATTCCCCTCCATATGGAGGCGAATTAAAATTGTGCATAAATAGCAGAAAAAGCACCAAATCAAAGCAGAATTTTAAAATGTCGCACTATATTAAATGGTCTTAACTGGGTGGAATTTCTGGCCTGGGGACGGAGTTACTGGCAACAACACCATTTACAGGTGACTTTAGAAATAAACCAGCAGCAAATCATTGACTGGGATTAAGACAAATAATCCTTCCCCTTCCCCCCACCACCGATAAACAATGTCAGAACCTTACGCTGAACTCAATCTGGCTTTTTTCTCAGAATCTGTTTCGCCCACAAAATACACAATCAATCCACTTTACAGTATATCCTGTGAAACGCTTTGAGACATCTCAACAACGTGATAAGGCGCTGTATCAAATACAAGGATTAATATTAATCCATACACTATCGACTTGGTACAAGAAGCCTGGACTAAGACACACACACACACAGAAGTAAGTTAATCAATGAAACTGGCATCTAAACAAATAAATCAAATACAGTATTAAACTATTTAAATGTTAAGATTAATTTCCCAGGTAAAAAAAAATGTTTTTGTTAAATTTTTTCCTTTTTTTTTTACTAAATATAAAAATCCCATCATACAGAGTGTGAGAAAGTACCTGCCTGACCCAGCCCTCGCCTGTGTTTGTCCCCAGGCTGTGTCAGGGCGGTGATGGGTGAGCGCGGGCTGTGTTTGGCTGCGAGCAGTCTCAGTTCCGCATTGCCAGCATAGAGTTAATGTCCCAGATCAGGTTCCGCAGTTGGTCTGTGATGTGCTTCAATTCCTGGTTCTTTTGACGCAGCTTCTGGGGGAGCAGAGGATAGCGATTTGGGAGTGAGTGCTCCACTGTACAGGTACCACCCTGATCCTCGCCCCTCACGAAGAGGCGAAGCTGGAGAATTTTTTTTTTTTGGGGGGTGGGGGTCAGCTGGGTGGGTGTCTGACACATGCAGAAACCCATCACCATGTTTAAAAGTATCCAAACCAAACTGAGAATTCCATGAAAATTCCAGATATAGATTGTCAGAATGGAATGCGTTCACTCTCTGATCTGATTGAGATGTTTGATACAACAAAGACATCGATTAGTGGAGGAGTCTTCCCTCTAAGTGAAGGGGTCCAAAACAAGGAGAATCTTAACTGGTTAGAAATAAGATCGGAAACGTTTTCTGCTCTGCTAATAATAATGAATAATAATAAATTGGTCACTTCAATCCATGACTGTTTGTGGGACACTGCTGTGCGCAATTGGCTGCCGCGTTTCACCGACAAAATACGGTCACTTAATTTTACAATATATTCTGTGAAGCACTTTGAGACGTTTTGAAAACGTGATAAGGCGCTTTATCAAATGCAAGGATTATTATTTTTATTACTCACCCCCAGAACCTCCTGGCATTCCTTACTACCCAAACCACCAGCACTCTGCCTCTCCGGCCTCCCCGGCTCCTCTCCCACGAAGGGGATTAACTGCACAGAAATAAACGGGTGTGAGAGAAGTGTTCTTCGAAGCTTAGCACCAAGCCTGGCACCAGACAACTGCCAGTTTTCAGTGAATAAAACTATTTTGGATCAGATTGAGAATTTAGATAAATAGGCTGCTCCCCGCCACCCCCCAACAGGTTTGATGCAACAACAAAAAACAAATAAAAATAGCAAAGCATCTTTTGCATCAGGAGGACGTCCCAAGGCACAGGACAGTCAAGGGTTTGGACTCAAACTGAGGGTTGGGATGAGGAGGGATGTCAAGCCCCACATCAGGATCATTGTCCAGGCCGACATTCCAGCACAGTGACAGGAGGGGGGAAGAGAAGAGCACCGCATTGTCAGAGGTGCAATCCTTCAGGTGAAACATTAAACATTAAAAATTCTGTGGGGTGAGCGAAGGCGTGGTCGAAGAGGTTCTTCTTGAGACTTGCCTTGTAGGAGGTAAGGGAGGGAGGCATGTTGGATGGAGTTCCAAAGGTTGGGGCCAGAAAGGCAGAAGGCCTGACTGCCGATGGTGAGGCGGGCCGGGCAGGGTACATGGAGGCCGGAGATCACTGAGCAGTACAATACGTACCTCTGTTGGTGGCACGTCGGAGACAGCACATGTCTCTCCGCAGCGGTCGTACAGCAGTCGCAGTTTCTTGAAGAGGAGCGTGAGCTGACGCAGGTGCTCCTGCAACTTGTTGTAGCGTTCCTGGTAAACCACGTGGTTGTGCGTCACACCGTTCGGCAGCTGCTGGGAAACAGGAGGCGATGAAGCCGGAACAGCAGCCCCTCCCGCACTGCAGCCCTCTCCAGCAACCCCTCCCCTGCCATCGCCCTAGCCCCCCACTACAGCCCCTGCCCCGCCATGGCCCCGAGCCCCAGAGCTGTGGGTAGATCTCGTTCCCTTGGATCTTGGAAGCAATTACCCATGAAATGCTTTGAGATCTTTTGACGTAACTTACAAGGTGCCGTATAATTACAAGTTATTTTCTGCTCTCTCTAATGAGAATTATTTCCCACACACTTCACAGGCTCAGAGCCAATCATCCAGATGAAGGGTGTGGTGGGGAGGTGGGGGTGTTGTAGGGGGGAAATGGAGGGAATTGTCAGTGTGAGGGCAGGGCTCATTTGGGGTGGGCCGGCAAGGGGCTGGGGCTCACCTGAGTAGCACGAAGCATGTGGAAGACGTCCATGGTGCGGGAGACAATATCCTGGACGGTCTCCTGGCCAACATTGCAGAGCGTAACGCAGGTGATCTCTCGCATGGCCCCCTGTGGGGGTGGGGGCAGGGGCTGCAAGGGGTGCCCTGGGGGTGGAGGCTGGGAGAGCAGCCCAGGCAGCCTGGCCCCAGCCCCCGGCATTGAGGCCATCACAGGCCACAGAAACCTGCAAAACACAACACTGTCAGCCTGGGCTCAGCCACTCGCGCTCTCACCTCCTACTCATGAGGTGGTGGTGGGTTCAAGCCCCACATCAGGATCATTGTCCAGGCCGACATTCCAGCACAGTGACAGGAGGGGGGAAGAGAAGAGCACCGCATTGTCAGAGGTGCAATCCTTCAGGTGAAACATTAAACATTAAAAATTCTGTCTGTTTCTGGCGGATCTCGAAAAAGATCCATGGACACCGTTATCGAAGGGAGGGCTGTTTCTCAGAGTGGGGGGGGTGACTTAATTCTCCAGATTGCACAACAATTTCATTTAATACAGCGCCGCTCACATACACAATGAACAACAACAACAAGAAGATGCAAGCGAGAGACCCGAGTTCAATTCCAGGCAGAGGGCGAAACCTTGGGCAAGTTTCCTTACTCCACACAGAGCCTAATAATAATCCCTCCAAAACAAAAACAATAATAAATTGGTCATTTTCAATCTAAGACTGTTTGTGGGACATTGCTGTGCGCCATTGGCTGCCGCGTTCGCCCACAAATATACAGTCAATTCACTTTACAGTGTGTTCTGTGAAGCGCTTTGGGACGTCCTCCCGACGTGAAAAGCGCTATATCAAATGCAAGGATTATTATTATTATTATTATTATTATTGATAGAGCGCCTTTCACGTCGGGAGGACGTCCCAAAGCGAATTCACTGGGACCTTCACTTCACGGGACTTCATTGCTTTACCCGTAAATGCCAGTCACTACACTTGAGAGCAATTGGGAACCGTTTCCCAATGTAGAGCTGTGTCCAATGCGCGGACTGGTACCTCACTCTCGCTCTGAAGATGCTTCGGGTCGTTGCCTCCTACACTGTGAGAGCTCTCACTCTGGGGATAAAAAAAAATCACCTTTAAAATAACACAAGAGAACAGGGACTGTCTTCACAGCATCACCGACTCAGGACAGCGACAGCACACACAAAAAAAATAAAATAAATCCTTTTTGCTTAAAATCCCTGTTAAGAAATTAGAATTAAAAGACCTTTGTTTTGTGGAAAAGATGAAGGCGGATCCGAGGTCACAGCGGAAAGAGAGAGGAGATCGTCAGATTATCTCTGCGGACGGGAAACGACCTCTGTTTGGACGGGAGGGGAAGGGATCCGAGTTACCCCCCGGGGGTGGGGGGGGGGGGGGGAGGGAAGAGTTCAGACTCACGCCGTGGGAAGAGGAGGGGGTGTGGGGGGGGTGGTGGGGGGGGGAAGGGGGTGGGGGGGGTGTGTGGGGTGGGGGGGAGTGGGGGGGGGTGGGGGGGGGGGGTGGGGGGGTGTATGGGGAGGGTGTGTGTGTGGGGGGGGGTGTGTGTGGGGTGGGGGGGGTGTGGGGGGGGTGTATGGGGAGGGTGTGTGTGTGGGGGGGGGTGTATGGGGTGGGGGGGGGGTGTGGAGGGGGTCTGCACTTGTCTTGTTTTTCAGGCGCTGAAACGCGACACAATGTAACAAACATTCCGCTACATTGTAGCGCTGCTCCTTCTGTTCCCCCCACTGCCCACTCCCCCCACACACTCCCCCCACTGCCCCCACTCCCCCCCACACACTCCCCCCCACTGCCCCACTCCCCCCACACTCCCACCCACTGCCCACTCCCCCCACACACTCCCACCCACTGCCCACTCCCCCCACACACTCCCCCCCACTGCCCCCACTCCCCCCCACACTCCCACCCACTGCCCACTCCCCCCCACACACTCGCCCCCCCACACTCGCCCCCACTGCCCCCACACTCCCCCACACTCGCCCCCACTGCCCCCCACACTCCCCCACACTGCCCACTCCCCCCACTGCCCACTCCCCCCCACTGCCCACACTCCCCTCCACTGCCCCCACTCCCCGCCCCACTGTCCACTCCCCCCCACTGCCCCCACTCCCCCTCTCCCCCCCCACTGCCCCCCACTCCCTCCGCGACACAACGTATCTCTCGCCCTCTCCCGCCCCATCCACTCACTCACTCACTCACTCGCAGTTACACAGTTACAACCATTATTTGGGCATTTTAAACGCGATCATCAAATCGGCAAAAACCCGAGTCACTCCTCTGCACAAAAGCCACAGAAAGTTCTCTCCCGCGGGTCAGGAAGGAGAGCAGATGTTTGCTGCAGATTCTCTGGCGGCGCAAAATAGAAAGTCTTTTTTACCTCTTTTTTTAAAAAAAACTGCAGATTTTTTCTCTCTCTCTCTCCTCTCTCTCTCTCACACACACCAAAGCTTTTATTTTATGCAAAATAGAAACTTTCAATATTGGAACAGGAAGTGTCTTGTTATCAGGGAACCAATGACATGGAGACTCTCACATCACTTCCGAGCTCCTGGGGGTGAAAAGGGGGGGTGTGTGTGGGGGGGGGAGGGGTGTGTGTGTTGGGGGGAGGGGGGTGGGGGGAAAGAGAGTGATTCTGTGTGCAAAAAAAAAGGGGCGAACGATCCGCTTCGAGTAGCGCAATCTCACATCGCGGCCTCTTTCCGGCGCTGTTCACGGGCGCAACTGCTGTCACCACTCTGGGGCCAAACTCTGCACCGGGAGGTCACTCTGGGTGGGGGTTGTGGGGGGTGGAGTGGGGGGGGGAACTGTGGCTTTGGAGGTTCTTGGGTTAAAGAGGTTTAAAAAAGGCAGATTGTGATTCCTGACCCAGTTCAGTTCCGGGGGGGGAATAGGGGCGAGAGAGAGAGAGAATTTCGGCCAATTTGAGAGCTTTTCGAGTACGCGGGTCATTTAAAAGACGGTTCACATGTGCGGGAAGCGATGACAGAGCAATGGTAAACCAGGCTTCACCACGTCAGGTAACTGAGAGCAAGGAAATGCTGCTCTAGACAAACTCCGGTCAGACCACAGAGCCGGTGGGATGAATAATATGAATAATACCAATCCTTGGTTTGATATAGTGCCTTATCACGTCATTGAGACGTCTCAAATTGCTTCACAGAGTGTACTGTAAAGTGAATTGACTGTATATTTTGTGGGTGAAACGCAGCAGCCAATTGCTATAAACAAGATACAAATAATATAAAACTGTAACTCACGTGTCCTCACCAGTACCAGGCTCCGCATCCCCTCCGTTCCACCATTGGTGACCGTGCTTCCAGCCCCCTCCCCTACACCTGAAGACCCTCCAACCGTGCCTTCAGTTACCTCTCCTCTCTTTCCGGCTCTGAGATGCACCCACGTGAAGGGTACTATAGAAATGCAAGTTGTTGTATTTATATTGTATCAAAACATTATATAATAAAACTGCAGTACCTCTTTATACCTTAGCACTAAGACTGGTAGCAGCCCAGAGGTGCCACTGAGTGGTGCGATGTGGTATCTGCATCCTTTGTGCAATTTCAAACCCCACACTGCAAAATGGCAGCATTACTGTATTAATTCAGGGACCCATCAGACTGCGATCAGTAGCACCGATGTAAACGTACAGCAAAAGAGATCACTCGAGCTAAAAGATCAGTGTCCCACAGCCCGGCCCTGACTGTTGTTGTGTGAACCTTAAAATGCAATGTAAAATACATTGTTAATAAATTGACTTTATATATCATTCCAGATCACACTCCACCCCCGCCCCCACCCATGTTAAACTGAACCAGAATCTCAACGGTATCCTATGCTTTGAACAGAACCTGTAACAGTTTTTAAAAGGGATTGTACTAAATATTTGAAAAAGAAAAATCTGAAAGTGGGAGAATGAGAATGGAAAACTCTTTCAAAGGTTGGCATAGGTCTGAGGAGCTGAATAGCCTCCTATGCGGTAACTCTGGGATTCCAGTGCCAATTGTGTGAAAAAGCAAATTAAAGGAATGTCCAAATGTTAGAGCCGGTGGTGGTACCTTTGGAGCTCATGGGATGAGAAGCACTCTCAGGCTGTGTGCTACTCACCGATGGCGATGTGAGAGCCAGTACTCCCAGTCAGGCTCCACTCACCTATTGCCAACCCACCTACACTCACCCATTGCCAGCCAGGTCCACTCACTTACTGCCAGCCAGGCTCCACTCACCTACTGCCAGCCAGGCTCCACTCACCTACTGCCAGCCAGGCTCCACTCACCTACTGCCAGCCAGGCTCCACTCACCCATTGCCAACCCACCTCCACTCACCTATTGCCAGCCAGGCTCCACTCACCTATTGCCAGCCAGGCTCCACTCACCTATTGCCAGCCAGGCCCCAGTCACCCACCCCTAGCCGGCTGCCTCCTCACCTGATCTGTGCCAGAGTTCAGTAAAAAAAAATACACCTGAGTATATTAAATAAGTTTATTTGTGTGAAATAATAGCAGCCACATACAAGAGTCTGTACAAAATACCAATGTGAAGTCTAAAGATACATACAATCTGTGACTCATTATAAAATCTGTAGATCTCATCGCTGACTTACTCCACTAACTTGCTGGGTTTGTAAGGTTCAGTGCTGCTGAACAAATTCCCTTTGTTCACGAGCTAAATAACACTACAGAGGTCTTATCAAACATCGTAAACTACAGCAAAGGATAACTTGATCTCATTTGGCTCCTAAAATGCACATTGATTTTTTTTTTACAGAAGTACAATCAATATTCACTTCTTTGCATTATATACAAAAATAGTGTAGAAAAAGTACAAAATGATCCATTTTGCACCATATAAAAAAAAATTGATTTTTTTTTAAAGTGTTTTTTATCAACTAACAACACATCAAAATACAGCATCATTCATGACCTCGTCCGGGACCTCCAGGGAAGCTGATCCAAATGGAAAACCAGACGTGCTTTGTCTCTAGTGGTCACCAAGTCTTCATCTGGGTTCTCCTGTCACTTCAATCTTATTGCTGGCCTGCAGGCGGCATTGTGAGAAGAACAAGGTAACTAGGCTGAGTCAGTCTGTGTGTGCGCTGTTGGGGGTATGTATAATAATAATCCTTGCATTTGATATAGCTCATTATCACATTGTTGAGATGTTTCAAAGTTGAGACGTCTTGGCAGAATGTATTGTAAAGTGAACTGACTGTATTTTGTGGGTGAAGGTATAATATACTGTGTACATATCATATATATCCATGTGTGTAGTGCTGGGTGAATGTATATTTTGTATACATTGTGAACATATATTTGTATAGGTCTCTCTCTCACCATCAGTTTGAATTTCCTCCTCTTCAGCCTCTTCCTTTATCTCTTCTTCCAACTCTTCATCTTCATCATCATAATCTGAAAGTTGAAATGTTCAGAACTGTTACTCACTTTTGCTACTGGAATATTTAATGTGCTTTTTCATCCTGTGTCCCTAAGCTGGCTTTAGGAGTACTTATTTTTGCCCACAAAATATAGTCAATTCACTTTATAGTATATTCTATGCCTTCTAGCACCCTCCTACCAACTAATCACCCACCCCTACCCTCCCCGCCCTCCACCCCTCCTAATCCCAACCACCAGCTTGGGTGCAGATTCCTGACTATCCAGCCCCTTGGGACGTCCTCCTGATGTTAGCGAGCGGCTTTGGGGCTGGGGGAGACTGTGTAGAGGAAGCTGCATTGTCACAGATATCGTCCTTTGGATGAGATGTGAGATCAGGGTTAAAATGATAAGGTTTATTATCATCGTCTCCCACTGTGGGCAAGCTAACCTTCCCATCCCTGAATTAGTCACACTGAGCGAACTCCACGTGTACTGAATGGAGAGTTTTACACTGTGGGCTGAGGACACATCCAATCTCTGTGAGTCACTGAGTTGAAACCCAGGCTCCAGGCTGTGCGCTCTACATACCTGATCCAAACTGAAGATTTTGCAGCACCTCCTCTACCTGCTCCACACTAACTGTGAACTCCTCCATGTTCTCAAAGCCCACCTCCGTTCTTTGTATGTGAGAAGCTTTAGATGCCTCCATCATCCTGAATAAAGAGGTGAAGAAAGTGTTTCAGGTCAGCTTATGTATAAACCCTCAGATCCACCACCTGCGTTGCTGGCAGCGAAGAGCCCTTTTTACTGTCTAAGCGTTGGCATCTTGGTCCCTCACACTCCATATCTCTAACACTCTCTGTCCCTCACACTCTCCGTCCCCACACTCTCTGTCCCCACACTCTCTGTCCCCACACTCTCTGTCCCTCACACTTCATATCTCTAACACTCTCTGTCCCTCACACTCTCTGTCCCATCTCCCAGCGCCTTGGGACGTCCTCTCGACGTGAAAGCCGCTATACAAGTGTAATTTGTTGTTGTTGTTGACTGCAGGCAGTTCATTCATTAAACTCCAGCTGTTGGGGGAGTTTCAGGCAGTGACCCTCCTCTGCCCCATACAATTCCTAAACACCGAACCACTTTCAGTGTCAGGAACTTGTTCATCTCCTTGTTGCACCACTTTTGTTAATAAACTGCACAATCTGAACAAACTGGCTGCCACCCCGCCACCCCCCCACTTGAAACCATAACAAGGGGCTGATAATGCTGGGGGTGGGGGGGGGGGTGGAATCCACAGTCACAATTCAGTCTGAACCCTTTATTGATACCCAATTGCTGTTGATACTCACTTTTTGATCAGCATCTTTGAATTCTGTGAAAGAAAAGGACAATTTGATTAAAGCGTTGATTTATGACCATGAAAGACAATGCATCACCAAGAAGTGATTTAATCTCGGGCTGGCAGTGAACACGGTGCAATACGCAGGGATACGAGTGGCAGCTCAGTTACTTGGCATCGATTCCCTGACTGCAGGATTAATGACTGTAACTGGCCACTTTATATCCTTGCAATCTGCAGTAAGATCCTGGGGTATAAAGGGGAATGTTTTGAGATTTCGTAGCGGTTGTGTACAAGGTGCTTCATACGTTAAACCAAAAGCTACTGTTGTAATTCCAGCTACTGGTTTAATAATAATAATAACAATAATCCTTGCATTTGATACAGCGCTTTTCACGTCTGACCTGTCCTGACATCAGTAACTCTGTAGGTGTCTGCACCGGAAACCACACCCAGCACCAAACCCCAGAGCACTGGAGGCAGAACCAGGTGGCCCCTTGTTGTGATTTGTGTAGGAAGTACCGCTGACATAAATGCAGGAAGTTTCGTCAGAAGCGACCAGGAAGTTGGCCATTGCTTCCCCACTTCGTTATAACACAGCGTCCTGGAATATTGCACCCAGGTGACTGCATTATGACGGGGATGTCCTCTGTATAATAACACACCGTGTGTTACTTCTTGTAACACACATATGTTGTGGTTGCTTACGTTACACTTGACTAACAGCTCTTGCATGTGTCTTGCACGACTTACGATCAGGAAAGTGGCCACTCCTGCTTCCTCCACGGATTGAATGGCATTTTCCACCAGTTTGGAGGACCCCTCAAGGTGTGCCTTGTATTGGCTGATCAGACCCTTTACATGGTCGACTTTGGCTTCTTGCTCTTTGGTGATGCTTTGCAGCAGGTCCTGCCTCTTTTGCTCCAGGATGGCGTAGAGGGTGTCAAACTGTTCAGCAAGCGATTGTTTCTGGTATTTGCTGTTCTCCTGAAAAATAACATGGAGAAAAGCCTTCAATGTGGAGCACCCCCAAATGCAGACCGTAGCCATTCCCACCTTCAGGAGGAAAAATAGAGCGGCCGCATATTCCTAAATGCTGGAATTTCTTTCAGCGTTGTGTCACTGTTCAGGAATAGAGCTGGAGAAGCAGGAACGAGTGCACACCACTAATAAGGAGTTGTGTAGTTGAGCTGTGATGTGTGTAGGGGAAGGGAGTGGGGGGGTGGAGAGTGTCTGCGGCTATTTGGGGAGCTGGGCTCAGCTCTCTCCTGGCTGCCGGTTGTTCCTACCTCGATGGACTTGCACGACTCTTCTAACTGGCTGATGACCAACTGGACTCTGTCGTTTCCAGCCACCAATATGGCGATACAATCGGTCAGCTCCACCTGTCCGACAGGAGGCAAGAAAATGCATGTCACATGGCTGATCACACGTTAACTTTCACAAATTGTTCCTCCCATGTGCGAGCCGAGACATTGAGTGCCAGCCGGGACCCTTATCTTAACAACTGAATCACGAGGGCAATTTTCTTCATATCAGACTTTTAACAACAGCTCTATCCTGGTAAACACTATAAATATCAATGTATTTTGTCACTTCAGGGCAGATGTCCCTGTGTGTGAAGTTACACATGGTCAGGAGACTGGAGCAGATGGCGATGGTATGGTTCACATGGTTTTCCCCAGTTTTGTTGACTGGAGCCCAGGCCAGCAGCACAGCTGTTATCGTGCTACAGCCCAGTGGCTAAAATTAGCCCAGAGATCAGCAGCTTCAGCAGGAAGGTTATTCTCACCTCCTTCAGCCCTCCCTTCACCCCCTCCCTACTCCCACTCTCCCTCCCCACCCACCTTCCCTGCCCTCTCTCCCCCACACCCCCACTGCCCGCCTGATCTTTACCTTCTGTCGTTCAAATACATTCTGCAAAGGGGCCACCTCGCAATCCTTGTGAGCCCCGAAGACCTTGCACATGGAACAGGTGGGGGTCTGGCAGGTCACACAGTAAATGTTAATCTTCTCGTCCTCGTGTTTCTCACACATCAGCTGCTTTCCCCTCTTCTTCACGGGCCTGAAGGATACCCCCCAAAAAAAACACTTTTCAAAATAATTTTCACATCAAATCTGTTTAGAGAACATCTCAACAGGCATTGGGCAGCTCCCCTGACGCTGTATAAAAGCTGTTTTGGTGAGGTTTTAAAGGAAGACATTTGCCTCCAGCGCATCTCGGAGTAAATTATGTGTAAAATTTTGTATAAAGTCTATCAAATATTTATCTTAACAAAAATTGCAGAGTGATAAAATATATCTGAATTTTCTTTGACGTTCACTACTTTCACGTCTTTCCAACTGAAAGGCGCTATACTAGTGTAATTTGTTGTTGTTGTTGTTTATCAAATCAATGTTGATCACTTGGCTTTTGGTTGCCCTGGGCTATGTTAGATCGTGTTCATCTGAGGAGGAATTAGTGACAAATGTAGCCTGAGTTTCTCTGACATTAATCTGGCGTTGGCACAAGTGAAAACCTCATTGCCGTCCGCCTGGCTGTGTTTGGGGCCCGTGCCCATTACAGTAAGGGTGTTCAAAAGGGCACAGTGTCTATGTAAAGCATGTGCCAGACCTTCACGGTGATCAAATTGCAATGGAATGTGTGGATAATGCATCAAGCGACAGGCGACAAACCCATATCTGGCCTGATCTCCTCCTCCCCCATCACCACCTCCCCCACCCCCCCACAACAGTGAAAGGTGTTTCCCTTGATATATACAGTCAATCCGCTTTACGGTATATTCTGTGAAGAGATTTGATTTGTCTCAATGGTGTGATAAAGCGCTGTAACAAATGCAAGGGTTATTATTCTTATTGCTAAACGGACAGGGATGGTAACCAAGCTGATGCTGACCTGGTGCACTCCTCTTTGTAGATGTCGATGATGTTTTCTACCAGAAGATTCCGCTGCAGCCCATACACTCCGTGCCGATCCAGGATGACCTCGTGCCGACAAGATGGGCACCGGAACCTTCCTCCCGATATGGAGGAGCTCCGCGACTGCCAGTACGAGTTGGCAGCCTGGAGAGCAAGACAGAGAACAACATTAGTCCCACCTCTACATCTAGACATCTAGACAGAAGTCCCCAAAACCAAGGTCACAACCGCAAACCACTCAACAGCAAGCATCCGAAAACGAGCACATTTTCCCATTTCACATTTTACAACCGTATTGATGTCAAGGTCATTAGAATGTGAATTCACAGGAAGAAATTTTCTTGCAATCAAAAAAATCTAAACGTTGCTGGCACTGACCTGGAAAATGTCATTGGCACATTTGCGGCACAGGTTGTGTTGGCACGGCAGGATCACCACCGGTTTTTCAAACATTTCGAGACAAATTGGGCAGATGAGTTGCTTCTCCAGAGTGTCCATGGTGCTGGCCTCCGGGATTATACTCTCAGACTGGAAATCCATGTTAATGAATAAACGGGACAGACAGGGATCCTGGTGAGTTGTTCAACTTCTCTCCGGTCGGTCTCTATTGACTGCTTTTCGCGATGTAACCAATCCTTTTCCCTCCTTTAGAGCAGGTTAGTCAAAGTCGTCTGACGATAAGAAAAGGTCTTGTGTTCTGTTCGATGTCTGCAGAGAGGAGGCTCTGCTCTCCTTTTATAAAGAGTTCCCGGGTCATGTGCCGGGTGGGATGTGGCGTTCCCGACATACCTCTCCCCATATTAGTAACCTGAAATGTGACACCAGGAACACACGGACCTGGGACACAGTCACACGGTAAAAAACAAAACCAAAATACAAGCCTTCCAAGAACCAAATTAATAATAATAACCAATCTCCAAACCAGTGACCCATTTTGTCAACGTAAACAGAGGCGTCTTCAACCAGAACACGGTGTCCGAGGCAGTCATTGACAACAGCCAGATCAAATGACCAGTGTTAGGTAAGGAAATCACAGTCCAGATTTTTGATTAATGTAAAGAACACATTGATCTCTAAAGTTTGAGGCACATATAGGAGAGTCCATAAAAAGGCTTTATATAAAGTATATATACTGTACAACCTACATGTTATATACGCCCCATTTTGTGCCATGCAGATGGTGCTGATGCCTGGAATGAGGTTATAATAATAATTCTTGCATTTGATACAGAATCTTGTCATGTCATTGAGATGTTTTAAAACGCTTCACAGAATATAGTGTAAAGTGAGTTTACCGAGTATTTTGTAGGCAAAAAATGTATTTATGAGAAAGCTGGTTTGTGAAAAGTGGCTCTGTTTTCACTAGAACACAGGAATTTACGACTGGATGTAACAGAGAGCTTGAAAATCCTAAACATTTCCAGGGAATAGAAGGCGAAAAACAATTCCCTCCAGTTGGCGAATCTGTAACATAACATCAGAGATATTACTGGGGAGGTTGGAAGAAATGTTTTCAAGTGCAATCCTTTAACATGTTTAACTGTTGGAAAAGACCATGCAGATGTTTTGATTATAATAATAATCTTTGCATTTGATATAGCACCTCATCAAGTCTTCTAGATGTCTCAAAGCGCTTCACAGAATATACTGTAAAGTGAATTGACTGTATATATTGTGGGTGAAATGTGAAAACCAATTGCGCACAGCAGTGTCCCACACACAGTCGAGGATTGAGTGACCAATGTTTTTATTTTTTTGAAGGAATTCTACACTTTTATTAAGGAATTCAAAACTTTGAAGGAGATTTGAGCATTATGTGCAAAACCGTATGCAAACACATGTGCAGATGGAATTGTAGATGCCCTCAATGAAAAGCACTATATAATGTATAAATCCATCACAAATCAATTGTTTTAAAAGTTTGGGATAATATCATAGTTTTGCTGTATTTTGTAGTGAGCAAATACATTGGGATGGATATTTTTTGTGTGAATGATGTCAAAGAGTTACTCGAAAAATTGAAAATGACGTAACTGACCTTTAAATTATTCTTTGTTGACAGAGCGGCTCTCAGCAACCCGATCACCTGCTCATCCTCGTGTGGGTGTCACTTGATGAGCCGTGCTGACCCACATCACTCATGTCGCCCCATTGTAGATTGAAATTAACTTGTGTTAAACCATGTGATTGCTTGTTGATTTCCAGTTCTCTGAGTGCCCAGATACGTTATACAACAGGTTAGAGGCAGCATGGGTTAGAGGCAGAGTAAACTTCCTCTCCACTATCCATCTACACTCCCAAGTCAGTGACATTATAATAATAATAATAATAATAATCCTTGCATTTAATATAGCGCTTTCACGTCGGGAGGACGTCCCAAAGCGCTTCACAGAACACACTGTAAAGTGATTGACTGTATATTTGTGGGCGAACGCGGCAGCCAATTGCGCACAGCAATGTCCCACAAACAGTCGTAGATTGAAAATGACCAATTTATTATTGTTTTTGGTTTTGGAGGGATTATTATTAGGTGTGTGGAGTAAGAAAACTTGCCCAAGGTTTCGCCCTCTGCCTGGAATTGAACTCAGGTCTCTCACTTGCAAAGCGAGTGCTCTAACCACTGAGCTACAGGACTCCACAATTATGCATTAGAGACAGAGTAAAGCTGCCTCCACCCTGTCCATCCACACAGAGTAAAGAGTAAACTTTACAGAGTAAAGTTCTTCCTGTTTTGTTCCAGTGACAGATGTAACTTGTAAGTTGTAAATTCTATTCCAGTGGAAGAGGGGGTGTCAGAGCCAGGCTCTACGTGGGGTAGAACAGTTGCCGCTCTGACTGGTGAGATGGGCCAAGCAGCAGTAACTCAACTGAAAAAAGGCACAAGTCTTCTTTACACGATAAAAAAATGTTCTGTCATATTCCCTAAGGAACTGGGCTTACACTCTCGCCTCCCGCCAACTCACTTCCTTTGTCAGTTTCGCTTCCCATCTCTCAGCTCAAATATGTTTGTACGGCTACTGTCATTCAGATGCAATATTCTGGATCATCTCCCCCCCCACCCCCCCCCCCACCCCCCCCGCGCCATCTACTCCCCAGTTCCAAGCAATGTGTAAACAGGACACCAGTTGTTATGACAAGAGAGGGCGGGGGGGAGTTCAGAGATGTGAATGGACATCAACAGGCTATATCACTTGCTGTTCTCTGTCTGTCACAGTGAACCTGTGTTCTCACTGGCCTGGGACGGGAGTGCTGGACAGACTGTGCCAAGAGGGAGCTTTACTCTGTCCCAAACCAAGCTGTCGCTGACCTGGACAGGGTCTTTATTTAAAGAAATGCAGAGTGGATCGTGGGTGATCTTGAATCTTAAGATAAAATGGTCTGACAGGCTAAGACTGTTTGGATTTTCAGGGCTCTGGTCCCCGAGTTGGAGCATGGTTAAAGTAGACCTGAAGGCGTGCGAGTGTGTGCAGGGAGCGCATGTGTGTGAGTGTGCAGCTCGTGGGTGGGTGGGGGTGTGAATGTGCAGGGAGCATGTATGTGTGAGTGTGTAGAGAGTGGGGGGGGATTAGTGTGCAAGGGGGTTGGGAGGGGGATGAGTGCAGGGGAGAAGTGGGGGTCTGAGGGGTGTGTGAGTGTGCAAGGATCGATCGGTGGTGACTGTACAGCTAGTGGGGAGCAGGACGAGGAGAGGGTATGTGATAGGTTTGGGGTATTTACAGCCGGGCTGGATTTGTTGAATTACGCCAGCTGTCGGCTGTGGCAGTAACTGAGACCATGGGCTAATTTAAGAGCCGCTGGTGGAAGTGTGAGGGAAGGTAATAACTCAGGGAAACATTCTGCAGACTGCAGCGACTGAGATATGATGAAAATATTCCTTCGCACAAACCATGCTGGCAGGTGGCCGCTGACAGCCCTGGGACCTGCTCTGGACATAAAATAATAATAATAATCTGATCACTCACAACTCTTTATGGGACACTGCTGTGAGCAATTGGTTGTCACATTTGGCTCACAAAATAGGCAGTCAATTCACTTTACAGTCTATTCTGTGAAGCACTTTGAGACGTTTCGAATTCATGATAAGGCACTGTCTCAAATACAAGGATCATTATTATTGCAGATATATCCTGTTAAGGAGCCAGGAGACTGACAGCATTGTCCGAAAGAAGTTGTACAACGATGGTCAGTTAATGTGAGATTGGAGGGGTGGGGGAGGGTGGAGGGGAGGGAAATAATAATAATAATAATAATAATAATAATAATCCTTGCATTTGATATAGGGCTTTTCATGTCTTCTAGATGTCTCAAAGCGCTTCACAGAATATACTATGAAGTGAATTGACTGTATATTTGTGGGCGAAACTGATGATCTGGAAATAAGTAATAAGCTCTGTTTTAATTTCAGACGTTGTTGTGGAGGCAAATGCAGCAGCTAACCTGCACCAGTCACCCGTGCCTCTCTCTCTCTCTCTCTCACACACACACACAACACAGTGGGTGAGTTGTCAAACTCAACAGCACTTGGTGAGGGCACGGCCATTAACTGGGACACACTCTACTGCAGTACTGTATATGAAACATTTCAGCACCTGAATGAGGCCGGGATTATTTTGGACGCTGTGAAATCTGGGACCTAAATCCAGAGGTGAGAGAAAGTGACGGCTCAACATAAGGGCAGATTAAAAACCGCTGAATAATCAGGAGCGCTCGGGTCACAAACAGAAATGGCCGTGATGTGATACAGTCTGGTGTCCCCGGAATGAATGGCTCTGCAGCTGTGCCATGTGGTGACTGTCACTCCAACAAACGACACGGATGCACTTTCACTCAGTCCTGCTCACCCCTCCCCACCTCTTTCCCCTCCTCTCCCTCCCCTGCACTGAGTCCTGTAGCTCAGTGGTTAGAGCATTCGCTTTGCAAGCGAGAGACCTGAGTTCAATTCCAGGCAGAGGGCGAAACCTTGGGCAAGTTTCCTTACTCCACACAGAGCCTAATAATAATCCCACCAAAAAAAACCAAAAACAATAAAAAATTGGTCATTTTCAATCTACGACTGTTTGTGGGACATTGCTGTGCGCAATTGGCTGCCGCGTTCGCCCACAAATATACAGTCAATTCACTTTACAGTGTGTTCTGTGAAGCGCTTTGGGACGTCCTCCCGACGTGAAAAGCGCTATATCAAATGCAAGGATTATTATTATTATTATTATTGTAAAGTGGATTGACTATGTATTTTGTGGGCAAATCGCAGCAGCAAATTGGGCACTGCAGTGTCGCACAGACAGTCGAGGATTGAGTGACCAAATTATAATTTTTTAAAAGGAATTATTGCCTGAAAGCAATCCACCAATTGACTAACCACCGGTTTCCTACTTGCTGCTAGGTAAATGGAGGTGGGTGGAATAAGGAAACTTGCCTAGGGCCCGGGAATCGAACCTGAGTCCACTCGCTTACGAGGCAAGCGCGCTAACTACTAAGCAACAATAATGCTCAGTGCAACAGTGGACGTTTGCATCCTCCTTCAAACCATGCAAAGGCTGAAATATCCCCCAGTCTCAGCTTGATAAGCCATTTTATCTTAAATTGTACAAGATGGAACTGTGCACACACACACACACACACACGCCCAGTGTGGGGACCACAGAGGCAGTGACCGGGAAACAGATCTTGCACCATCAGGTAAGAACAACTCCAGCCATGTGACCAAGAAAGGCTGAGGAGACATTTTCACATTGTTTATTTCATGCTGCACATATATTTTTACATTGACTTTGTATTAAAAAATGTTTGTGTTCTAAACTTGCTGAGTGTGCATTGATTGCTCAGTCACAGTGGTAACTGGTTGCAGAACTAACTCATCTCATTAGCACCAAGGTGACTAGAAAAGTATAGTACATGTTTTTAAACAGGGTGTTCAAATATTCTGCAAACTGCTTCTCTGAGTCGGCCCATGGTCCAAATCACGTTGAGAACAATCGTGCAAATGTCATTATGTCATGTGGGTGTCAAAATGTGTCTCGGCCCTCGGTCACCGCACCCCCTTGCCTTGTGAGGCAAGGTCCCTTTAAGTCAGCAAAATTCAAGACCTTCACCAAAATAAAACATTGCACAGCTCCAGTGTATTAGGATTCTATTTAAAGATACTGTCCAAGTATAAATAATAGGATTCCATTTAAAGAGACGGTCACAGTATACCAGCAGCCTATTTAAAGAGGGAGTCCTCATTTTTTGGCGACTCCATTATCTTGTTTTTCCAGCATTCCCCAGTTCTACTCGGTTAAAGTCCAAGAGCAACCAACAGCCAAGTGTGGTTCTTCATGGTGAGGGTGACCCTGAGAGAGTGATCTGATCCTATCTTGATCAGCATTGATGCTTCCTTACTGACTCCCTCCCTCACTCACTTTCTTGAACTCACTCTCAGACTTTATAGCTCATTGCCATCATAACATCACCCTCACCGTTTAGAAGAAATGCAATGTACTCTTACTGTTTGTCACTGGGTTAGTATTGATGGAGGGACTTTTAATGGTATGAAACACACATAATACATTTTCTGAAATAAAGAATTTATAAAGTACAGTGTGCATATATACACCTTTTGACACATCAGATAATTAACCATTTCAGTACAGTAAGATATTTCTGGGTTTTAAAGCATGTCTATTATTCCATTCCGTGTTGTATACTAAACAGTTGCAAACATTAGCGTTAACAATGATTAGTTTCACATTCACTTAGGAAACATCACTTAGAGAAATCCAATGACACTGAAACAGATATTACACATACTGGTTACTACCTTTGCACTTGCCGTAGAGTGGGGGACACAGGCAGCCTCAGTGATCCTGTCCTCGGGGCGAGACCCCCCCACCTACTGTTCACTGACCCTCTGAACTCTCTCCGTCCATGATCACTCCTGAAGGTTGAGCCTTTGAGCGAGGTACTAGAGGGCCTCTGTGATACCATTCCCCAACACGAGTCAGTGTCTTCGGAATTAGGGGAGGGGGGAGGAGGGAAGAAAGAAAAGGAGCGGGCAGAATTGGAGAAATTAAAATAGTTGGGGTTTGGGGAAAAGGCAGTGATGCAATTTAAAAATTGTAGCGAATAGGTTCAGCCATCTAATTAGTGAATTGGATCATTCTGCCCATTAACTATCTTCATTGTAGGCATCTCCTTTGTTAGTTTGGCTTCGCTGTTTTGGCTGGAGCTTTCAGAATGGTCATCTGCAAAAAAAAACATAAAAGAGTTTTTAAAATGTGCTGGCCACAGTAAAGATTATTCACTGGGTTCGCTCTTCACAGAATCCTAAATGTTAACAGCAGAGAATTGAGTGGAGAGCCCCAATGGAGGAATAACTTCCTCCACTGCCTTTCCTCCATCATCCACCTCAATGGGACCACACTCGCCTAGTTCGAGTCCTACCTCACAAACTGCCAGTCGTACCTTTGCACAAATGGCTTCTCCTCCCTCTCCCACCTGCGGGGTACCCCAAGGATCCATCCTTGGCCCCCTCCTCTTTCTGATCTAAACTCCCTCTTGGGGATGTCATCCGCAGACATGGGGTACACTTCCACATGTATGCAAATGACACTCAACTCTATTTTTCCACCTCTCTTTGCAACCCCCAGTCCTCTGATGTTCTGTCAGCTGCCTATCAGATCTCAGGGGCTGGATGAGCGCAAATTTCCTTCAGCTGAACGTTGACAAGACGGAAGCCATACTCTTTGGCTCTCGTCAACATCTAAAATCTCACAGCTCTCACCTCCTCCACACACCCGACCTCCCCCTAAAACTCTCTGAACCCATACGCAACCGAGGCATCAGGTTCAACCCCCAATTATCCTTCCTCCCCACATGTGGTCCCTCACCAGCACCGCTTTCTTCCACTTCCGATGCATCGCCAGTCTCCACCAATACCTCACTCCAAAAGCCGCTGAAACCCTGGTCCATGCCTTTGTCACCTCTCGGCTGGATTACTCCAACACCCTCCTCGCCGGTCTCCCATCCACTACCATCCATAAAATCCAAATCATTCAAAACTCTGCCGCCCGCATTCTCACCCTCACAAAAGTCAGCTCCCCGATCACCCCAGTCCTTGCCAGCCTGCACTGGCTCCCTATCCCAGAGAGGATCGATTTCAAGATCCTCATCCTTGTATTCAAGTCCCTGCACTCCTCTGCACCCCTCTACCTCTCTGACCTCCTCTCTCCTCAAAACAGTACCCGTTGCCTTCGTTCCACCGGATCTGGCCTCCTCCTCGTCCCCTGAGTCCTCCACTCCACCCTCGGCGGCCGTCCTTTCAGCCACTATGCCCCAAGGCTCTGGAACTCCCTTCTTCACTCCCTTCACCTCGCTCCCTCCCTTCCTATTTTCAGGTCTCTGCTGAAGACCTTTGTTTTTGACCGTGCTTTTGGCACCTTCATCCCCCTCCCCATGGCTCGGTCTCGGGATCTATTGCTGTGAGACGCTGTCCAGGGTTGACACTATATAAATCCAAGTTGTTGTTGTTATTGTTGTTGAGCACCAGCACAGTCACGATGGGGAGGGATCAGGGATGGGAGCAGAGAAGAGAGCTCCAGTGGGAGAGCAAACACCAGCACAGACACAATGGGGAGAGAGCACTTTCTCCTGGTTTACATTCTCCTCGTAGATTAAAATTTAGATGAGTAGTTGTGTGCAGGGAAAGTTGCTGGTGGAGAATCACTGTCACATTTGGAATTTTGAATGAATCTCATTCTATAAAACTTTTGAGAGGTTTTATGTGAGAGTCGCTGTGTAAATGGCAATTGTGGCTATTGATGCCTCTTTCCGGGCTCTAAGGGACCTATGGCTCCTTGGTGCAGACTATCCTTGGACTTGTGGTACAGATCAACCATGATCTTATAAAATGGTGGAACAGGCACAAGGGGCCGAATAACCCTCTTCTGTTTCTATGTTTTGATTTTCTATGTCTCTATCCCTATTATGTAAAGCACTTTGTTTGGTTTGAACATGATCAGAGTCTTCTCAGAGTTTCACAGGATATACTAAAAATAGTACCTGTATTTTGTAGACAAACAGAAAAACCTCCCTTCTCTTTAAGACTAACGTCACAGGATCTTTAATATCCAGAGGAAAGATGGTCAGTTGGGATTTGTGTGCAGCAGCGCTTTGGGACATTCTCCCGACATTTTTCCGAAAGGCGCTCTTTAAATGTAATTTTGTTGTAGTTGTTGTAACGTTTCATTCCAAGTGCAGTGCCTTCAGCAGCCAGCCCTCTTGCTCTGTGCTGGGAATGCTAGTGTATAATGAATATCAGACTTACTCAGTCACTGTTGTTACTCTGGGGTGCTCACCTTTGTACAGGGGAAGGCGGTCAAAGTCATTAATCACATCAGATTCCTTCTTATTGTCGCAGCAGAAACAGCAACACAGAAAGCAACAGCAGCAGGTGATGAGACAGCAGAAATAGGCTAAACACTGCAGGACATCACAGCAAGGGTTAAAACTGACTCAACATAGAGATTAATTATTTCTGGAAAATCTTGCTTGTTGCTTTTGAGTCTCATTAACATGTCACTGACCAAACTATGAATGTACTTAGTGATTATATACAACCCATTGTGTAACTGCCCTAATGGACCACTGTCTGAGTCACTGATCTCAGCTGAGTCACTTGTTTCAACTTTCCTGAGTAGGATTCAGCAATGCCCTGTGCGGACATTCCTGTGCAGATGTGGGGTGAGGACAGGATGTGGGCTGATTGATGCCCCCAAAGTCCGAGAACATGATCAGAGTCTTCTCAGAGTTTCACAGGATACACTAAAAATAGTACCTGTATTTTGCTCTGTCTCGAGAGCGAGACACAAGAGCGGGTGAGACACTGAGGCACCCACAGAATATGGTGTCTTGTCATTCTGCAAGTCGTGGTTTACCCAGTGATCCCATTGTAACCTTTAATATTTCACTGTCTCCCCCCCAGCACATGGCAGTGGTTTCAGGAGAGAAATAGGGGTGGGGGTGGGGATGGGGAGAGGAAATGAGGAGAAACATGTCCTCAGAGGCAACTCACCTTGAAGCAGTAGTTCGTCTTCGTTGATAGCACTTTCTCTCCCTCTTGCCCTAACATGGAGGCCAGTTGCAGCCCCGCTGAACCATATGAATCATAGATGCTCCTCTTCCGATGGTCCGAGAGGATGATGTACGATTTGTTTATTTCCTTGAACATCTCAGCTGCAGCTGGGTCATTGCGATTCTTATCCGGGTGGTACTTCAGTGCCAGCTTCCTGAGCAATAGCCAGCCTCAGAGTTACTCAACATTATTTCACCTCCCAAAAAAACAATAATTTCCACAAGATCGGTTCGGACGAAGAAGGCCCTTTGGCCCATCTGATCTCACCCTTCCAGAACACCCACGCTACCGACCTCCCATCACAGGGTCAAACTGCTTTTTAAATGAATCCCAGTATCCTGGCCTCAACCACCCTTGACGGGTTCCAGTCATTAAACAACAACAACAACAACTTGCATTTATTATAGCACCCTTCACGCGGGGTAGTGTCCTGGATTGCTTAATTACCCTCTGAGTACACAAAAACTTCCAGGGGTGTGTCCTGAAATTGCTTTTTACGGCTCTAAACTTGTGTCCTCTTGTTCTACTATCTTGTTGTATCCTAAAATATTGATGTGGGTTTAATTATTCAATCTCATTAAAAATTTTATTTACCTTTAGATGATCGCCTCTGAGTTGTCTTCTCTCGAGACTGAAGAGCTCCAGCTTATCTAATTATTGCTCATAGCTTATTCCTCAAACACGTCTCAGCCCTTGATATCATTTTGCATCCTTGATTTTGATATGGCGCCTTATTATGTTATTGAGATGTCTCAAAGTGCTTCACAGAATATATTGTAAAGTGAATTGACTGTATGTGGGGGACAAAACACGGCAGTGAATTGCGCACAACAGTGTCCCACAAACAGCCATGGTTTGAGTGACCAATTTTTTTTTGAATGATTGTCTCCCTCGGAAAGTGAACCTTCAATCGACTAACAACCAGGTTCCTACTTACTTACTCATGGAGGATTATGGAAAAATCTTAAATTCAGTCTTAATTTGTAATCCAACTTCCAAATTCAGACTGAACTGAAGATTATTGCAGGATTCTGTGTAGTCTGAGATTTTGAACAAGATGGCGTAGCGTTTGAAGACATTGAAGAAATGTTAGGCCTTGGATGTATTTGCCAAACACCAGTTTCAGAGCGACCGCTCTCCGTTACGAGGGAAGAGCTCAATCCACATTCACGATTGCTCACTGACATGAGATATCCTCCTATATATGGTGGAGTCCTGTAGCTCAGTGGTTAGAGCACTCGCTTTGCAAGCGAGAGACCTGAGTTCAATTTCAGGCAGAGGGCGAAACCTTGGGCAAGTTTCCTTACTCCACACAGAGCCTAATAATAATCCCTCCAAAAACCAAAAACAATAATAAATTGGTCATTTTCAATCTACGACTGTTTGTGGGACATTGCTGTGCGCAATTGGCTGCTGCGTTCGCCCACAAATATACAGTCAATTCACTTTACAGTGTGTTCTGTGAAGCGCTTTGGGACGTCCTCCCGATGTGAAAAGCGCTATATCAAAAGCAAGGATTATTATTATTATATGCTGCTGTCTCACCTGTACGCTGCTTTGATCTCTTCCACTGTGGCTTTCTTATTCACTTCTAAGATATCATAAAGACTCTCATCACTTGAGGACCGCCTTCTTTCAGTCATCGCTGCTTGTCTGAGAAAACAAACACAATATAGAGGCCTACTCCATCAGCTGGGTTCTGGTGATTTCCAGGTGGTGGTAAAGCCATTAGTGTGAAAATAATCCTTGAATTTAATATAGCGCCTTATCAGGTCATTGCGACGTCTCAAAGTGTTTCACCGAATATATTGTAAAACGAATTGACTATATTTTGTGGACAAAACACGGCAGCCAATTGTGCACTAGTGTGCTGCTGTTAGCTCAGGAAGCCTCTTTAATTCCTTGCTCTGCTCCCTCTGACTGACTTGCTACAAAGGTGCCCAGCAGACTTGAGAATTCACTGACACTGCTCTCAATCCTTCCACTTGTTCCCTGCGTCGGATTCTGTGTGAATATTGTCCAGACAGAGCGAAAGGGAGAGAGAGATAGAGAGAGAGAGAAAGAGCCAGAGAGTTGGTCAGCTCCAGTTACATTCCACTCCTGATTCACCAGAGACGCAGAGAGATGAGAGATTTCTCTCGCAACGTAAATGGCAACAGAGAGAGGCAAAACATGAACCCATTGCACCATTGGTGTTTTTGGTGAATTTTGCCTTCATCAAGGTGAGAGGTATTTAGCATTGAGAGATGGAACTCTTCCCCATTCCAGGCAAACAGTGCCAGTCTCAGGAACACCCTCTCTACCTCTTTCCCTATCTTAAAGAAGCACTTCCTATTGCACCGGTGTAACATTTTCTATTCTTTATACTAACCATTCTGTGACACTGTCAATTTAGTGCTGAATTCAGGGCAGTTTCATGCTGTGTGCCTTTTGCTCACTGAGAACTCAGCTCAGACTGCTCACGCAAGACCCTCTACAGCCATCAGACAGGAGAGACTCTCACCCTATCAGTCTGGGTTGGATTCAGAGCCAGGGCGTAGTGGGTGAAATTGCAGTATCTCTACAATAGCTCTGTTTCCATATTTATAGCATCATTGACTATCTATATGGGCATTATACCTCTCTGTGTATAGATGTTCCCTCTCTCGCTTACAAATAGAGCATAGATAAATAATCAATACTTTTATCCAAAATAGTTATTTTGGAATCTTAACAAAAACAGAGAGCAGAGTTGTCCACAGCAGCAATCCTCCAGATTAATTGGTCGTTCATCTCATGGATGTGCGGGGGCCTGGTGGCTGTTGTGTCACCCTACATAAACAGTCACCACACTCAGTGGTAATTACTTGTGACATTTCGAGGTGATGGGGGAGGGAGGTTTTTACAAAATGCAAGTTGTCTCTTATTTCTGACAAACAGAAACATTAAGATGATTTCATCGAAGATGAAAAGCTGTTACGATTCATCCACCCACCAAAGCGCTCACCAACAAGCTTGTAAGCAAAGTGACTGGCCTGGTTATGGTTCACATCAAAGCAGCTGGTGTTGGAAGTGTGAATTGCCATGGTTACAGCAATAGGTTGTGTATCACTGTTGATGTCAGTGCATTCTATCTCTATGGTAAAGGAAGCTCCTTATTTTGAAGTGTCACAACGATAGAGGATCAGAGCATCCGCTGAGATCACAAACAACATGTGGGTCATTAAGACCCTTTTAAAATTAGGTTATGATCCTTGCACCTCCCTGTCCCCCATGGTGACAGGGTAATAGCTGTTTTAACATTTAATATTCGTGCAGAATTTTCTAAGTAGACAGAATGATACTGCAGAGAAACAGGACTTTGTCCCAATTAATCCGGCCAGTGTTTATACTCCACGTGAGCCAGCAACCCTCCAAATCCCTTCTAATGTGTAATAAATCTTGTTGTCAGCACAGTGAGTGTCTTAAGAATCCAGAGCACCCTATATAGGTCCACGCCTTTATCACCTCAAGGCTGGACTACGGGAGCTCTCTCCTCGCCGGCCTTCCCGGCACTTCCCCCCACAAGCTGCAGGTCATTCAGAACTCTGCAGCTCGTGTACTGTCCCGCACCAGGCTTCGGGACCACATCACTCCCACCCTCGCTCGCCTCCACTGGCTCCCCATCCCCTAGAGGATCGAATTCAAGATCCTCATCCTCACCTACAAGGCCATTCACGGCCTCGCTCCCTCCTACCTCTCCGACCTACTATTCCCCTACTTACCTGCCCGTACCCTCCGTTCCTCTGGCTCTGGTCTGCTCCACATCCCCCGCCCTAACCGCCCTATCATCGGTGGCCAGGCTTTCAGCCTCTCAGCCCCGAGGCTCTGGAACTCCATCCCCCAGTGCCTTCGCCCCCTCCTCCCTTTCCTCCTTCAAGGCCGGTCTTGACCTTTCTCTTCAACCATGCCTTCAGCTCCCCTCTCGACTTTCTACCCCCTGCTCGCTCCCTCCCTTCCCTCACCCTGACCATTTCCCCCCTGCTCGGGTCCCGACCCAACTGTCCAGTGCCTTGGGACATCCTCCCGACGCTCTATAAATGCAATCATGTTGTTGTTGTTATAGGGCAGCTTACTTCGCTCAATAGCACTTTTTGCCTCTGGGTCAGACGACTTAGATACATCCCTAGATGTGAAAGGTGCTATATATTGTTGTTCAAACCCCTCTGCTACTACCGACAACAAGCAAATTACATTTGTACGGCGCCTTTCACATTGGGAGGATGTCCCTAAAACTCTTCCAATTTTAGTGTGACCCACCACCACTTCCTGATTTTCTCATGTGCTATTTGTAACGGGTAGGATTTCTCAGGTTCCCCATAGAGTCCCAGGCATGTGGATGGTCATTGGGTGCACAAAGTGCACAATGGCATTGCTTGAAATGTGTGAGTGGTATCTTGAGTTACACAGGAGCTGAGCAGTTTGGGCAATAGAATTCTGTACTGCATGTGTGAAATAGTGACCTCTGTTGTATATGATCAGTACCCAGTGAGCAAGAAGCATTTACTGAACTGAGCGGCTTCAAACCGACCTCCCCATAACATCGTTCACGGAGATACCACTTAAAAAGGTGAAGCCCATTGATAGGAATCTCAGTGACCCACAGCTTTGCTGCGTCTCCAATCCACCCCGAGGTTAATAATAATAATAATAATCCTTGCATTTTGATATAGCGCCTTTCACGTCGGGAGGACGTCCCAAAGCGCTGCACGGAACACACTGTAGAGTGAATTGACTGTATATTTGTGGGCGAACGCGGCGGCCAACGGCGCACCGCGACGTCCCTCAAACAAACAGTCGTGGGTGGAAAATGACCAAAATTTATTATTGACAGTTCTCCGAATGGCAAATAACCTTCTAATCAGCGTCGCGTTTGCAAAGCGCTTCGAGGCGTTTCGTTTCACGCGAAAGGCAACGGGACGGGTCAAGTGGGTGCGGGTCACGGAGATTCCTATCGATGGGGCTTCAGCTTTTTAAGTGGTATCTCCGTGAACGATGTTATGGGGCGGTCGGTTTGAAGCCGCTCAGTTCAGTAAATGCTTCTTGCTCACTGGGTACTGATCATATACAACAGAGGTCACTGTTATTATTATTATTATTATTATTATTATTAATAACGTTGCTGCAGAGACCAGAGACAGAGGGGGAGGAAGGGGGGGGGGGAGGGGATGGAGCTCTGCCAGCATCAAAGATGGCGGGCGCGCTGGATCGCAACGTCGTGTCACGTGCCGCCCGCCAGGCTCCCGACGCCGTGACGTGACGCGACGTGCTTGCGTGCGTGCGTGCGGATCACGTCACGCGGCGCCGCTCGGCTTGGCGGGGTGCGGGAGGCGCCAGTTAGCGGCTGCGGGCGGCGTGGGCCCGGTTCCTCGGCGGCTCCCACACCGGCCGCTCCGGTTCGTGCGAAGGGGAATCGGTAGGGGCGGCGGCGGCGGCGGGGAGCGCGATCGGCCCGCGGGCACTTGGAGCATATGGCGAGCGTCGGGGAGGTGGTGGTCGTAACGGCCGAAACCGCGAGCCTGGAGGCGGATAGCGCGGAGGCGGGGAAAACGCAGGTCATCCTGCAACTGCAGCCCGTGCAGCCCGGGTAAGGGCACTCACCCTCACACACACCCTCACACACACCCACACACACTCTCACACACACCCACACACACACCCTCACACACACCCACACACACCCTCACACACACCCTCACACACACCCTCACACACACACTCACCCTCATACACACACACCCTCACACACCCTCACACACACACCCTCACACTCACCCTCACACACACTCACACACACACACACACACTCACACACACACTCACACACACACCCCCTCACACACACCCACACACACACACACACACCCTCACACACACACACTCACACACACACCCTCACACACACCCACACACACCCTCACACACACCCTCACACACACACCCTCACACACACCCTCACTCACACACACACTCACACACCCTCACACACACCCTTACACACACACACACCCTCACACACCCACACACACACCCTCACACACACCCACACCCTCACACACACACACACCCTCACACACACACACACACACCCTCACACACACACCCTCACACACACACACACACACCCTCATACACACACACACACACCCTCACACACACACACACACCCTCACACACACACACACACCCTCCCCACATACACCCTCACACACATACACCCACACACACCCTCATACCCACTGTGACACAGACCCTCCCCACATACACTCTCACACACACAACACCATCATTCACACTGATACAACACACCCTCATACATCCACTGTGATGTACACCCTCATACATACGCTGACACACACCCTCACACAGTCCCACCTACAGCCGCGCACACACATTGTGACACAAATTCTCACACAGCCCCCTCCCCCACACAGCACACATTATGACACACACCTTCATACATCACACCCTCACAGACACCTGACACACACACCGTGACACTACTCACCCTCCTCACCACACACACACACACCACCATACACACACACACCCCACCATGCATTTGCACATGCACGCGCACTCATGTGTGTGCTCACCAGCGCAGCCCCTCACACACGCACATGTGAGGGACTGTGATAAGGGAACATACATGAGGGAGAATGAAATTAAGGTTTAATTATGGTGGAGAGGATTAGGAGGGATGGCAGCTCTTTGTAAGGTATAACAACAACAACAACAACAAGATTCCATTTATAAAGCGCCTTTCACGTCAGGAGGACGTCCCAAGGCGCTGCACAGTTGGGTCATGACCCGAGCAGTGGGGAAATGGTCAGGGTGAGGGGAGGGAGAGAGGAGGGGGGAAATGGTCAGGGTGAGGGGAGGGAAGGGAGGGAGCGAGGAGGGGGGAAATGGTCAGGGTGAGGGGAGGGAAGGGAGGGAGCGAGGAGGGGGAAGAGAGTCGAGAGGGGAGCTGAAGGCTAGTTGTGCCTGACTTAGGATCTTCAGTCTTTAAAGATGTCTCATTGGAGATTTGGGGTTGCATGAGATACTAATTGATGGAGAAAGTACATCCAGAACAATATTTTCAAATATGTCAAGGCAGATGTATAAGAGGTTGTGTGGGGCAATTTTAAGACGGACGCCAGGAAGTATTTGATTACACAGAGGACAATCAACACCTGGAATGGATTACCAAGAAGAGTGGGCAATCCTGCCACTGTGAAGTGCACCAATACTTTATCCCACATGAAGGGTACAATATACATATATATATACAAGATTCATTGTTGAATATGGAAACACGTCATTGAGATTTATAACTGTAAATTGCTGTGTGTCACCTTTGCACTAACCTTGGTTTCAAATTATTCCAACAGCATGTGTGAAGAAGGATCAGAATCAAACTGCAATGCTTCAGTGGTGTCTGTGGGGACTCACACTTTGCAGAAAATGGCAGAGGGGGAAGGTGAGAGATCAAAGTTTACTGAGTTACTGATCCAACAAAGGGTGGTGGAGAGAACTAAATTCGTAGGAGATGTAGGCTTGTGCCTCGGTTTAAAGCTATTATCATTTACTAATAATGCTCTGTCAACAGACTCTAGATGCCAGCAGGTAACTGCTTAAAAAGGAGAAGCGATGGCTGGAACGGTTACTGAGCTGGAGGGACCTTAAGGTTGCAGCACTTTGGGCAACGACTCCCTTTGTCCTTGTGGTACAGCTCTGACACTTCTGACACTTAACATACTAGATCGCCTGCGAGACAGTCACTCCATCAAAGTTAGCAGCCTTCTCGTTGAAGCAGAATGCTGCCAAACTTCAACGGGGGAATGAAGGGGCGGCATTTAAAGTTGATTCTTGTATTTCTGTATTTATACAAAATAATTTTATAAAGTATAAAAATTGGATGTGTGTGACTATTGAAAACACTATTAGCTGTTACCTTTACACCTGATTTTCTGCTTTTTTTTGTATGTTTCTCCTCTGCTGGAGACACCAACCTGCGCTGTTGCCTGGGTCTGGAAAGGGGACAATAACTTTGCCTCACTCAATTTTTTGTCTGTGGGCATCAGCAGACTCTTCCAGCTTATAGTTCCAATAGTTCCAAATTCACCAAGACAAGAATTCAGATTCAGGTTGGGAAGGGTGAATTTAGGATGGATATTAGGAAGTTTTTCTTTACCCATAGGGTAATTAACAGCTGGATGTCAGTATGGGTGGTTTAAGCCACAATGATGAATGCTGTGATTTATGAAACAGCTTGATGCTGTAATGGGATTCAGTGAGGAAGAAATAACTTTAAAAAATAATGTAGGCTGCTTCATTGCAAAAGCTTTAATTTCTTTGCAAAGAGAAACCGACTATTGAGTTTTAATTCCAGATATCAACAATGAGGAGGTTGAAATTGCTTATCCTATTACCTGTGGGGAAAGCAAAGCCATTCTGCTGTGGAAGAAATTTGTCTGCCCAGGAATTAATGTAAAATGCGTGAAGGTATGAACCATGCATAACTATTCCATCTGTTAATACTGTACTGTCCACGTCTATTTTATTAAATTGGGTTGTAATGGAGGAGTGATATTTCATTAATAATCTAAGAATGGAGAAAAAAAAATTCAATTTTGCTCCAGCTAAGACACAAATACCTGAAACTTATAAAACACATGCAGCATCCAAGAGGCAGCTTGGGGAGCCTTCTAATTAACTACCCTGAATAATGCTGCATCTCAGAACTGGTCCCTAAAATACAAGTAAAATCAACTTTGAAAGTATTCTGCTGTTCAAATATCTAAATCCCTAAGGTGGCAAATTCAGAGGCATTGCTGGCTGGTGTAATGGCTACTGCAAATGGCTTTGGGCTCAACTGCTTTCACGAAGTTGGGGTGTTTACCAGTTATCAAACAGCCACTTACCAGGAGAGATACTAATTATCAGCAATGATAGTTTATCACCAGTAATAATTATGACAATTAAAACCGTAATAATAATTAAAACTGCAATAGCCAGCTGTGGATGCTGGATCCATTCAAAATTTCAAGGCTGAGGTAGATTTTTGTAGGTACGGGTATCAAGGGATATGGGGCAAGGATGAGCAATTGAAGTTGAGGTACAGATCAGCCATGGCCTTATAGAATGGCAGAACAGACTCTGTGGGACTGAATAGCCATTAATTACACACAAGACATTTTTTCATGTTTGTATGTGAAGTCAGTCTTGTCAGTATTCTCCATTATGACGGAATTCTTTACTCTGTTTTTCTTTTCAGTTTAATGATCATCTTATAAGCCCAAAACAGTTTGTTCACTTTGCGGGGAAATCCACACTCAAAGACTGGAAACGAGCAATCCGAATAGGAGGTGTAATGTTAAGGTTAGTGTTATCCAGATATATTCCCTGCATTTTGCCAGTTTTTGTTCCTCTTCCTGTCCCAACAGTGTTGCTGACCTGTGCTGATCCTGGTTCCCAGGAGTGTGACTGAGTGCCAGCCAATAGCATTGCTGAGCTGGTGGTAGAGGTGATTGAGCTCAGAGGACCAATGGCTAACTTGTCCCATTGGATATCTTGTCACTGAGTCCTTTTCCCTCAGAATGACGAGTTATCCGGAGTTTACTGTGGTCGAATTTCATACAATAGAATTCAATAGCTTTTGTTATTTCTTAATTATGCCAGACATTGTGTTGATCAGGGTGCAAGTTGTGGGGCAAGGAGTGGGGGTGGCATAAGGTAGTCACCAAAAGTACTCTCTGGAGGTGAGTTGAGTCTTCTGGGGCTCAGTGTAAGTGACTGTTTCTGACTGCTTCCCATACAGGAAGATGATGGATTCTGGTCAGTTGGATTTTTATCAGCATGATAAGGTTTGCACCAACACCTGCCGCAGCACAAAGTTTGACCTTCTGATCAGCAGCGCCAGGGCTCCTGTCCCCAGCCAGCAGAGCAATATGGTGCAGACGCCTATCTCTGCAGATGGTAAGCAATGACCTACAGAGTGCCACAGTGGAAATAGCCTGCTGCAAGTTTTGGGGAAGATACTGTGTTCTTTGGGAAGATTTCACTCTGAACTTTTAGATGAATGGTTTCCAATATTAGTTCCAGTCATTCCATTATCTTGCTGTTCTTGTAGTCAGTTCTGTTTGTTCCCACATGTTTCTGCGATTATAGTGATAAAGACTGGAAGAACTTGCAGAGGATTGCCAAGTAATGATGAGGCATGAGGCCGTTTCCCCTCACCCTGAGCAATTTTGCCCACAAAATATACAATCAATTCACTTTACAGTATATTCTGTGAAGCACTTTGAGATGTCTCGAAGATGTAATGAGCTATATCAAGTGCAAGGATTATTATTGTTAGAGTTAGCTTTCCTTTCTACTCCACATTTGTTCCTTGACCAGGACCTCTTTTTTCCAGCTGTCACATTGCCCGCCTCCTTCTGTACCTAACAAGCAACGCAGCCAAAACCCTTGTCCACGCCTTCATCACTTCCCGTGAGGGCTATTTCAATGCCCTCCTTGCTGGTTTTCCCAGCTCCAAACAAAATATACACAAAATTCAATTACTTCAAAACTCCAACGCCAGGATTCCTGCCCGCACAAAATATATATGCAAGTTGTTGTAAATCTTTTGTCATGCAAAATTGGCTGTTATGTTTTTTCAAGAAAAAGTAGATTTATTTTTGAAAGAAAATTTTGAGCTACAGCTTGTATAATTGGTATGTTCTTTTGCTGAGTGTTTGTTGGGTTCCTAGGTAATGGGGCGCAGATCTCCATTTCTGAAGACAATGCTGAGGAATGCATTGAGTGGAGCCCAGCGTTGACCACAGTTGCTGTTACTGCAGAAGATTTGAACCGGAAAGATGGTGAAGAGATCTCCGGTGAGTGGCAGTTGGGGCCTAAAGAATGCACATTTGGACAGTGAGGAGAAAATTGGTTAGAGTACGAAGAGTGGGTGTTTCATAATCGCTAAGAGGGGAGCAATCTGGGATAACATGGTTAGATTGAATTTTAGAGATGCAAAATGCCGGAGTTTCATTGCTCTGATTGTCTCCTGCTGCCCTGGATAAAATGAATGTCCATTACAATGGAGTCGCCATGCATTGCGGAGTCATTGCACTAGGCACAGCTGGAAATAACTCGTTTTATTGGTTCCGGTCTTAGTCAACTTTTCATGTGTGTCTGAAATGAAATTGTGTGCCATGTTATTGAGGGCTGCACATACTTTGTAGAATAATTAGAGATGTAGCTGTTATATGGACTGAGTTATAGGGAGCCACTGTGGTTTTAAACGTGCTAGTATTTAGTCCTGGTTTCTGATCTGTTGTATTTCTTGCTACAGAGGACACGCTGGCTTTCTGGAAAGGAATTGCTGATGTGGGTTTGCTGGGAGAGGTGGTGACAAACATTCAGAAGGAGCTGATGGAGATGCTGACAGGAGTTCAGCAGAGAATGGGACTGACCCCGCTGCAAGTCACAGGTGTGGAGTTAACATCGGGGTATGTGGGGGGTGGGACAAATGACCAGTGTTGTGAGTAGTTTGCATGAGGATACATAATGAGTGGGGATTGACAGTGTGTGTGAACGCAGAGCGCTGTGGGACATGGCCACAGAAGTAGAAAATGGAATGAGGGAAATCAATGTCTTTGTACTTTGTTAGTTACTGGTGAACTGTCAGAATAAAAGCAGTGTGTAATTTATTTTTTCAGACGCTGCAGTCCTCAATAACATGGCACAAACATTCGGCCTCCTGGAGACTGTGAAGAAAGTTTTGGACAACAGAAAAAGTCAAACTGATCAGAGTCAGGAGCAGATCCACAGTGACCTGACAGGTACTCTTCCCTTTGATGTTAAGTACTTGAAGAACTTGAGATGCATGTTTCAGGAGAAGTATCTTCTCAAATGGATGACCAGACATCACAATCAGTTGTGTGGAATGACTGGATAAGTAAGGACTTATCAGCCTTGAAAGCAGATATCTCTGGCATTTTATAAAGATTCAGTATATAGATTCTAAATGAGATAGAGAAAGTAAACCAATGTCTTCAGATGCACCAGAGTAACAGGAAAAAGGCCCTTGTTCTGGATTGTAAAGGAAAAGTTTAGAATAGAAACCAGGAAGTATTTTTTTTCCGTTAATGAGTGGATCATGTTATAAGAAAGATGGTTGAGACTAGAGTACTCAGACTGATTCAAGAAAGCTCTTGATGCTGCAGTGGATGACGGTGGGGTTAGGAAGGATGAGATCAAATGGCCTGCAGGTGCATTGGAACCTCTTGTTTTGATCTGGTAAGATGCTGAATCCTGGATATTTTCTTTCCTTTCAGAACTGGAGCGTCAGTTGGAGGAGCAGAAAAAGCGAGCCAAGGAACAGAAGCTGAGGAGTCAGACTCTGCAGAACGTGGTGCTGATGCCCATTGCTACTCCCAAACCCAACAAACGCCCCCGGCTACAGAGACCTGCCTCTGCCACCATCCTCACACCGACCACCCCACTGCAGCATCCACAGTTCACGGTCATATCTCCGATCGCAATCACTCCAATGGCAACAAACTTTTCCGTCGCCAATGTTACCACCATGCCGATGGCAGCCCTGGGCCACCAGTCCAGCCCTGTTACAGTCCATACGTTGTCCGGTGGCTCCCAACTCTTCACCAGATACACTGCTGTGGTCTCTGCACCCAAGACCTCGACCTCTGAGACAGTTACCATTCACCCTTCCTCCAGCCTCGCTCTCCTGAGTACAGCCGCCATTCAGGAGAGCAACGCCATCACGACCATGGCTGGAGTCGATGCTAGCCCCATGCAGCTGGTGACTGTGGACTCGGGGATCACTTCGATGGTCCAGAGCGACTGTCTTGACCAGTCCACAGGAGAATCACAGACTGTGATTGAAATCCACCCGGGTCCAGAGATGGACTCGGATCCAGAGCCTGTGCCAGACACCGAGCCTGACGACAAGGCCGTGCAGGCAGATCATGAAGTCCAAATACAAGCCATTGAGGTGGTGACCCAGGAAGAACAAGAGGAAGAAAAGAAAGAGAGTTAATTTTTTTTCTATTGATGGGCTACTGCTTGGCTGTTTCTGAATGTACTGTATTTTAAAATGTAGTATGTGTAACAGATCTGAAGTTGAAAATTATGTTTTTTTTAAAACGGAAAGGAAGAGGCTGCAATATTATTTTTAAAAAGCTACGTTCAGATTGCTTGCTCAGATCCTATCATAGGTCAGTGCTGTCTTTGTTGGCCTCTTTGTTGCACACTAGGAAAGTCACCACCAAGTGACAAGTTGAAAAGAGATACAGAATCTGGAGCCCAGAGATCTAGAAAATCAGATTCCAAATTTTCCAAAATTCTACACAATAAGTTTTAAATCGATGGTTTTAAGCCTGAAAACATGAGAAATTTGAGGCCTCTAGTGCCTGACACTCAGTGAGTCTGTGTTAGCTGTTCGTGTTTCGGGCCAGGTTTGGGAAGGTAAATGTTAATCTGCATTTACTTATGCAAGTCACTCTGTACTCCATAATCTTCCGACAGTTTCTTGGGCCCAGAGCGCATCCAGTATGGAATTAGAATGATTTTGCTTTGGCCAGTCTCAATGTAGCATTGGATTTTGATTTCTTTACTGGGGGTGAGGGGGAATGGGGTAAACCAAAACCATTCAGTAAAAGAAAATCTTGTCATTAGTGGATTTTGATGATGTGAATGGATGTCGTTAAATGTATGGTGCAACAACCTGGTGGGCACTTGCAGGCGCCTCACATCCTTCTCACCATTCAATCAGCCTTGTCTGTGTAAGGGTGGCTTTAATATACTTTTCCCAATGATGTTTTCACAAGTTCAGGAAATGAACATAAACTCTTTTCATTAGCTTCTTATTAAGACACACTATGTACATTTCCTTTTTTAACTAAACCAACAAAAAAAATATGCATAGCATTCCTGTATAGCAATTAAATGCATGTGACTGAATGGTGGTTGAAAATATTCAAATGCTTTTTGTGTCATGTCTGAAAATACTTTTTTTTAGAAGAATTTTATTTACCCTTTTTTATTCTCATTGTTGACTTAGGGGGAGGGGCTTTTAACCTTGAATTACTGCTGATGAAAAGTATTAGCATTGCTAAAGAATAAAAAACAGTCACTACACTTGACTACTTACTGTAAAGCGCTTTGAAATGTTTCAACATACAAGGTGCTTAGAAATCCAAGTTATTCTGTTGCTAAAGGCCTAGTTTTTTATAGTTGAAACCCCTATATAAAAGGTCTAAATGTGATGATGTGTTAGCAAAGAACATGTATTTGAAGAGGCAGAATAATGTGTGTTGGGGGGAGGGGTTTCCCAAACGGGGAAGGGCAGGGAATTGAGATTGGAGTAGATAGCCGCAATGACAGAGCTAGCGCCAGCATAAACACGCTGGGAGAAAGATAGGGAATTGAGATTGGAGTAGATAGTGAGAGAGCTGGGACCAGCTAAGATCGATGGGGTGAATACACTGTTGTACGTTGCTGTTTCTGTTCTCGGGCGGTACTGTTGATGTCCTAAATTGAATCTCGTGCGCATTTTCTGTTCAGCCCGTGGCACCCAGTGACAAAGAATAAAAGCTAAAGTGTAGATTCAGGATTTTTTCAGACTATGTTTTAATGTGTTTATTGCTAAAATGCTGTCAAGATATTTTAAAAATGATGTTTGATTTGTATTTGTTCAGATGTAACCTTCAATTCCACTATTCAGTTCATGAACTTCATGAAGCCATTTATTTGTGCAATGCAGGCAAACATTTTGATGAATCCTGTTATTGGTAAGTAATGAATCATTTGTCAGCAAAGCATGGAATGGTAATATGCCAAGAGAGATTTTGTCTCCTTCACAATGTTATCAAAATCGTATCTGTTTGATGATAATTCCAACACATACACAGAATCTGGCTATAACTCCACTTTACTGGTTACTGCTTGTTACACATGTATATCAGAGATGCTGAATGAAAGAACATCAAACCATTACATTGATGTCCAGAATTATTGATGTCCATAACTTGACTGAAATTCATAGACAATTTATTTCAACTAACTGCTCTCAAATGGCTTTGAGATAGCCATGGAATTTTGGATATCAGGAATAGTAAGGAATGTATGGTAATGTTTATCTTTGAAATGACAAGTCTGAGCACAATGTGCTGCAGTACTTGATGTGGAGGATGTGAGGCAACCAAAGAGTGTCACATCGTCTGGAGTCAATTCTATTATGTAAAAGAATATGTGAGTAAATATGTATGATGTCCAGTGCCAGGAGCTTTATTGTGAGTATTGTGTTCATTTTCATCACTGTTTACAAGATAGATAACAGGATAAAAGAACAGAAACTGGAACGTGGCCAGAGCTTAACTTACTGAAGAATCTCTGACTTAATGGAAATAAAACTCTTTTTAGGGCGGGGGGAGGATATCCGAAATGGTATGAGATCTGCTTTATAAACCCTTTGATTAAGCGCTCCATGACTATTGTGCGTGAAGAGCACAATATAGTACCAGTTGTAGCCGCGCTGATTGTGAGCAAAGCGAACTTGGTTGAACTTAACAGCAGTAACGGCTTCAGAGTTGGGGACGAGCAGCCGCGTGGTATGGACGTTGTTGAAATAATAATAATAACATAATACGATGACAGTAATCAGCCCTGCATTTGCATTTGGTACAGCGCCCCATCGCATTTCGAGACGCCTCAAAGTGCTCCACAGAATATACTGTAAAGTAAATCGACTATAGTTTGTGGGCAAAACGCAGCAGCCAATTGCGCACAGCAGTGCCCCCCCCCCACACACACACACACACAGTCCTGGTGCGGAACACAGCAATAAAATGACCCCCACACAACGTCCATGAATGAAGAGAGCTCTCGCACCCATTTTATCTCATCCTTCCACAATACCCAACCCGTCTTCCCACAGCCACACAAGGCTCTTTGCAGACTGGGTCCCCCCCCACCACCCCCAGGAGCCTGGAGGTGGCGCTGTACCTGCGGAGGTCTCGCTGGCGACCGCCTGCAGGTGGCGCTGGCCCTTGGAGGACTCGAGACTGCACGTCTGGCGGGCGCAGGCGGGGGGGGTCGCCTCTTGGCCGCGCCGCTGGGTTTCCGCCATTGTGGGGAGCGGGAGGGCGCGGGAAGCGGCGGCGAGGGCGCGCGACAAACGGAAGTCGGAGCCGAGCCGAGTCAGTGTGCGAGTGAGAGGAGCCGCGCGCAACGAAACCCCGGGACACGGACGCCCCGCACCGCCCGCACCGCACCGCCTCACACTCCGGGTTCATGAAGAATGTCTGCCAGCAGCGTCCTGGAGCAGGTAAGCGCCCACCCACCCCCGGCCTCTGCCGCTCACGCAACTCGAGCTCGGAATCGGGCCCGCGCTAGGCCGCAGCCTCGGACTCCATTAACGATCCTCTCTCTCCCTCCCTCCCCACCCCCCGCACCCCCCCCACCCACCCCCCGCTCCTCCCGTGTGACCCGCCGCCGCCTGGGAATCGCCGCAGAGACCGAAAGGGCAAAGCAGTAAAGGTAAGCGAGGCCGGGGCTGTGGCCTCGGGCTTCGGGCCCAGACCGCGGACTCGATTTAACCGCCTTTCCACCACAGTAAACGTGCTGGCGGGGGGGGCCCTCGCATCCGCGCGGCCTCGTGTCGCATTCTCTTTTGCCGCAACGTGTTTTTTTTTCTTCCCACTCTCCCACTCTCCCAAACCAAAAAAAAAAAAAAAAAATCTTCCGCCGAGTAATGTGCAAAGTCATTTACGGCCGATAGTGCAGTGGCGGTGCAGTTCCCGCTTCCCACGGGCAGCACTTCTCCATTCCTCGCCTCCGCCTCCCGTGGCTCCTCAGGCCGCGCGGGGTTCCTCCTGCCCGAGTCTCCCCCCCGCACACCCCCCGCACTCGCCGCCTGTTACCGGCTTTACGTTCATTTACCCCCCAAAAAAAAACACGACTCCGAAAACTACCCACCGAATGAATGCCTTGTCCTCGGGGCCTCGGAGTCGCCTCTCTGGTAAAGGGATCTCTTGTACCACTCTTTTTTTATTTCTCCTCTCCTCCGAGGAGTCGGCGCCATGTGGTCGAAGGCAGTCCCGGCGCCGGGTGGAGGGCCAGTCCGACCTGTGCCTCTCTCACTGCTCGCGTCTCCGAACCAGGCGTTACCGCGATCGATGTACGAGGCCCCCCAACGCTCTCCATATTATTAAAAATAATAGGGTGACGACCAACCCGCACCTCTGGTTAGTTTAGGTTAACGTGTCTGATGGCAGATCGTAAGACACCTCTCCTGGTAATGCGGTGACGGCTTTTATTTACCTTGGTTCAATTTTATTCCAGTACAAAATGGAGCAGTTCATCAGAAGGATACTCTGAACGATGATGATTTTGAGCCCTATTTGAGTACTCCTACCCGGCAGGTGAGTGTGTGAGAATGTAAACGGTAGTCCTTGAATTTGACACGGTTTCAAAATGTCTCGAAAGCGCTTCGCAAGGTAATTGCCCTGACCATTTCCCCCCCAATGCTCGGGTCACTGACCCAACTGTCCAGCGCCTTGGGACGTCCTCCCGACGTGAAAGGCGCTCTATAAATGAAATCTTGTTGTTGTTGTTGTAATTGGTGTCAGTTTAGTGGAATGGGTGCCAATGAAACTTTGCCACCATCAAATTCTTTGAGATATTTAAAAGTGCTGTGTATAATAATCTTTGTGTTTGATATAGTGCCTGTAATATCAAAACATCAATGCAAGGTTTATAATCTGACAGAGAGAGGGGGGAGAATTTGAATCGAACATCATCTTGCCGTGAGGTTTAAATGGATGACTTGTAAATCAAGTGGCTGGATTCTACCCTTAGTTTACTGTTTTTTGCTTTTACTTCCCTTTCTTCCCCTCTCCCCGCAAGAAACTTGTAAGTCAAGTAAAACTTAACATATCTGTTTCATCTGTAATTATATCGTTAATGCCCTTTAGAAAATTCACATTCTTAAAATAGTTTGTCTTAATATTAGATCATGTGAGTATTCAAAGTATCTTTGAACATGCAGTACTGTAATTTGTCCACTGGAGACGAAACAATGCGAGTATCAGTGTTTGTTGCTGGGAAGACATTAGCTGAAATGTTGAAATATTTATAGCTTTATTTTTTCCCTTCTCGAACTGCGCATCAACATCCTGAGCCATATATACTCAAGTTTGATCGCATTATTGATGTTTGAACATTGAATGTGCTGAAGCTCTGCAACTGAAATGCAAAGCAAATGAGGCTCTGATGCATTTATTCATTCTTGAAAGACAATTATAGAAGTATTTGAAGGTAGAAACATTTACAGGGACGATTGAAAATTGGATATACCCCACAAGCCAGTCTCTTGAATTGATACAGCTATTGAATAAAGGATTGTTTAAAGTGTAATCTGGTTGTTCTGTAGAACATATTAGTCAAGCTTGTAGTTTAGGGTTTCAATGCAAGTTATGGAGTGTACAGTTGGTTGAGACAGTAAAATTGCTGCCATTTCATATTGCAGATGGATATCCAACCTGATTATTCTGAGTTTAGCAATGTCAATAGAAGGTGCCTTATAGTAACCAATGAAATGTCTGTTGCTTTGAGGTCTGCTCCTCTGCTCCAACTGAATTGTCTGCTAGCCTCTTGCCATGGCTTCAGCATTTTGTGGCTTCAACAGAGTCGTAGTGGATTTGCCCCAAATCCATATTTTTGTAATCCTAATTATTTGAAATGTGCTTGTTTTGTGGGTAGTTATATACTTATTCTGTCAAGAGAAAAAAAATGTTTTTCTGTGTCGGTGCGTACTTCACTGATCAAGAAAATCTGCTATTTGTGTCTTTCTCTTCCTCCCCCACACACACACACACACACACACACAAATTTAGGCAGCACGGTGCAATTTAAAATTTCAGTTATTTGTGGATCTGAGATTATTACACTTGCATTGTGCTATGCAGCCCAATTGTGGAGGGTGGGGAATGGATTCCTGCGAGTTCAAATACAATAGAAGGGCACCGTGTTTGTCTCTGAGATTAGGGTGATGCAGTTCTTTGTGTCTGAGACTCAAATGATGGAAACCAAGACCCAGAACCTGCAGAGAGGATAGACCAGAAACACTATCAAGTCCAATCACTCCTGTAAGCTAGGTCATCAGGGAACGGGAAGAGTAATTATTGTGTGTAGAAAAATATTTATGTGCACTTCACTTCTCCTTTCGCACTTCTCCGCCCACCCCCCCTTGCCAATTATCTGTGGTAGAGCGAGTGTTATAGGAAATCAACTCAAATGGAACCAGTATTTGACATTTGCCTTGCCGAGGCTCTTAACTGTACTATTCATTTCTGCTCATGCTGGAAGTGAAACACTTAAAACTTTTTTAAAAAAAAAACAAGTAAGCGTTTGCTCAGTCACTGGTGTATTGATTTCTCCTTTAAGATCTCTGGTTTCTGAGAGCTGTTTGTTTAATGGGAGCTATGGTAGAAAGCGTAGTATTGTAGAGCGCTGCCAATTTCGCTTCTTCCCGGCAGAAATGCAGCACAATCGCATGGACAGCTCAGGTTTCGGTGGTTGAACAAAGACCATGCTTGTGGATTTCCATGGATATGTTTGGTCGAAGTGACTCAGAACAGTACTTTAGGATTGTCCTATAAATTCTTTGTGAAAATAAATAATTAGCTCTCTGAAGCTGGATAAATCTTTGCCTTAAAGCTGTCTTGTAGTTTATTATAGAGTGACTCTTAACTCTTTACAGTTTGTGTAGTCTAGAGTTAGGCGCTAGTGCTTGTGATTCCTGCAACAACATATGTTCCCTGAAAGATTGGGGGTGTTAGAGGAGGGATTTTCTGGTACTTCTCTCCCTTCTCCATTGAAGGTCTTTATGAATGAGTTCCTCAGGCACAGATCCTTTTCTTAGCCGAGATATAAATCAATAGGTGTTTTCATTAACTCTCCCACAGCACAATTCTCAACTACGCTAGCGAGAAAAAACACAGCAAATGACTGATTCCAGATGGGATCAGGCAACCACTGCTAATCTGTTGAAAATCTCTGAGTCTGTAACTTGACAACTGTTTATGTTCCACACCACTAAACAGTTTATTTTTTTTACAGAACAATACCTACACTGCCATGTCTGACTCCTACATGCCAAGTTACTATAGCCCGTCTATCGGCTTCCAGTATTCGTTAAGTGAGGCTGCCTGGTCCACAGGTGGGGATCCACCCATGCCCTATCTGACATCCTACGGACAGCTGAGCAATGGGGAGCATCACTTCCTGCCTGACGCAATGTTTGGCCAGCCAGGGACTTTGGGGAACACTCCTTTCCTGAGCCAACATGGGTTTAACTTCTTTCCAAGTGGCATGGACTTCTCAGCCTGGGGAGCCAGCAGTTCTCAGGGTCAGTCCACCCAAAACTCGGCCTACAGCCCCAGCAGCTATGCGTACCCTCCCAGCTCCCTGGGTGGAGCTATGATAGACGGACATTCAGCTTTTGCCAATGAGACGCTGAATAAGGCACCAGGCATGAATAGCATTGACCAGGGTATGGCTGGACTGAAGATCAGCGGTGGCGAGGTGGCTAGTAATGTCTCTAAGATGGTTGGTTCTGCTGTGGGCAGTAGCCCTATATCCACCATTACAAATAATGTCATGCCTTCCAATCCCATGCCACCAGTCACCATTGCACCCCCAAAACCAACCTCCTGGGCAGATATTGCAAGTAAACCAGCAAAACCCCAACCCAAGAAGGCAAAAGGTGGGACTTGTGGGTCCTCCCTTCCACCACCTCCGATTAAGCATAACATGGATATCGGGACTTGGGATAACAAGGGCACTGGAGCTAAGGCGGCTCCTCAACCTCACGCTCCAGCTGTTAGCCAGCAGGCTGCCCAGGGTCCCGTGCAACCGATGAATCAGCAGGTGGTGCACATGCAGCCGCAACAGGTGGTTTCAGGGCAGCAGCAGGTAACACTGCAGGCTGTCCCGCAGCAGACCCCACCCAACCGCTGGGTGGCCCCACGGAACCGCGCGGGCGGGTTTGGTCAGAACGGAGTGGACACTGGCGGCATGGGGCTGGGGCACGGCAATTCGAATGTGGCTCCAGCCGAGGCACACCCCGTGCTGGAGAAACTGCGCTCCGTTAACAACTACAATCCGAAGGAGTTTGACTGGAATCCTAAGCACGGGCGGGTTTTCATCATCAAGAGCTACTCTGAGGATGACATCCACCGCTCCATTAAATATTCCATTTGGTGCAGCACCGAGCATGGCAACAAGCGTCTGGACAGCGCCTACCGCACCATGAATGGCAAAGGGCCGGTTTACCTCTTGTTCAGTGTCAACGGGAGCGGCCACTTCTGTGGCGTGGCCGAGATGAAGTCGACTGTGGACTACAGCACTTGCGCTGGGGTGTGGTCTCAGGACAAGTGGAAGGGACGATTCGATGTGAGGTGGATATTTGTCAAGGATGTGCCCAACAGTCAGCTGCGGCACATCCGCTTGGAGAACAATGAGAATAAGCCAGTGACCAACTCCCGAGACACTCAGGAGGTGCCCTTGGAAAAAGCCAAGCAGGTCCTGAAAATTATTGCCAGTTACAAGCATACCACCTCCATCTTTGATGACTTTTCTCATTACGAAAAACGCCAGGAGGAAGAGGAGAGCGTTAAAAAGGTTGGTGGCTTCAGGTGTAAATTGGAGGTTTGGGTAAACCTGTGAGCACTAAGGCTCACAGTGCTAGGAGTCCTGGTCCGGTTTCTAAACATAATTTCATAGAGACTGCAGCATAGACGGAGGTTTTGGCCCACGGAGACTGGTGTTCACTGATCCACTGTTGCTGAATGACTCTCATCTAATTCTAGGGAATTGGAAGATTATAAATTCTGCCTTTTAGCCTCTCTAAGTGATTCTGGTGCACCCAGGTTAATAGGACATTTTAATGTTCTTCTGAGTTTGGAGATAAGGGGAGGATTGTTCTTATTCGAATCAAGACCGTAGCTGACACGAGAGAGGTGGTGGAGACAGTGTAGAAGTAACTTTACTCTGTACCTGACCTGGGAGGACTTGTCTTTGGCCCTTGCTGAAATTGGAAACGTCCTTTTGCCGTCGTACTCACTTCAAGTGAACAAATTTGTAAAATATTCATAAACACCTTTACCGTTCATTATCTATGAATTAAAGTGAATGAGGGCAATGCTCTTGTGAAGTTTATTTGAAAAATCATTTCAGCACAAATCAGTGTGTAGGACTGGCATAAAGTTTGCTCAACCCTGTGTAACTCATTAACCTTTGTGTGCTCTTCCTGGCACTGCTAGACATTTTCAATCATTCACTTATCAAGTGATCTAAAATATGCACTGATTCCATGTCAGGGAATAGTCTCCATTTGAAAACCATGTGCTATTCTTGAGTAGATTATCCAGTAATTTACCACTTATGGTGTTTGTGACAGCCATCACTTGCACAACGGCAGGCGCAAAATGCTACTTCCGTTTAGCAACCTATGGCCTCTGTAAAGCAGTGGCTTTTTCGGGTTGGGAGCTGGGTTGAGGTCATTTGTATTCAGTCCACTTGGAACACTTAGAAGCCATTTGGGAGCTGAGAATTTCATCCTGTCTGAGCTGGATTAGAAACCAAGTTCAAGGTGTGAAGAGATGATACTTGACTTAGTGTCAACATCATGTTCTATTGGGTATATTTAGTGAGGTGAATCCTTTAATGGATTCATGTCTCATTGCAGACCCCTGCAGATAGTTTTGTCAACACTCTGCATTCCTCCTGTTCCTAGTCTGGGTTGAAGTTTACACAAAGTAATTAGCAATCTATGTGAGCTAACTAGCCAGCTCCCAGTCTGAGGTTTGGTTTTGTATTGTGTGATTTGTGACATTGTATATATTGAATATGGATTACACAAAGACACCTCAACATAGCTTTTCCAAATTCGAAAATTGCACAGGAGTTACATTGTAAAGAACACCAAACAGCCCGGCCGAATTGTATCTTGGTGAGGTCTTGCACCGACTACACATGGTGCCCCAGAATCGACATGTTCACTATCTATCCACGTGATTTTCCACCGTAGCACTTGAGGAAGATTATAAATCCGGTGGCAAAACGTAGGGATTCTTATGCTACTCCTCTGCACCAACCAGGAAATTAACTCATTCCTTCCCGGGCGTCTGTAGCTTGATTTTGACTCTCGGAAGTGAGTCATAACATTTTCCTATAATTGTATAAACCCATCTCATTTGTGTGGTTTAGGCATAAGCTTCTAGGTAATTGCAGTTTTACTTTACAGTGGGAATGTTATTGCTCAGAGCTTGATACAATTCTTCAGGCCTTTCGTTGTTGCTTTGTGTCAGGAGTGTATTAATGGGAGTGTGAGACAGTGCTGGTTATTACATGGTAACCTGATATTGCTAGTCTGCGTGCTGCACAGTGGGTGTAACTCAGGTACAAAAGTGCAAAGGTAACAGCTGGGTGGAAGAATGTGTGGGGAGTTTTCAGACCCAATTGACCAGGAATGCTTACAAGCTCCCAACTTGCAGCTCTTTTAGTTGATTTCCATTACGCTGGTTCTCGTGACACTTTTCACCCCTGCCCCTTTTAATTTTTTTTGTTTTCTCATCTACTATCTTCATTCTTCTACCACCACCCACTCCAAAAAAAAAAGTCACCTATTTTCTCCTCTCCACCCAACCTACTTATACGCTCATTTGACTGAGTAGGGGAGGGGGAAATCATAGGTGACCTCCTTTCCAAGGTCGAGCATCCATTAGTTTAACCAAATACTGAAAGTTTATTTTTTAACAGTTGTAAGGTGGGAGCTGCTTATGTTCACCTGACCCTGTGGTGCGTGACATTCAGGTCAGCAGGATGTATGTGGGGAGCGAGTGGTCCCTGTAGGGGCTCTTTTTGCAATGAATTTGATATATATTTAGAAACTGGAAATATATGTGTGGTTAGAGTGAAGGCTACTGTAAATCCAGGAGATTAACATAAATGTTTGAGAATGTTTTGCAAACAGCGTAAGTTTAGCGCAAGTCTCACTCTCCCGTCTCCCAGTCTGACTTTTTCAAACCTTAAACCTTTCAAAGGCCTCAGAGGCAATATCTGCTTAATGATTGAGATTTAATCTATATTTTGTTTGGAACTGTAAGGTGTAATAAGTTTAGACAATACAGGAGAATGAGGAGATCAGTGGAAAGCCATTCTTCTACACATTGCTCTCCATCATACTCTAGCCATTTTAAGAGATATTTTTACAGCCGAGATCACCTCCAGCATCTGAGAGCAATCCTGGAGTGTCTCGGACTAGATTTAATAAACCATGTTTTTTTCTCTGAGGATCTAGCTAACTTGAATCTAATTATACAAACAAGCACATCTCTGGAAGTGTTGTTTGCATTTCTGAAGTGGTCAGTAGGAATTACATATTGGGTAAATAATTACTTCAGAACTGCTTTGCGTTGAAACATTTCAAAGCGCTCACATAATCAGTTACTTTGATGTGCAGTAACTGTTGTGTGGGTAAATGTGGTATCTAATCCATGCCAGCAACATCTCATAAACAGGGGAAAGTTGAATGGCCAATTAATCTGTTTCTTGGTGAGTTTGAATAAGAGGACTATTGGCAGGACATGAGGAGATATTCCCTCCTTTTCCAAAGAGACCCACAGCATCCGTGAATAGCAGCAGGAAAAGCCCTCAGATTAACTCATCATCTGAAACTGCAGCTTCCCCAGTACTCCAGTGGTGTGCTGGATTATGAGCTCTAGGGGCTCGAGGTATTTGAGGACTTTTAACTGTAATGTTACAGGCGCACTAGCTCATTCAGGACCAAAGACTGTTTAGAAATGATTCGCACCTTTTCGTGCAGCACTTCAAAATTGATTAATCTGGGGGATAAAGTTTAGCGCTGATCTTGTCCTCTCTTTAGAAAATAATATGTAAAAGGGGCTAATTGTTTGCAGCACGCACCACCCCATTGGTTAGTGCGTTTGCTTAGGCAAAAGTATTCGCTGCATACATTGGGCTGTTGTAAGAGCATCTCTATATTGTCTCAGTGTCTGCTCCAATAGGCCCCATATTATATGAAACAAGTTGACCTTTGTTCTTGCATTGCCTATGACTGGGCCAGAAGTTATTACTATTTTTGTGTGTGTGTATCTTAGATCCACCATCTGCACGTCACTGAGACATTCATGTTTTCTTTAGCAGGAGAAATGTATATGTTTGCATTTGGATTATAAACAGTTTTCCTGTATTTGCTAGAGACAGAATAATGTCCCCCTTCCTGGCAACTGTATGTGTGTGGACATTGGATGAGAATGGGGTCAAGCTTGGCTGCAGTGCCCTCCACTTTAATAATAATAATAATAATAATGATCCCCATGTGCAGAATGGCCACTTGGGCATGGTCCAAAAGGCCCATTGAGCCACACTCGAGTGAGAATCTACTCCTGCGGGCGATCAACTCAACAAATCTAATGTTTAAGTAGTTTAAGTAGTTTGAAAAGTAATGATATGCAATGGCCAGCCATACTAACTCTTCTATTTTGTGTTTGACAGGAACGCCAGGGTCGTGGCAAGTAACGGTGCACTCTCTGCAAATGTTGTGAACATCGATCTAAATGTCATGTCCTGATTTTTTTTCTTCAACAAATTGAGTGATAATGAAGACCCGCCCCCCCCCCTCCTCACCCCCTCTTTCGTTTCAGTGGATTCTCCGACTATTTCAGACTTGTAGATGTCAAATTTAAACCTCTCTATAGGACTATGTAACAATAGCAAAGCTAGGTGGAAAAAAAATTTAAAATCTTTTCTCAACAATCGGTTGTGGCTTCAACACGATTTAACTCGTGTTTCCTCGTTTTGATTTTTTTTATTTAAGAAAAAAATCAATTTGATTTTTATGGTCCGAACGCACCAGGCTTTTCCTTGAAGGAACGGACCCAGCAAGTATCGGAAGGATGGCCCCAAATGCCCAGCTCCTGCACGAATCCGGTCTCCCAACATTGGCTTATTTTATAGAGCCTCTCTTTTGTGGGAATGCCTTCCCTTCCCCCGAAGACGCTGGTTCTTTTGTTTGCAAGTGCTCACGGAGTAACTGTTACCTTTCTGTGGTCCCTTTCTTTGTTTGGCTTGTTTGTTGGTAGTGGGGGGCTGGGGGGGATTGGTGGCTGTTCAGAAACGTATGCGAGCAAGTTATTTTTTAAATTGCCTCAATTAAGTTTAATCCGCCTAATTAAAAAAGGACAAGAAATACTATAAGGAACTTTTGGACATTGAACTTTAAGAAAAACTGCTTTGGACCTTTTTTTTCCAGCTCTCGTCAACAATGATATGATGGGATTCTACCCTTTCTTCATTATTAATGACTTATCGGTAATAAATGTGATATCCTGTTCAGCAGCAATCTTGTTCAATATGTTTCTGTCCTGCTTTTTCAAACCATTGAACCAATGTCTCAACCCTGATTTCTGGCTACCGTGCCCACCATCTCTCCCCCCACACACACACACGCACGGACGCGCGGGCGGGCGGAAAGGGAAACAGTGGAAGGTAGATATTAGGACTGCGCTGCTCAGTGTTCTATAAACAACATGCATCGTGTTGGCAGGGGTTGCAATTATAATAATAATAATAATTGCATTTGATATAGCGCTTTTCACGTCGGGAGGACGTCCCAAAGCGCTTCACAGAACACACTGTAAAGTGAATTGACTGTATAGTTGTGGGCGAACGCGGCAGCCAATGGCGCACAGCAATGTCCCACAAACAGTCGTGGATTGAAAATGACCAATTTATTATTGTTTTTTTTGGTTTTGGAGGGATTATTATTAGGGTAGCAGGCGGGTATTCGAGTGGCCTGGATCATGATGTTCTTGTTGAACCTCATGGCTTCAACACGGACCTTTCCAGTGTGGTGCCGCAGAGATGGGTAAACTGACTGCCCACCTGCACCGCTCTACAGTGCTGCAACTCTAGTGGCAATGCTGTCATCGCCGCCCGTGGTTTCAGTTAGTGACTGTCCTATTGCCTGTTTCACCCGGGGACAGCAGAATCCGTGCCAGTGGGAGGAGAGCGCAAACTGCGATATTGAGTCAACGGTTGCAGAGCATTGCGCTCGTCACTAGGGGGCGCCACACAATTAATTTCTTGTCTCTGTTGAACGGCTCTCGGATGTGGGGACAAGCGCCGTCTCAGCTGTTTATGCTCAGGTCAACAAAGTCTGATTCTGAGGGTGTGGGGGGGAGGACCTTGTCACAGAAACAGCTATCGCGACAATTGCAGAGGAGCTGGATTTAGACCCAAAGAGCACTGCATTGTGTTCTCGTCAGCAAATTGGCGGTTGTGTTCCTCTTGATTCCAACCCCCATCTTGGATGCAAACCCTTCACTGTCCAGCGCCTTGGGACATCCCCCTGATGTGAAAGGCGCTATATAAATGCAATTGTTGAATGCGTGATAAAGCTAATGGCACAGCTCAGTGAGATTGATGGGAAATCTTGTTTTTATATTTTTTTAAAAAGTTGGGCACAATGCAGGCGGAGGCTTGAAATCCCAGCCTCGGATGGGATAGGAGGTGCCTTGGGGAAACAGCTGGGATACAGGGAGGGAGAGGTTTTGTGAGGCGGATGGGTTGCCCTGAGCATTTGACGTGAAAGGCGCTATGTAAATATACCAGTAGTAGTAATAATCATAATGCTTGCATTTGATTCGCCTTATCGGGTCGTTGAGCTGCTTCACAGAAGTGGGTTGACTGTACATTGTGGGCAAAACTTGGCAGCCAATTCTGCACAGCCATGTCCCCCAAACAGTCATGGATTGAATGACCAAACTATTATTTTTTAAAAAAATTATGATGTAATCTTCATCGACAATGCAAGCTGGGGAGAGCGGTGACGCAGACCCTGTGAGCACACAGTTCAGCTCCTGGGTCTCGGTACCCTCTTGGATGCTGGAGTTTGAATGGATTATTATCACTAAACACAACTAATGGACCTTCGTGTGACTGTGCACATGATCTGCTGCTTCTGTCCAGTGGGTATGAAAATTAACCATTAAACGGTTGGACGATAGCAGTGACACACTCAATTCCTGCCAGAACTTCATTAACCTGAAACGCACAAATAAATAAGTAAAAATACAAAATAAATCCCTCGCTCTCCCACCGTCCAGGGAAGACGCGACCTGTTTCCAACCTAATTAAATAATTCCCGCAGAGAGAATAACTAACTGCATTCTGTCTTCATTTGGAAACGCTATTATCATTTTGGTACCCATCTTCCAATTTAGCTTCCAGTAATGACCAAGATCTGTGCACATCAATATTTGGCTCGGTGTCTCTTCGGCACACAACTTCGCATTAATAACCCATCGTGGAGTCCTGTAGCTCAGTGGTTAGAGCACTCGCTTTGCAAGTGAGACACCTGGGTTCAATTCCCCAGGGCGAAACCTTGGGCAAGTTTCCTTACTCCACACAGAGCCTAATAATCATCCTTCCAAAATAAAAAAACAATAATAAATTGGTCATTTTCAATCCACGACTGTTTGTGGGACACTGTGCGCAATTGGCTGCCGCGTTCGCCCACAAATATACAGTCAATTCACTTTACAGTCTATTCTGTGGAGCGCTTTGCAATGTCGAGAAGACATGAAAAGCACTATATCAAATGCAAGGATTGTTATATTATTATTCACAGATGCTCTGATGGTTCCTGGGTTGGGATGAAATGTACAGCATTACTGTGTGCAATCGTGCTGTTGTGTTCACCTACGAATACACAGTTACTCCATTTCACAGTAAATTTTGTGAAGTGCTTTGAGACATCCTTCTGATGTGATAAGGCGCTGCAAGGGTTATTATTTCAGCGAGTGAGGTAAGGTGCAGCCAGAAATACAGAATACACAATATTCTCCAATCTGTAAATATAATTACGGAATAAGAGTCATCCAGGATCTTTCCCAGAGGGAATGGCCTACTCTATTGGGATTAAAAACAGGAATCAACAACAACAACAAATTATATTTATACACCGCCTTTCACAGCAGGAGGACGGCTTAAGGTGCTGGACAGCCAGGGATTTGGACCCGAGCTGGGGGTTGGGATTAGGAGGGTGGCCATGGGAGCAGTCGACGAGGAGATCTTGAGACGTGCCTTGAAGGAGGCAATGGAGGAGGCAAAGGAATCAAGGTTGTATCTGCCCTGGGCTGTCCGCCGGCCCCTCCCTTAGCATTCACCGTGTGCCTTAATTGTACCACATTAAATCAAGATCCGCCATGAACACTGAGAGCGAGAACCGAACATCCCCCCCACCCCAATACCAACACCAGAGCTGCGACCAAATCTGCTCCACTGTTTGGTTTGCAATGACTACTTCCATTTTAATCAAACAATATGGATAGACAACGTTTACACACACTCCGGGGCTGCAGCTGCAGTTACTGAGAGGGGACAGTGAGTGTGAGACTTGTCTCCCTGTGTGTGTGTGTCTGTGTGTGTGTCTCTGTGGGTGTGTATCTGTCTCTGTGTGAGTGCCTCCCCTCCCCCTGTGCCCTCCCCTGGGGGGGGAGGGACGGTGTTGGGGGGGGGAGTGACGGGAGGGGAGTGACGGTGGGGGCAGAGGCGCAGTCCCGTTGGAGGGGGAGGGACGGGGTGGGTGGGGGAGTGACGGTGGGGGGAGGGGTGCAGTCCCGGTGGGGGGGGAGGACGGTGTGGGGGGGAGTGACGGAGGGGCGAGTCCGGGGGGGAGTGACGGTGTGGGGGGGGAGTGACGGGGGGAGTGACGGGGGGAGTGACGGGGGGAGTGACGGGGGGGGGGGGAGTGACGGGGGGGAGTGACGGGGGAGTGACGGGGGGAGTGATGGGGGAGTGACGGGGGGAGTGACGGGGGGAGTGACGGGGGGAGTGACGGGGGAGTGCGGGGGGAGTGACGGGGGAGTGACGGGGGGAGTGACGGGGGAGTGAGGAGGTGAGTGACGGGGGGAGTGACGGTGTGGGGGGGAGTGACGGTGGGGGGAGGGGCGCAGTCCCGGTGGGGGGGGAGTGACGGTGTGGGGGGGAGTGACGGTGGGGGGAGGGGCGCGGGAGTGACGGTGTGGGGGGGAGGGACGGTGGGGGAGGGGCGCAGTCCCGGTGGGGGGGAGTGACGGTGTGGGGGGGAGGGACTGTGGGGGGAGTGACGGTCGCTCGCAGTTTGCAGGAAGCGAACGCACGGACCGGGAAGGCGCAGAATGCGGGGCTCAGGCCGACTGCCCGCAATCGCCCTCCCGCTCGGCTCCGGCCCGCGGGCCGCCCGCGGGGGGGACAGGGGGGGCCAGAGAGCCGCCGACAACAACAGCAACCGGGAGCCACTGCCCGGGAGAGGCAAACCGCTCCGGGTCTCAGGTACACACCAGGAAACAGTAGGTCATTAATACCCCGGGAGGGGGGGGGGGGAGTGTGTACTGTGCCGTGTACTGTACTGTGTGCTGTGCTGTGTTGTGCTGTGTGTGCTGTGCTGTGTGTGCCGTGTGTGCTGTGTGTGCTGTGTGCCGTGTGTGCTGTGCCGGTGTGGTGTGCTGTGCCGTGTGCTGTGTGGTGTGTGCTGTGCCGTGTGTGCTGGTGTGTGCTGTGCCGTGTGTTGCTGTGTGGTGTGCTGTGCCGTGTGTGCTGTGCGTGTGCTGTGGTGTGTGCTGTGCCGTGTGTGCCGTGTGTGCTGTGCCGTGTGTGCCGTGTGTGCTGTGCCGTGTGTGGTGTGCTGTGCCGTGTGTGCTGTGTGGTGTGTGCTGTGCCGTGTGTGCTGTGCCGTGTGTGCTGTGCCGTGTGTGCTGTGCCGTGTGTGCTGTGTGGTGTGTGCTGTGCCGTGTGTGCTGTGTGTGCTGTGCCGTGTGTGCTGTGTGTGCTGTGTGTGCTGTGCCGTGTGTGCTGTGTGTGCTGTGCCGTGTGTGCGGGAGATTGAAATCACAGTCAAAGAGGAAAGGAAAGTAAAGTGGATGGACAGTGTATTGGACACGTGGTGACTGAGTCGCCACTTTTGACAACAGTCGCTGTTTAAAGCGGCCGTTTTCGATAGGGGTTGAAAGTGTATCGGAGGGTCCAATTCAGTTATTGTCAGGTTACCACTCCCAAGTATGGCAACAGATATGTTTGGATGTAGAGTGCACGGCGGGTGGGTGGGAGTGGGGGGGGGTGTGGGGGGGGGGCAGGAATAGGCTCGAACTCATTTCTTTCCTCCCTACAGTCAACGTCTTCATTGGATTGTCAGATGAAGATTGCCCCTTCACTGACGCTGACCTGGACACGTTGATGTGTTGACTTCAATCATTAAAACGCTCCGGAAGTTAAACCCATTCGCTTCCCCCCCCTTCCTCCAGAGATCTCGCTTATTAATGCACATGTTGATTTTCTGGCTGAGTGAGCGCTGGGCACTTTGTGTGAATCCATTACTTAAGAAACTGTAGATTGTGGGCACGGGGAGCTCGCCACAGAGCCTGCCCCACCCCACGGCAAGGAATCCACCTGTCAGCAACCTGCCCGAGGGGCATCAGGGAGTGTGCCAGACATGTGTTGCCTAATAATAATCCTTGGATTTGATGCAGCACCTTATCATGTTGTCAAGATGTTTCCCGTCACAGGATTTACTGCAAATTTCGACTGTGTATTTTGTTGGACAAAATTTACCTCCTCCCCCATCATCTACCCCCATTCCCCGCTCCCCCGCAGTAATTTATGATGGTAATTTTCAACGATAGCTTCATCGCTGAGAGACAGCAAAGAGAGGCAGTGGCCGCATAGAGCCGGTGAAGCACGAAGAGTCTACTGGTTGGACTGCAATTCAATCAGAGAAACAGAAAGGACAGGACAGGAGAGGAATAGCCTAACGCTGCCCTGGGCCCATCCACCAGAGCTAAACACACTCTAATCCCAATTCTCTGTTTACTTCCTGTCACATTTTATATCTTCTTCAGTGGGAGGGAATGGGACGGAGTTGGTTCCATTGGGATTACGCCTTCTCTCTGCGGCTGCAGTCGGGATCGCGTTGAATTAGCGACGGCTTTGCCCAGTGGACGGATTTCCATCGTCTGCAGTTTTTTGCCTTTTGCCCAGTGGCTAATTGGCACAGCACAAAACACTGGCTGATTGTCGATATTAAATTGAGAGACAGAGAGATACAGAGCCCCAAACACTAAAGCTCTCAGAGCATTCCATGGTAATCGCTGTCAAGTGTAGTGACTGTATATCTTGTAGGCCAACACAGCAGCTCACAGCAACATCCCGAATACGAGTGACGTGAGTGAGTTTCTTGGCCGGGAAACCGCAAGATGCCTCAGAGGATGTGGTGGCTCGGGATAGATTATAGCGGAGGGGGTGGGGGTGGATGTCAGTCAATTGGCAGAGGCACTGAGCTCACAGATCACCCTCTGTCATTCAGTGACTGAACAGAGGTGCTTCTCTGCATTTCTAACCTCCCCTCTCTCTTCCTGCAGCTAAACATGCTGTGAACGGTCACACATCAGTACCTCCTTTCCCGCCTGGAATGCAATTCGCTGTGTTTGGTGAGTTCACGCTGTCGCCTCCGGGGAACTTTCTGATCGTCTTAAAGGAGCCTGGTCACCATTGGAAATCCCAGTCACCACAGTAACTCCTCGGGGTCGGGTGAGGCGCTGAGCAAGGGTTCATACAGAGGATGGTGATTGATATTCTGGTGTTTGTGCTCTAGGCTTGGGCTGTTTCTGGGGAGTGGAGAGAAGATTCTGGGAGCAGAGAGGTGTCTTCTCCACACAGGTTGGCTTCACTGGCGGCTTCACCCCCAACCCCACCTATCAAGAGGTGTGCACAGGTAACCACCCCCCCCACTGACACTAACACAGACACACAGCGCACTCACTCACAGTCTCACTGACACACACCCACTCATTGACACACACATTCACACACACTCACTGACACACACACACTCACACACAGACTCACTGACACAGACATTGGTGGGGGTTAGTGGGTGCAGTGCTGATGTGTTGCCGTTGCAGGGCTGACCGGCCACACTGAGGTGGTGAGAGTCGTCTACAACCCACGGGAAGTCACCTATGAAGAGCTGCTTAAAGTCTTCTGGGAAAATCATGACCCAACACAAGGTATTGATTGACTCTTTCCCTGTCTCTCCATGTCCCTGACTGTCTCTCTTTTGCTTTGCGTGTCCCTTCTTCTATCTGTCTCTCTCTCTCTGTCTCTCTGTCCGTGTCTCCCTTTCTCTATCTCTCCCTCACTCTCTCTCTGTCCATCACCCTCACCCCTACCTGCAGTTGGGGCTGTGGAGCTGTGCTGAGGATCTCTCGCTCTGTGTCTCTGCTGCAGTTACTGTTCCAGACAGCGATCGCCACAATTCACCGGGTGTCTGCAGCTAAGAATTCCAGCTTTGGTGTATTTTCTGGTATTTTAAGGGGCTGTAAAATGCAATTCCCACCCCAAACCATCACAGCACTGGAACGTCAGCCTGGACGGGGAGCTCACAGCGCTGACACACGCCTGAGGCTCCCCCCACCCCAGCCCCCCCCACCCACGAACGTGGGCTGTGTTACTAACTGAGCTGAACATTTCTCTACTTCTCTCGGGCAGGAATGAGGCAGGGGAATGATGTGGGAACGATGTACCGATCGGCCATTTACACCCAGAGCCCAGAGCAGACGCAGGCCGCTTGTGCATCGCAGGAATTTTTCCAGCAGGTCAGACACCCATCAGAGCTCTCTACTCTAACTCTATTCCCTGCTCTCTCCCCATCCTATCTGTGCTGGTACTCGCTCCCCCACTGGCGCTCTCTACTCTAACCTCATTCCCTGCTCTCTCCCCATCCTATCCATCGCCTTGGGACGTCCTCCCGACGTGAAAGGCGCTCTATAAATGGAATCTTGTTTTTGTTGTGTTGTTGTTGTTGTATCTGTCCTGGTGCTCGCTCCCCCACTGGAGCTCTCTACTCTAACCCCATTCCCTGCTCTCTGCCCATCGTGCTCTCTCTCGCTCTTTTACTCTCTCGCTTTCTCTCCACCCATCAAAGAGGATAGCCATCATTACTTCCAAACTATTCTGATGGCTGAATTGCTCTCTCTCTCTCAGCTGCAGGAATAAAGCAGTTTTGCTTTAAATTCTCATTAAACGTGTTTGTCTTCTCCACGTCTCTATGTTTGCAAGAATTTTCATGCCTGTCTGGTAGGGTTGAGTGGTTCAGGTGTTGCCGTAAACCTATAGATATTGTGAGTTGATTGATCAGTTGATCAGGTCCAGTCAGGCAACTTACTCTGAGATCTCTAGTTAGTGACCAGAGACATGTAATTCTGCCTGGTCTAAGCTTTAAACTCTAAGGTCATGCAAAATTATGGAAAATTATTCTTAAATTCAGCCTGAACTTTGCAAGCTGGTTTTCTTCAGTTCCTAAAGAAACGGCTTTCTGAATTAAGACAGAATTAAAGAATTTCCCACATTTTTAGCGCTATCGCAAATGCAAAGATAATGTTCTTAAGAGTAAGAACCAGCGAATACCCTGTTGAGAGGAAATGTCAGGAGAATTATATTACAGTTGTCTACGAGGGAAATAGTGCCCTCTGGTAGCAAGTCCTGGACATAACACATTACGTAACACATTACAGCCGAACCAGAAGATACAGATAGGGGAAGGGTTACCCCAAGGCCCAATATTTGGGGAGGGTGTTAGAGAGAGACACATACTGAGTCAAGGTGAGAGACACACACACTGAGTCAAAGAAAGATGGCAGATCACCCTCCTGACATTAATTCCATATGAAGCGCTTTGAGATATATTGAGGTGAAAAAGGGCTATAAACACACGAGTTCCTTTGTTTTTAATATCAAGGCCTCAGTTTTCTAAATCCAACAAAAGCCAATGACAGGTTTATTTGAATGTGAGGAAACGTGGCGGCAGCCCCAGAAGTGATATCCCCCACTCCCACCCACTGAGGTTTTCCTTTGCGTTTTATTTGTAGGAACTGACGAGAAACAAATTGGGAAACATCACTACTGAGATTCGAGAGGGACAAGAGTTCTTCTACGCTGAGGATTACCACCAGCAATACCTGCACAAGAACCCGGACGGTTACTGCTCCTTGAAAGGGACTGGGGTGACCTGTCCCATGGCCCCGAGGGCAAAAAAGAAGCTTTAACACTGTTCAGTGGCCGCATGTCACCGTGTGAACTTGATGTCAGATTGTAAACTAGCTTCAACATCAGGAGGCTGTTTTGCGGTATTTTTTAGCCAATTTCTCCGTGGACTCAGGATATAGTTTGCTTACGACAGTTCCATCCTGTCGATAACTATTTCATTATAATAATAATGTTTTAAATTTGATTTAGCGCCTTATCACTTTGTTGAGACTAATTAAATTGGGCATATTCATGCTGGAAAAGAGAAGATTGTGAGGCTGTCCTTAAGATCTCAAGGGGCAACACCATATGGATCATGAGAGAGAGCACAGCCTGTGATTCAAATTCAGAACAAATCTATGCAAACACTATTTCAGTGAGCGAATAGTGAACCTGTGGAACAGGCTCCCTAGGGAGACGGTTGAACAGGAAATGTTGATTCTTTCAAACACAGACTAGATAGTTTTAGGAAATAACATTATGGGATACAGTACACAGAGACATATTTGCATGAGACCGCCAGGAAGGTGGAAGGGAAACTAAATGGACCTTGGTCTTGTCCTCTTCCATTTCTTATATTCTTATGAGACGTTTCAAAGCGTTTTACGGAATATACTTTATAAAGTGGAGTGACTGTTTACTTTGTGAGAGTCTTGGAGATAAAGTAAAGTTAATGTAATTCGTTTTGTTCCGATAAAATTTGGAACGATAATCCCAATGTTCTGGTGCCTAAAGTACAAATGAATAAAAGTCTTGTTGTAGTAGTGCCAACTTAACACCAGGAGACACTGTCACCCGGTATTTTAAGATGTATTTGGCTCCGCATTGTCCAGGTTATGGGAACAGGAGATACTTTAATGCCATTTCTCTGAGACCATAATATTTAAAGGGGAAGTGAATAAATATTCGAAGAAAAATATTACGTGAAGGAACAGAGGAATGGGAGGGATACAAGTCAGGCTGTAACCCAGCAGTGGCACAAAACAAGCTAGGCAGCTCACCCAAAGCTTTGACTGTAACACATAATAATAATAATAATCCTTGCATTTGATATAGTGCCTTATCATGTTATTGGGACGTCTCAAAGCGCTTCACAGGATGTATTGTAAAGTGCAGGTACTGTGTATTTTGTGGGCAAAATGCGGCAGCCAGTTTGCACACAGCAAGTTCTTACATACAGCCACGGAGTGAGTGACCAATTTTATTTGGAGGAATTGTTGGCCAAGACACCGGGAGAGAGAAACTCCTTTCTCTTATCAAATAGTGCCATGAAATCTTTACACGAACGGAGAGAGTGAGGCTCACGCTTCCAGAGCCCACCTGAGCTATGGCAGCTGCTGGCCTGGCTGCAAAATTGGAATTAAATCATAAGAGTCTGTGCGGAGCTACTCCCCAGGGCATTTGCTGGTGAGAAGCGTCTCGCTCGCTCGCTCTCTCGCAGAATGTAATGTTTGATCCATGATACAATCAGTGGTTTTAAAGAGCTTCAAACAAACCCCAATTTGCCTCCAGATCTTGTCAAGATTATGTAAATTGTCTAACTGGCAGCTCAAGACACCCTTCACCCTTATACCACCTCACCTCCCTCCCTCTCAACTCTCCCCATCACACCCCTCTCTGTCTTTCATTTACCACCTAATTTCCAACATGCCTATGGCCACCTCCCCCATTCCCTTTCAAGGCGTGTGCCTGCCCTTGCGAGCCTGAGATGTGACCCCCATGTGACGGACACTGTGTAAATGCTAGTTATTATATTATTAAATATAGTTATTGTTAAGACAAGGCAGGAGGTGCAGCTGCAGGAGAAGGTGATGTTTGGCCACACTGACCCTCTTCCTGGTAACCAATGAAACATCCTATTAGGGAGGGTGGGGAGAGTTTCTTTGAGGAATAACTAGAATTCTGAGCGATAATAACAGTGATTTGGGAATCTCACTGAGAAAATCTTTGAGGAAGTGAAGGAACGGTTGGAAGTCTCGTAGCATATTTGTTAGTGCACTTACCTCGAAAGCAAGAGGACCTGGTTTCAATTCCCGGGAAGGACGAAACCTTAGGCAAGTTTCCTTACTCCTCACGTCTCTGTTTACCTGGCAGTAAGTAGGAACCCGGTTGTTAGTCAAGGCTGAGCCTTGGGTAAACAGTGCCTCATTTCAAAAAACATTCACAAGGGATTCCCACCCCAACAGTGAAACGTAGTGTGATATGTGGGGAGAGGGCAAACAATAAATGATTAGTCACTGCTTGAGTTTTGATGAGAGGGAGCGAGTTTGACAGCTCCAGAAACCAGTAATATATGGAAATATGTTCCCAAAGGCTGAATGCAGAATATAAATTATGGGGAAGATCAAAAGAAGTTTCCAGAAATAATCGCGTGTTTTTCTCACACTCCAGAAAAGTGGGTCAAAATTAAAATTTTTCGAAGTGTGAGAAATACAACTAATTCATTTTCCCTCTCCCAGACCCAGCAGGTTAACCAGTATGGCCCTCCATCCCACAGCGAGCTCACACAAACATCCTGTCCCAGATTGGCACCAGCAGGAACCTCCCTGTTCTTTTCAAACGTCCACCTAATAAAACACACAGGAGCTCACTGCCCACTGACAGTAAGTCTTTGTGAAGCGCTGTGAGATGACGTCCTCTAGGCGTGAGAAGCGTTGGATAAGATGTGAGGATGATTATTGTCACCGAAATGTTCTGTCGCTCACCAAAGACAAGGCAGCCTCTGAGTTGATGGCCCCACCGCTGAAAAGCAACGACAACAAAATCACATTTATATAGCGCCTTTCATGTCGGGAGGACGTCCCAAGGCGCTACGTGCATTTATACAGCGCCCTTCACGCGGGTCAGGATCTCGGAGCACTTAAGAGTAACAAAAAAATCAGCTGATGCTCCCAAACAGATAGAATTCCCCTTTGGAATTTCACCAATTGTGTCTGATACTACTCACTTGTGATCTGGTGCCTTAAAGTCTCCACAGGTTGCACTTTAAAGTGACTGTGTATTTTGTCAGCGATCTGATCTCAGGGGGAACTGTGTCCGGTGTCAATTAGTGGCTAAAATAACGACTGCCGAAAATTCCTAGCGAGCAGAACCAGAGGGAGACTTTATGTTAAAAAAGAAAAGCAAATATCATTAGCGTTACAAAGTTGTTCTTATTCACTCAGTTTAACATTTGACAGCAATAGTTTCGGTATTTTATATTCACTGCCTCGGGACGAGCTCTTGGTGTGTGGAGATTGTACCGGACAATATGATTCTGCAAGGAAAATCCCTGTCTACTGAAGGCAAAATACTGCAGATGCTGGAGATCTGAAATAAAAACAGAAGTCGCTGGGAACGCTCAGCAGGTCAGGCAGCATCTATGGAGAGAGGAAAGTATGTTAACGTTTCAGGTCTATGACCTTCTGTCAGATCTACCAGTAGATGCTGCCTGACCCACTCGGTGTTCCCAGTGACTTCTGTTTTTATCCCTGTCTACAATCCACAGTTCCCCTCCCCACCGCCCTTCTCCCCCCCACTCCCCCCGCCACTGAAGTCCTGCACACTTCCTCCAGCACGGCGAGCAGGTGACGTGTGGAGTCAGGCAGCTGGACAGTCACATCCACGTGTAATGCTCTCTCCTCAATCGTTCACTCGCTCGCTATCTCACTCACTCGCTCACTCATTATCTCACTCTCTATCTCACTCACTCTATCTATCCAACTCACTCTATCTATCCAGCTCACTCCCTCACTCATTTGCTTGGTCAGGTGTTTGCTTGCTCAGTCGCTCAGTTGACAGCTCTCTCTTTGACCAGGCAGGCAGTGAAGGAGGAAGGCAAGCAGTTCTGCTTTTCTCATTGTCACAAGTATCGTGGGAACATTGCTGTCCCCTCTGGAAATCTTGGGTGTTAGCTATTCCTCTGCCGCACCCATTGCTGTGCAAACTCTGATATTTACTTTGAAAACCACAGATACCATCCTCTGACTTTTGCAGATTTTCTGTTTTGAGATTCACAAAATCTTACCCTCCCCTCCCACTCCAGGCTGCAGGTCGAGGGGACATTCAATGTAGTCAATGGAGAGGCTCTCGCCCTGGCTCAGCCGTTCACTCTCGCCTCAGAGTCAGGAGATTGTGGGTTCGATCTCCGAACTGTGCTCTGCCTGAAGGGTGCTATGTAAATGCAAGTGGTTGTTGTTGATAGTCCAATCCACCACAAAGACCCTGGGGAGTACGAAGTATTGGTTAGAGCACTCGCCTCGCAGAAGAGAGGGTTTGATTCTCGGGTTGGGCGAAAGCTTAGGCAAATTTCCTTGCTCCACATTTCCTCTGGCAACCTGGCAGTAGGAATCTGGTTGTTAGTCGATTGGCGTATCGCTTTCTGGAGATAATAATACCTTCAAAATATTTTTAAAATAATTTGGGGTCACTCAATCCATGACTGTGGGACACTGTTGTGTGCAATTGGCTGCCGTGTTTTGCCCACAAAATACAGTCAATTCACTTCATATCCTGTGAAGCGCCTTGAGACGTCTCAACAACGTGATAAGGTGCTATATCAAATGCAAGGATTATTATTATGTATATGATTATTATTATAAAAAATGTGCCGTGATCTCATCAACTGGTGGAATGGGTCCAGTGGGCTGAGTGGCTTTGCGTCCCTGCGTTGCTGGAGCAGGCTGGATGGGCTGAATGACCTCCTCCTGTGACTTGAGCTATCAGAGAAGGAGGAAGGCAGTTGCGGGGAGGGCAGGGTGACAGTCACACAGGCTTCAGGGTGACAGTCACACTGCAATTCTCTTACCAGGAAAGCGACATTGCCAGCAAAAGTTAATTAAAATAGATTTAGCCCCCAGGGGGACCTGCGGGGAGCTGAAATCCGTTGGTAACCGGCTTGTTCTGTCTGAAATTGCCAACTCATTCCACGGAACGGACGGCAAAACCCACATCACTGCTGAGATTCCGCCAACTGGCTGTTAACCCTGTGAATGCTGCACCTGTGTGTGAAATAACCCCCCTGACCATTCCTGAATCCACTCGAACCTTTCATAGAATGTTACGGCACAGAAGGAGGCCATTCGGCCCATCGAGTCGGTGCCGGCTCTTTGACAGAGCAAGTCACTTTCCAATTATAAGATGTGGAGAATGTCTGTGAGAGGATGTGAGCACATTCCCTTTCCCACCCCCAGCTCCGTGCTCTCCCCCCGCCTCTCCAACCCCCCCCCCCCCCCCACTCCTCTCACGCACACACCAGATCAACTAATTAATATTAGCAACGATTAA